AATGCCCACACCCTCCACCCACACCCTCCACCCACGACCACATCCTCACCCATGACCCTCGCCCTCCGCCCTCACCTACGACCACACCCTCCGCCCACCTCCCACCTCACCGTCATCTACAGTCTCCGCCTCACCCACATCCACCCTCACAAACACCCGCATACACCCCGCACATCCACCCAAAAACCGTCATCCCTAACGAGAGCGACGCCCAATCAGCACAAAAACAACATGATCATTCCTCACCAACGCCCACCACCCTCCACCCGCCCACACACCCCTCCACCACGCCCCACACCCTCCACTCACCACCCACCTCTCCATTAACGCCCACCCCTCCACACACCCACCTCTCCACCCGCCCCACACCCCTCCACCTACGCCCATCCACCCACATAGTTCTTGCAAGTTGCAGAAAGGTTGGGGGAGTGTGGGAAGAGAATATACAACACTCATATCAAAACACAAATAGAACACAAAAACACAAAAACAAACAGAAAACAAACACAAATCAAACACCCCCAAGCAATAACAAACACATGCTTGGAGGGTGTGCAAGGAGACAGTGTGAGTATTGACCAGGAGAAGAGTAAGCAAATATTAAGACGTTCGGAGGTGGTGGGAAAGAGAAGGGAGGAGTGAAGAGGGAAGGCAGAGAATGATGAGAGGAAGATGATGAGAGAAAGGGGGGGAGGGGGAGGTGAAGAGAGAGGAGGAGAGGTCGTGATGGTGTAAGTGCCGTGACTCGAGGCTGGGAGTTAATGGCGTAGTTAAGAGTCGAGTTATCTCTATAATTTATGCATGTATTGTGTCTGTAGTTGAGTGATGGCATGCACGCACACACTCACACACGCACGCACACACACACTCAGTGACTCACAGACGCACGCACTCAGTCACAGACGCGTGGATACACTCATACACGCACGCATTCACTCAGACGCACCCACGAAACACGCGTATACGGCCTCCATGTATACTTATCCAGGTATGTATCCAATGTATACCTATGTGTAGTTATGAGGGAAGGACCTATGGATGGGTAGTATGTTGTTTTGTTAAGTTAGGTTAGGTTAGGTTAGGTTAGGTTAATCTTTAGGTGAAATAAGCTGGGTGGAGAGTCTTCAAGTGAACCAATCAAACTTCATAGAATTTCTAGTGAACTTTGACCCCGCTTGACCCTTCCTCTATTGTGACCTTAACCTGACCTGAATAAACTCCCAAATAACCCCTGATTGTGACCTTACCCTGACTGAAATAGACTCCCAAATGACCCCTGAACCCTCTGACCTTAACCTGACCTGAATAGACACCCAAATGACCTATCCTGACAGCAGATATGTTCACCCAACCAAGTTTCCTCATCAAGTGAATGCCCAAACCGAACACCGAATTCACCGACTCATCCTCATTAATTGATAGCCGATAAGCACCCTAGCATCTAGGGGGAGGGGGGGTGACAACTTAACAGGGTCAATTTTTGTGTTATGATCGACGCCATTGGTATCTTTTGGTTAACGATTTTAATTGTTGTTATTTAAGTCTTAACTGTGTCCTAATCTAACCTAACCTATCTTCTCCTGCCATTTTCTATCTTCCTCTTCCTTCTCTCCTCCATCCCTCCTTCACATTCTCTCTCCTTCCCTCTTCTCTGTCTCTCTCCTTCCCCCCCCCCACCTCCAGATCATCCACTTTCGCCCACCCATAAATTCTTCTCCTCCAACTATTATCCCTCAGAATGATAGCACACGTAAGGCCCCGTGACCTGACCCCAACCGTGACCTCCCTGAACCGGATCTGACACACTGGCGCTCACTCAGGTATGACCCTAAATTACCTGAGAGGAACAGGTGCGCCAGGTAAAAGATGCTGCCCAGGTAAATGATGGAAGTGGCTTATGATATTGGTAGTAGGTGTGAGTGTGGCTTAAGACGTCTGATTGATGTCTGGTTGTGTCTTGAGATGTCTAGTTGTGTCTGAGTGTGGCTTAAGACGTCTAATTGATGTCTGGTTGTGTCTTGAGATGTCTGAATGTGTCTATTTGTGTCTTGAGTCTATAATAATAATAATAAACGTACATGTATAATAAAAACGAAGATAAATAATAACAGAGGTACAAAACAATGCAATAAACTAAGAGTGTAGGAACAGCCTCGTGCACTGGGCGGGTCCTCAATATGCCCACCGTCACCCACACAAACAGCCTCTAACTTAATATAATCTAAGCTTAACTTAATCTTATTTAATCTAAGGTATGTTTAAGGTAAGCTTACTTAACTAAATCTAACCTTAAGTGTAACGTAATCTATCTTAAGTTAAACTAACCTAAGCTTTACCTAATTAATCTAATCTAAACTTAACCTAACCTAACCAAACGCCAGTCATAAGTAAACATATTAATCAATCATACCAAAAAATTTTCATTAAACAAATTCACCAAATATTTTTCACCCTCCAACAGTGAGCCTCAACGATAACTGAACCAGGCATCACATCCACTCCTCAACCACCAATAAAAACCCCACAACTCTAGGAATCTGGTTTCTGGTTGGTTAATGACTCTACACCTCCATCAGGACACAGTTTCCAGATAGTCTGGTCAACATGTGGATATTTTCGTGACAAAGCGTTAATTATTTCTAGTCATATCTGTATCGTTCACTATCTGAGTTGGAAACATAACTTAATGGGTTAGGTTAGGTTATATTACAATAGCTTTAGTCAAATTAACGTTAAAATGAATAAACTTAACGTCAAATGAACTAGGGTGACTAATCTTCAGGTGGTACAATTACTTTTTTTTCTCGTCCAGTTTTACGAGGGATGCTGGAGCCTGGTTGGAGATTAGATCACAGATGATGAAGGATTAGTATGAGGGGCAGGTATAAGGGGGAGGTATGAGGGGCAGGTATGAGGGGTGGGTGAGGGCAGGTGTGAGGGGGGCAGGTGTGAGGGGCAGGTGTGGGGGAGGTATGAAGGGAGGTGTATAGGGGAGAATTATGAGGGGTGGGTGAGGTGGATCAGACTGTCACCTGTACTCTCCTCGGCATACCTGTACAGTCATCAGTGATAGAAATTACAGCCACTGAGACCCTTGTTTGTACATGCCACACACACACACACACACACACACACACACACACACACACACACACACACACACACACACACACACACACACCAGGATGGAAATTTCTCAGGCGATCCCCCAAAAATTAAGTTTCCCCTTTAAAAAAATTTGGTACTCTTACATTTTCTATGAATCAGAGGCAGTGGACGGGACACGTGTTTATTTATTTATATATCCTCACAATAATAACAACAACAATAATAATAATAATAATAATAATAACAACAACAATAATAATAATAATAACAATAAAAAAAACAATAAAAACAATAATAAAAAAAACAATAAAAACAATTGTAATAATAATAATAATAATAATAATAATAATAATAATAATAATAATAACAATAATAATAATAACAGCAAAAAAAAAAATAATAATAATAAATAAATAATAACAATAAATAATAATAATAATAAAAATAATAAATAATAATTATAATAAATAATAACAATAATAATAATAAATAATAATAATGTAAGATGATTAACTGAGGATGACTAAAGAATAATAATAATGATGATGATTGTAAGTTCGTTATCAACTCTAAGATATGAAGATAATATAGGGCGTCTCAATACAAGTGCTCATGGTGTAGTGGTTATCACATCTGTCTAACACACAGAAGGTCCCAGGTTCGATCCCTGGTGAGCACAAGAGTTTTTTAGAAGTTTTAAATAATCCAAGACGAGATTAGCAATAACAATAGTGGAATCCTCCGCTGGCCACTGACCTACCTGGCCACTTCCCTCCGCTGGCCACTGACCTACCTGGCCACTTCCCTCCGCTGGCCACTGACCTACCTGGCCACTTCCCTCCGCTGGCCACTGACCTACCTGGCCACTTCCCTACGCTGGCCACTGACCTACCTGGCCACTTCCCTCCACATGGCCACCCCTTAGTAGGTGGCCATGTGGTTAGGTTAGAGCTACGGTGGTCAATCTTTTGGTTAAGTTACGATAAATTAGTTTAGGTTAGGTTATGTTAAGTTGGGCCAGGTTAGGTTAGGTTATGTTAAGTTGGGCCAGGTTAGGTTAGTAGCACCATTCGTAAGGTATTCACCATTAGCACCAAGGAGAGGATGTATGGTGGTGGTGGTGTAGTGGGTGGTGGGGAGGTGTGGTGGTGGAGGAGGTGTGGTGGTGGAGGAGGTGTGGTGGTAGTGGTGGAGGTGTGGTGGTGCAGGAGCTATACCTGGGTGTGTCGACGTAAACATTGGCTGTTGTGTTTACATTATGCCCCATCACCCCATCCCACCCATCACCGCCCCTCCCCCGCCCATCACCGCCCTTATATACTAGTATCTCTCGCCTCACATCATGCCCTAATAATGTAATTGGCATCTGAGCAAGTTGAACTGAATCACCTGAATATTAACCACCCTAACCTAACCTAACCTAACTGATAAATGCCTAATAATCGGTTGACATAATTTCATCTCTAATTGTATAATCTGGGGTTTTAAAAAATCCTCGAAGAGTAAGAATTATCATGGCAACAAAACCCACTAATTATCATCTTGACTGCGAGAGGAAGGTGAGATAATTGTGGCAGCATCAGTGTCGGTATTATTACTTGTGGTAATAATTGTGGTAATATCGCGGCCTAATATTGATGCCAACCTGTTGTTCCCTCTTCCTGTGCCTCCCTTAACGGCGCCTGTGCAGGTATAACCCACCAAACTACCTAATTCGCACCATCTTCATATTTCTATCTAATTCCCTATATAAATCACAATTAAACCATTGATATTAATTAATATTGAAATAAATATAATTGTTTTTATGGATATTATATATGGATTTATAAATGGTCGTGGTAGTATAAAGAGATACGCCAAGGTTGTGAGATTTAGTGTGCCGTGATTGGCCAGAGGGTGAGGGTGGCACAGCATCCCTCTGAGTCCCTGAAAGCAGTCACGCTCTGAGCCTGTCAGTGAATAGAGGTATAAAACTCATTCATCTCGATTATACATTGGAAAAAATATAATCCATTCATATTATAGTTCTTAAAAAAAAACCTGGAGATGAAAAATAATCCAATTAATCGATTTATATATAATTATCTGGATTATACGTATGAACTAAAGTGAAAAATATATAATCTGACCCGACCAGTGAGCGACAATGTCACATCACCGTAAAAAAAATAATAATTATACAACACGAATTATACAGCCGCCGTTAATATAATCCTCCCATGATTATTACCCACATACAATAATCAACAAAATAAACCAAAAACTACAAAAAATATACAAACTACATAATTATTTCGTGAATTATAAAAAGAAAAGAAAAAATGCTAGTGTCTGCGTGTGTTGGGTAGAGGCAACAGAGCTGTCCCAATTTTAAATAGGTCGGATAATTCCCACAAGACCGGATAATTCCTGGTATTATTTAGCATTTTTAAGGAATATTTAAGTAATATTAAGTGGTCAGAATCTTTTAAAGAGAATTTATAGGAATTTAATATATTTGTGAGTTAAAGATGAACTGACGGTATTGTGCTGCGTGGTGTAGGAAGTGTATTGGCGACTCACAGCTGGTATCGGTCACACACAGCTGGTATTGGCCACACACAGCTGGTATTGGCCACACACAGTTGGTATTGGCCACACGCACGGCTCGTATTGGCCACACACAGCTGGTATTGGCCACACATACAGCTAGTATTAACGCACAGCTGGTATTGGCCACACACAGCTGGTATTGGCCACACACACAGCTGGTATTGGCCACGCACAGCTGGTATTGGCCACACATACAGCTGGTATTAAGTAACTATCACAGCTGGTATTGGCACCATTCGATATCATTATAATACAAATGTAAACATCACCCTTGTGCCTCTATACCTAAACACTAACTCATAATGTGTTCGTCTCTACGTTAGTTAGTTCCTTCTATCCTGTAAGACCTGAAGGAGTGATGGTCCCTTGGGTGTAGTCGTAAGGGGGTAGCTGTAAGGGGTTAGGGTAGGTTAGATTAGGGTAAGTTAGGTTAGGCTAAGTTAGGTTAGGGTAGGGTAGGTTAGGGTAGGGTAGATTAGGGTAGGGTAGATTAGGGTAAGTTAGGTTATGTTAAGTTAGGGTAGGTTAGGGGAGGTTAGGTTAGGGGAGGTTAGATTAGGGTAAGTTAGGTTAGGTTAAGTTAGGGTAGGTTAAATTAGGGCAAGTTAGGTTATGTTAAGTTAGGGTAGGGTAGGTTAAATTCCTCACTAGCACCAGTAACGAAGATGATGGTGAACTATGTACTGCAGTCGTCACGAAAATAACCTGACCTGACTTGACCTGATCTGACCTAAGCTAACCTGACTTAACCTACCCTGGAAAAAGAAGCCTCAAGGATAACTGATACTAGAGATAAGGAACCTAAAAGAAGCCTCGACTGATAGTGGAGAAACAACAAAAACAAGAACAAACCCAAGGACAAGAACAAACCCTATGAGAACAAAAACAGACCCTAGAACAAAAACAACAAATAACAAAATCTAAGAAAAAAAAATCTAGAACAATAAAAAAAACTCTCCTGACAAACACATGACTCCCAAAACAAAAGTGGTGCTGAAAGAAAAAACAATCCTCAAATGGGGTAAAGACTGGCTGCTGTGTGAGATGAAAGGCAAGACGCTAGAGATACACTGCAGGGCGTGTAGAGAGTCGGTGAACGGGTCCTCTGGGTGTCGTGGGGCCGTCAGCGTCGACCCCTTCGTCAGAGGAACGACCAACATCAAGAAATATGCTGTTGATAGACACGGCATGAGTGGTCACCATCAAGCTGCTTATGGTGAGTAGTGTATGTGTGTGTTTGGTGGGTAACGTTTGTGTGTTTTTGTTAAGGTTTATGGAGAAACGTTTGTTTTTCTTAGGTAACGTTTGTGTGTGTGTGTGTTTTGTTGAGGCTTTTGGTAAAAAACGTTTGTGTGTTTATTCAAAGATATTTCTCCTGTATTTCAAGGAATTTCCCAATATTTCCAGGTATTTTTCCTATATTTAAGGTATTTTCTCCCTATACTCTCATATTTTAAGGCAATTTTCCGCACATTTCAAACAATTTCCCCCATATGTCAATGCCATAAGGTAATTTCCCTACATTTTACGGTATATTTCCCTAAACACCAAGCAAATTTCCCCCCATATCTCCAGTTATTTCCACCTTATACTCCATTTTCCCCCTAACAGCTGCATGGAAAACGAAACACCACCAAGAAGAACCAATTGTGGACACAGTGGTGAGGATAAACACAGAATACGTCAACATGCTGAAGCTGTTCGACATTACCTATTACCTGGCCAAGCATGAGTTACCTTTCACACACCTGTCGACTCTGGTCACCTTAGAGAAGAAACACGGGGTGGAGATAGAGATGACATGTACTATACCTTCCCAAGCTCGAGTGTTTACGTGTTATATAGCTGAGGATATTAGAGCCAAGACTATATCTAGGTTGAAGACGGTGAAATATATTAGTGTTGTGATGGATGTTATGACTACTGCTGCTACTACTACTACTACTACTACTGCGACTACTACAGGGTCAGGAAAGAAGGTGCTCGCATATGTGGTGTTCCTACAAGATGGTTATCCACAGATTAAATTATTAGGGTAAGTTACATTGGATCATATGAAGATTAAATACTCTGGTTTATAATACCTTAAAATTAACCACCTTTAATCTAACCTAACCTACTCTAACCTACCCTAACCAACTCTAACCTACCCTAACTTAACCTACCCTACTCTAACCTACCCTAACCTAACCTACCCTACCCTGACCTAAACTGTTTAATATTCATCTAATACCTTTTATTCACTCGTTTATTTAATGTTTAATTTTTTTTTTACTCAAACAGAATTCGAGATCTCAGAAGCCCCACAAGTGACGGATTCCTTGTGTGTCTGAGTTCAACTTTAGAAAACTCGAAGATACGTGATTGGAAGACACATATGGTCGGGTTTGGTATTGAAGGGACGAAGATAAACACCAATAAGGAACTTTACACCAGGTTGACGAATATAGTGCCATGGATAGAGAGGATACCTTGTGTGGCGTATCGTCTAGAATTGGCTCTCAAAGATGTCATACAATCATACTTTGCCGAGGTTTGTATGAGTTACAGGTTGTCTTAAGTGTATAATCCTGTATAAAATACTTTGAGATCACGTTAAGATACAAAAATATTAGGACCAGTTTGAAATTTAATGGCAAAAAATGATCAGTTTAGCAAATTTTTAATCACTGAAGCGTTAATTAACTCTGTATACTAGAAAATCATTGCATAAATTCTCACTAGATTAATTAATTACAAAACAATTACGTTATATAAAAAAATCAAATGTTTGTTTTCTTATGATAGTTTTATTTTGTTTCCAGATTGATGAGTTGTTATGGTCATTCAGCGCCATCTATCACAAGTTACCTAAACGACCGCGGGAACTGAAGGAGGTGTATGATATCCTGCAGGACAACACCTTAAAACACATACGGGAAGATGATACCCGCTGGCTGGAGCATCGGCGACGACTCCTGGCGGCCCTGGACACCTGTTACCCTGAGCTCATTAAACACCTGGGGAATATATGCGAGAGACACGACACAGAGGAGGAGACACCCACACTGAGGAGCTGGTTGATGAGGTTGACGCACTTCAGGTTCCCGCTACACCTGGCCTTCTACAGAGACATCCTTCAGGAGCTGTCAGAAGTCTTGATGTTGTTTCAGAAGGAAGGTGTGAGTGTCGCTCATGTTATAGAAGGCGTCAAAACACATCAACAGGTCTTGGAGGACATGATTACCTGTGATGGAGCCAAAGTTAAGGTGTTGAGGCAGGGAGTGAGTCAAGACAGGTACAGGGGCGTGAGCTTCAGTCAGGTGCGTGAAGCTGAGGATGACTTTGTTAACTCCAGGGGGCGACTCATCCACTCTATCCTCCACTGCCTGACGGAGAAGTTCCACAGTTTCACCACAGATGAAGTCCTCAGAGCTACAGCGGTGCTCGACCCCAAGAACTGGCCACAGGACCTGACTGGCTACGGGTACGATGAGATCCAGTTACTGCTTCACCACTACGAGTCTGTCCTGACACACAACGGCTGCAACACCTTAGAGGCTCTAGCTGAATGGGTCCGTCTCAAGTTGACCATCAGGAAACACTATCATGGCGTTCCCTGGTCACAGCTATGGGGGGAACTATTCACCCGCAGGAGACTTGAGTATGAAAATATCCTCCATCTTGCTGAAATAATCTTGGTGTTCCCACTATCAACACACAAGCTAGAGCGAACCTTCTCCACCATGTGTCGTGTGAGGACTGACTGGCGGGTTAACCTGGACACAACGACACTAGATGACTTGATGCAGGTGTCTATAGAAGGGCCCTCGGCTACAGACTTCACCGGGGACTCTGCCGTCACTAGGTGGTGGAGAGAAGGTAGACAAGACAAGAGGCTCCAGGCGTCCACACCCTCTACAGGAGCACCGTCATCACTACCACCCACGTAACTCAGACACGAAGAACAACGGGGAGACAAAGACGCAGAAGAGGTAGAAGAAATGAACGAAAATAAAAGAAAAAACGCCCAAATAACCGCCAAATGAACGAAAACCAAAGAAAAAACGCCAAAATAATAACCACCTCCTCTTTATAACTTCCTGAACGATTATAAACCAAAAACTTTGAAGAAAAAAAATACGAATGATTTACCAAAATTTTTAAAATTGTTTGTTTTGTGAAGTTTACATCAGCGGCCATCTTGAGACTACCCCATACGTGAAATTAACATACAGTATACATACAGGTTTATTAACATACTTGGTAGAGTGTAACGATACTTTACGCGGGAGTATTGTATATTATCACTCGTTTACGATAATGATATTAACAGTGAGTGAGATATGGAGGTGCTACTGTGTGTGTGTGTGTGTGTGTGTGTGTACCTATGGCTATGTATGTATATGTATGTCTGTATGTATATATGTGTCGTTCGTAAGACCCATATACATTAAACACCTATAACTGGACCCTAACACCTGTACACACCTGACAATTAACACCTGACAGAGACACACTTCATGCACTAGAGTCAATATAATGTTATCAACCATGGCATCTTAATCTGCCCAGTGTCTGTCCGTCAATTTCCAGAAGGTGCTTTGTGTGGTTAGAAATGGTTCACTAATTGCTACTCTTGGGTCATTAAGGCTCATATTAGCTAAACATGCTTGCTGTTCATCACTAATTGCTACTCTTGGGTCATTAAGGCTCATATTAGCTAAACATGCTTGTTGTTCATCACTAATTGCTACTCTTGGGTCATTAAGGCTCATATTAGCTAAACATGCTTGTTGTTCATCACTAATTGCTACTCTTGGGTCATTAAGGCTCATATTGGCTCATCATGTTTGTTATTGCTGGTATTTTTTTTATTAACGTAGGTCATTTGTGATGTTATTGTTGTTATTGTTATTTTATGTGTATGTATGTGTGTGTGTATGTGTGTGTGTTTGTGTGTGTGTGGACGGCGCTGGCAGTGTGTTTACAAATTGTTGACGTCAAGGACGATAGAGGTACTAGAAATGTGCGCATTGTGAAACCTCTATTTAACGGACTTCTATTTAACGGACCTTTGTTTAACGGACTTCTATCAGTGTATATAGTCCGTTACATGGGGGTTTCACTTCTAACAGACCCTCGATATAACGGACTTCCCTCTCCATACAGTCCGCTAAATAGAGGTTTTACTGAATATTTACTGTCCTCACGTGTCAAATGTGTGAATAAATGCGGATCCTTAGCACAGCGCTTGTTTAACCAACCACATGTGTTCCCTACTGAGAAACGTTCACTATTTTTCCCATTGAGAAATTTTGCCTATTTATCCCTACTGAGAAACGTTCACTATTTTTTCCCCATTGAGAAAAACATCAATTAAATCTGGAAAAAAGTAAAATAAAAGAAAAAAGATAAAAATAAAACACTCACCCAAGACGTTGTTTGTGTGATGACGTAACTCGTTCTGAAACAAACAAACAAACAAACAAACATTAATCCTCCTGAAATAAAACAAACAGATGAGGAAAATTCACCTCAGCTTATTTCACCTGAAGATTAACCACCCTAACACTATTGGCGGGGATGGGGTTAGGTTAGGCTGGGTCAGGATAGGTTGAGTTAGGTTAGTGTTACATTAGGTTAGGTTAGTGTTACATTAGGTTAGGTCAGTGTTACGTTAGGTTAGGTAATGTTACATTAGGTTAGGTGTTACGTTAGGTTAGGGTTACATTAGTTAGTTAGTGAGCATGTTAGGTGTGTTACAGTAGGTTAGGTCAGTGTTACATTAGGTTAGGTCTGTATATATTTAGTTAGGTCAGTGTTACATTAGTTAGGCAGTGTTACGTTAGGTTAGTGTTACATTAGGTTAGGTTAGTGTTACATTAGGTTAGGTCAGTGTTACGTTAGGTTAGTGTTACATTAGGTTAGGTCAAGTGTTACGTTAGGTTAGTGTTACATTAGGTTAGGTTAGTGTTACATTAGGTTAGGTTAGTGTTACATTAGGTTAGGTCAGTGTTACATTAGGTTAGGTTAGTGTTACATTAGGTTAGGTCAGTGTTACATTAGGTTAGGTTAGTGTTACATTAGGTTAGGTTAGTGTTACATTAGGTTAGGTCAGTGTTACATTAGGTTAGGTTAGTGTTACATTAGGTTAGGTTAGTGTTACATTAGGTTAGGTTAGCCACTGGTTATACCATATATGAAAGCTTTATATATCCCACATTTGCTATATCATTATTTTCAGCTTTCAGACCAAAAAACAATCCAGACCAGAGACAAACATATCTGGGCTGAACGCTACGAGGGGAAGGAGGTGCGTTCATAATTGATTTCCTCCATTAGTGAACTCGATAAACTCATGAGAAACGTATTAATAAGTGAAATAAAAATGAAACCAATTTAGAACGCGGGGTAAATATTTCAGGGTGTTATATGAACGCTGAAGGTGTTATGATAATGAACGCCACGTCTATAATCTATTTCCTGTGAACGTAGATATTATTGAACGCCTTATGAGTGAGGTGAACGCCAAGCCTATAATCTATCTCCTGTGAACGTAGATGTTATTGAACGCCTTATGAACGTATAACTCCCCTGAAATCTATTAGACATGTGAACGCGCTTATTCCTGTGACAATCCCTCGTAAAATAAGTGAACGTGTCTAACCCTTGAAGAAAGTGAACGCCCCCGCTGAACCCCAGACAACAACAACGAAAACAACAAGGAAGGTGAGGAAGAAAAACAAAAGAAGAAAGAAGAGGAGAAGAAGAGGAGGAAGTGAAGAAGAAAAAGGAAGAAGAGGGATAAAGATGGGGAAGAGGAAGACCATTGATGAAGATTGGGAGAGGGAGGAACTGGCTGTCCCTCTCCCTATACAAACCTTCCTGTGGCGCCAGAGCAGGTGAGAGGGGTGAGGCTAGTATGAGAGGGATGAGGCTAGGAAGAGAGGGATGAGGCTAGGATGAGAGGGATGAGGCTAGGAGGAGAGGGATGAGAGGGATAGGGCTAAGGTGAGAGGGAAGGAACTAGCTGTCCCTCTCCCTATACAAACCTTCCTGTGGCGCCAGAGCAGGTGAGAGGGGTGAGGCTAGTATGAGAGGGATGAGACTAGGAAGAGAGGGATGAGGCTAGGATAAGAGGGATGAGGCTAGGGTGAGAGGGATGAGGCTAGGATGAGAGGGATCGGGCTAAGGTGAGAGGGAAGGAACTCTATTTGATTAGTTTCATTCAATTTCTTATTTATTAAGTATTTATGAATGGAAAAATAATGCAATGTTTATAAATAAGAAAGAGAGAGAGAGAGAGAGAGAGAGAGAGAGAGAGAGAGAGAGAGAGAGAGGCGTAAGAATGAAACAGCTGGAGAAAGAGACAGACAGACAGAGAGACAGGGGAGGTTAGAGATAGACACATGGTCAAAAATAGAGACAGAGCGAAAAAAGAGAGAAAAAAAGAGATAGAGAAAAAGAGAAAGACAGAGAATGAGAGACAGACACCCATCATCAATAACACACATCCTCTCTCTCTCTCTCTCTCTCTCTCCCCACAGTCCTTTCATCAGACCAAAATTGGGGAAACTCCACGAAGCTACCTGTATGGTAAGTCACCTGTACACCTGTCTATATTAATTACCACCTGTCTATATTAATTACCACCTGTCTATATTAATTACCACCTGTCTATATTAATTACCACCTGTCTATATTAATCTCACCTGTTCCATCATATATTTATCAAAACTCAGATAAAATGTGGTTGATAAAAATTATAATATATAACACTATATATGATGCCCTTGTGGAAGTTTATCCTAGTGCAGTCACACCTCCATATAACGGACTTCGATTTACCGGACTTCTGTTTACCGGATCATTTATGGACTTCTGTTTACCGGACTTCTATTTACCGGACTTAGATTTACCGAACTTCTATTTACCGGACTTCGATTTAATGGACTAATCTCTTATAGTCCGTTAATAAGGATTCATATATAAAGAGAAGAAAGGAGAGTAGGGAAGGAAAAAGACGATCCCTGCCTCCTCTTCTCTTCCTCCTCCTCCTCCCTATCTTCCTCCTTCTCCTCCTCCTCCCTATCTTCCTCCTTCTCCTCCTCCTCCCTATCTTCCTCCTTCTCCCCAACAAAAGGAGGAACATTCGACTATAATCTTTATGTCAATGGTGGAGTGATCAGACACAAGTGGTCCACGCCGGGGAGATATTGCTCTCTCTCTCTCTCCTCCTGATGGGGTGGTAATGACGGGGGGTGATGGTGGGTGACGGGTGAGGAGAACAGGGAAGGTGAGACACATCAATACCTCTATCCCTCTCTCTCTCTCTCTTTAATTCTCTCTGTCTTTTCTTTCTCTCTTTCGTTATGAGGGGTGAAGGAAGTAGGAGATGGAGGAATGGGGGAGATAAAGGAATGAGAAAAGGGAGGTAAGGAGTGGGAGAAGAAAGAGAGAGGGAGGTGAGGATTGAGAGAAAGAGATAGTGGTGGAGGTGTGAGAAGGAGATACAGGTGAAGTGAGGGAAAAGGGGGGTGAGGAAAGCCCTAGGGGAGTACAGTCCCTGAGGAGTGCTATAGAGATATAGGCTGATCTAAGGCAAGACTGGACCCACTTGTGTGTGTGTGTGTGTGTGTGTGTGTGTGTGTGTGTGTGTGTGTGTGTAGTGTGTATGTATGTATCATCATCATGTATACAGACAACAATACATACATAAAGACACATAAGGCAATGAATACAACCCTTTTTAAAACTGTGCCATTCTCCCATAGACCGGCGGTAAATAAAGGCAGTGTAGGAATTAATGATAAGGGGGAGAAGAGGTTATAGTCCAGCCTAAAAACACAGGCAATCCAATCAAACGTATTGTGGTTTATATAAAAGGCAAAGGGGGGAGGGAAGGTGCAATAAAGGGGGAGGGGGAAGGCAATAAAGGGTTGACAAGTGTTCAATAAACAATAAGAGGATTACTATCCATAATTTAGGGTCAGGTGAGAGAGAGAGAGAGAGAGAGAGAGAGAGAGAGAGAGAGAGAGAGAGAGAGAGAGAGAGAGAGAGAGAGAGAGAGAGAGAGAGAGAGAGAGAGAGAGAGAGAGTCGATGAATGTGGGTTAGTAGAAGGTGTTATGATATTGGTGGGTGGGAGGATGGTGGTAGTAGTGGTGGTGATGGTAGTAGGTAATGGTGGTAGTAGTGGTAGTAGTAGTAGTAGTGGTGGTGATGGTGGTATAGTGGTGTTAGATGGTGATAGTAGGGATGGTAATGTTGAAAGGAAGTGATGGTAGTTATGGTGGTGGTGGTAGTGTTGGTGATGGTGGTGGTAGTAGTAGTAGTGGTGATGGTGGTATAGTGGTGGTGGTAGTGATGGTGGTAGGTGGTGGAGAGGGAGGGAGAGGGCACACCACTCTCACTTATTGATCCTTCGCTCTCCCACCCTCCCACCTGTTATCTCAGGGAGAGCCAGGCACCCCCCCCTCTCCCCCCCCCAGGCAAACACTCCCCCCTCCCACACCCTCATCCCATCCCCCTAAGAGAGGCAAGCAGAGAGGGTGAGAGAGGGAGACGGGGTGTAGATAGGAGAGAGGGATAAAGAGGGGAAGAGAGAGAGAGAGAGAGAGGGAGAGAAAACTGGTAAGAGTAATTAAGGAGACACAAATACATGTAATAAGAACGAAGAAAAAGAACAAGGAGAGGAAGAAGAATAACAAGGAGAGGAAGAAGAAGAATAAGGAGGAGAGGAAGAAGAATAGGCAGGGAGGAAGAATATTTAGGACCTTACTGATACACACATAGATTGATTCAACCAACTTAACGATAAACACGGTTGAGAAGAGGAGGAGGAGGGAGGAAGGAGGAAGGAGGAAGAGGGGAGAGGTGGAGGAGGGGAAAGAGGAGAAGAAGGAAGAGGAGGTGGAGGAGGAAGAAGAGGGAGGTTCACCCCAAAGAAGGAGGAGGAGGAGCAAGGAGAAAGAGGAGGAAGAGGAAGGGGGAGGAGGTTTAAAGGAGGGATAAGGTTTACTGAAGAGGAGGACGAATGATAAGGTGGTTGGAGGAGGAGGAGGTGAGGAGGAGAGGTAAGAAGGAGCAGGGGAGGAGGAGGAAGGGGAGGAGGGGGGGGGTTGAAGTGGAGGGTGGGCTGGAGATAAGTGAGATACAGTGGTGTGTGAAGAAGGAATATTCTCCAAGAACTCTCTCTCTCTCTTTCTCCTTTTCTCACGTTTCCCCTCCCTCCCTCACCTTCCCCCTCCCTCCCTCTCTCCCTCATCTTCTCCCTCCTCCCTCACCTTCCTCCTTCACTCCCTCACCTTCTCATCTCCTCCCTCACTCCCTCCTGTCTCATAAACCAGTGAGTTGGACGACGACCCAGAATAACAGGTAATGATTGTGGTTGTATTATGGCCCCCCACCACCACTACTACCACAACTACCACCACTACTACCACAACTACTACCACTACTACTACCACAACTACTACCACTACTACTACCACAACTACTACCACCCCCACCACAACTACAACCACCACTACTACCACAACTACCACCACTACTACCACCCCCACCACCACAACTACCACCACTACCACAATTACCCCCACAACTACTACTACCGATATGACCTTTTAAAACTCAGACGAGAGCTAGGATAAAAATAATATGATTGATGAAGGAGGGAAGGAAGGAGGGAAGGAGGGAAGGAGGGAGGGAGGGAGGTGTTGGAGCAAGTATGGAGGGGTAATTGTTTGAGATAGACAGATAGATAGATAGATAGATAGAGAGATAGAGAGAGAGAGAGAGAGAGATAATGTGATACCGGAGCTGACCTAACCCACTGTGACCGTAAATCGATATATGAAGGAGTTCCACAACCGTTCATCTTCCTCCTATTCTTTCTCCTTCCTCTTCTTATTCCTTATTCTCCTCTTCCTTCCTTCGTCCTCCTTATCTTTCCCCTCCTCCTCCTCTTCTCCCCCCATTTTTCTCCCCTTTCTCCTCCATTTTCCTACTCTTCCTTCTTCCTCCTCCACCTCCTTCTCTTTCTCCCGTTTCTCCCCTTCCTTCCCTTCCTCCTCTTCCTTATCTCCTCTCTTCTTCTCCTCCTCTTCACTACCATAACTCTAAACTCCCCATCTCTCTTTCTCTCTCTCTCTCTCTCTCTCTCTCTCTCTCTCTCTCTCTCTCTCTAGGCCCTGCAGAATGACTCCCACATAGAGAAACAAAAGACCGAACATCTTTTTTTTAACAATATAGACAAAAGCCGCTCAGGTAAATAAAACTCGCCCAGGTAAACAATAGCTCCGTGATTGGCAGTTTTCAAGTCCCCTTTTGATGAGGTGCGGTGGTCGAGAGGTAAATGTGATCGTCCTCTGTCTTACGTGACGCTGGTTCGATTTCTTATTATTTCCCGGTTAGGTTGAGATAGGTTAGAGTATGTTATGTTTGGTTAGATTAGGTTAAGTTAGAGTTAGGTTACACTATGTTATGTTAGGATAGGTTAGGGTAAAGTTAGATTACGTTATGTTTGGTTAGATTAGGTTAGAGTTAGGTTAGACTACGTTATGTTTGGTTAGATTAGGTTAGAGTTAGGTTAGACTACGTTATGTTTGGTTAGATTAGGTTAAAGTTAGGTTAGACTACGTTATGTTTGGTTAGATTAGGTTAGAGTTAGGTTAGACTACGTTATGTTTGGTTAGATTAGGTTAGAGTTAGGTTAGGTTAGGTGAGGTTATATGTAAAGTAGATTAAAGTAAAGTAAGGTTAAGTAAAAGTAGAGATAGTAAAAGTAAAGTAAAGTATAAGAGAATAATAGTAACATAGTAAGTAAAAAAGTAGAGTAGAGGTAAAGTAGAGGTAGAGTAAAGTAGAGGTAGAGTAGAGTACAGTAAAAGTAGAGTAGAGGTAAAGTAGAGGTAGAGTAAAGTAGAGGTAAAGTAGAGTAGAGGTAAAGTAGGTCTAAAGTAAAGTAGAGATAGAGTAAAGTAAGGATTAAGGAAGAGAGGAGGAAGGAAGATAAGGGTTACGGCTGGACCTGCCTCCTGAACCAGCGTCGCCTAGCAACCACATCCACCAGTGTCCCGACGCCTACACACTGGCTTAGCTCTTATGTTCCTTACTATCTCTCTCTATTCTCAATCTCTGTCTTATGTTCCTTCTATATCTCTCTCTCTTTATCTCCTATCTCTCTCTCTTTATCTCCTATCTCTCTCTTTATTTCCTATCTATCTCTCTCTCTTATGTTTCTTCTCTCTCTCTCTCTCTCTTATGTTCCTTCTATCTCTCTCTCTCTCTCTCTTAGGTTCCTTCTCTATCTCTATTCTATCTTCCTATCTCCATTTTTATCTCAGTGTTGTCTATTTCCTCTTTCATCTCTATCTCGCCCTATTCTGCCGTCATCTGCCTTCCCTCTCTATATCATTATACGATTTTATTCACTATTATACGATGTTATTCACTATTATACGATGTTCTTCAAAGTTGTTGTATATATCAACCACATTTTATACATGTAATATAGTATATAATAATATAACCTATAATCGTGATACAGTCTTATTCCTATATTATAGCTCTTAATATAATGGTTTGGTCTCCTTGGCTATGATGATATTATTGTTATTATTATTATTATTGTAATTGTTATTATTATTATTAGTTATTATTATTATTATTATTGTTGTTATTATCATTATTATTATTGTAGTTCTTCCTCTTATTAGTATTACTACAGTACTATCAATGTTATTATTATTAGTCATTTTTATTATTGTTATTATCATTATTAATATCGTAGTTCTTCTTATTATTATCATTACTGTTATTGTTATTATTAAGACTTTCTTGGTAAATTTAAAAACTGTTAATATTTATAAGCATATAATATTGTGTCTGCCTCAGAGCTAAAGTACAACACAAATAAATACAAATGTACTACAAAATTAAACTATTCTGTACTACATAATTAAGTAAATTTATCATATAAACATTAACAAAACATTCGATTAATTTAACACTTGAGCTGTGAGGCAAATAATATAAACATAACCTAATGTTTGAGATGTTTAACCGCTTTATTCTGACAGTTCTGCCAGACAGCTCCTAGTCACCACGTGAGTCAGGATTCTACACACTATCTCACCCTATTTTAACTTGTTAATACCTTACCTACCCCCTCACATAGTTCCTGGATGTAAACAAACCCCCTCACATAGTTCCTGGATGTAAACAAACCCCCTCACATAGTTCCTGGCTGCAAACAAACCTCCGTTAACACCCTTACACAGTCCCTGAATGTAAGCAACACCCCATTACCCCCTACATCGTATCTAGATGTAAACAAACCCCCCCTACATAGTCTGTAGATGTAAACAAAACCCCCCCTACATAGTCTCGTGGTATAAACAAACCCCCCTGTACCCCCTACATAGGTTCTAGATGTAAACAAACCCCCTATATAGTATATAAGTGTAAACAACCCCCCCTACATTGTCACTAGACGTAAACAAACTCTCCTTTTCCCCCTCACATAGTTCCTGGATATAAACAAACCCCCTATATAGTCACTAGATGTAAACAAACTCCCCCTTACCCCCACATAACCTCTAGACGTAAACACAACCCCCTCCCCCCTCCATAACACAACCTGTTTACCTTAGCATAGAGTTGTAGTTTGGTGATGATGTCTGTCTGTATGTTTTTTAAACCCTAGAGATGCTGCTTGTTATATTTGGAGTTGGTAATACTGGTTTAGTCAATAAGTACGTTGTTTATGTCCTGAGTTGGTAACACTTATTCTTCCAGGGGTACTTTTGTTTATGCCCGAAGATGGTAATACTGTACTAGTCAAGGGTTGTGTTCTTATGTCTGGAGTTGGTAATATTGGTTTGTTAAGGGTTGTTTATGCCTAGAGTTGGCAACACTGATCAAGGGTTGTTTGTTTACGCCTTGACTTGGAAACAGTGATCATGAGTTATTTGCTTAAGCCTAGAGTTGGTAATATTGGTTGGTCAAGGGTTGTTTGATAATAGATCGAGCTGGTAATACTGTAGGCATAGAGTCTGCCTGATAACAATGAGGGTTGATATTGTTTATCTTAATCTGGCAACAGTGATGATTGACAGTGTTTATATCTTAATCTGGCAACAATGACTGAGGTAACTTCCTCCACCCTGGCTCACGTGCAATATATTCCTCCCTCCCTCTCCCTCACACTCACCCCCTCCCTCACACTTACCCCCTCTCCCTCACTTACCCCCTCTCCCTCACACTTACCCCCTCTCCCTCACACTTACCCCCTCTCCCTCACTTTCTCCTCCCTTGCCCCCTCTCCCCTCCACACTTGCCCCCTCTCCTCCCACTTTCCCTCTCCTCCACACTCACCCCCTCTCTCCACTTACCCCCTCTCCCTCCACACTCCCCACCCCCTCTCCTCCCTTTTCCCCTCTCCCTCACTCTCGCTCCTTCCTCAATTACCTTTATCTCCTGCTTCTGTCCTTCTTACTCACTTGTCTCTGTTCTCACCTACTTCTCCTGCATCCCCTCACTTCCTCCAACACCTCCCCTCCTCCCACTCCCCGTACCCTTGCTTCCCTCCCTCACGTTCTCTCACCTCCCTCACCTTCCTCTTCCCTCTCCTCCCCATGCCTGCTTCTCCCTCCGTTCTCCACCTCACCTTCTCTCACTACCTCCTCCCCGTGCCTGCTTCTCCCTCCCGTTCTCTCTCCTCACGCTTCTCACTACCTCACTCCCGTGCCTGCTTCTCCCTCACGTTCTCCTCCGCCCTCTGTCTCTCACCTCCCCTCCATGCCTGCTTCTCCCTCATTCTCTCACCTCCCTCACATTCTCTCACCTCCTCCAGCACCTCCCTCACCTTCTCTCACTCCCTGTGCCTGCTTCTCCCTCACGTTCTCTCACCTCCCTCACTACTCACTCCCCGTGCCTGCTTCTCCCTCACGTTCTCTCACCTCCCTCACCTTCTCTCACTACCTCACTCCCCGTGCCTGCTCGCATTTCAATCAGTACCTGTCCGCCACCCACTGCTTGCGTCCTGTTAACTGTACTGTATTTATCTTAGTTCCTTGCAAGTGCTTGTTACTCTACACCTGAAGGTTATGTGTGTGTGTGTGTGTGTGTGTGTGTGTTACTGTATGTCCGTAATAAATGCATGTCTGTGTATGTAATATTTAGATACAATTAGCACTTCACACACAAACACACACACCACTTCCTCTTATTAATGTCGTGTTGTTGTCTTGCATGTTAGTTACGTCTTCGTCTTGGCAACGATGATAAGAATAATAATCTCAATCTATACTCTATTAGCTACTATTAAGATGTTATTTATAGACCATTAAGTAATAGAAAACAAAGCTTTTAAATGTTTGCTATTAAAAGTTATGCATTAGTATTTAAATAGGAGTGTTTATTATTAACAAATTATCCCCAAAATAGGTAATTAGCATATTTATTCATGATTGGTTAGGTTAGGTTTGTGTGTGTGTGTCAAGTGATTTATGTATTTGTATTTTGCACTTGGAGTAAACAGTAAAGTAAGATTAGGTTAAGTTAGGTTAGGTTAGTTTTGTTTGGGTTGAGTTAGTTTAGGTTAGGTTAGATTAGTTGATATGGGGATAGCAGTTTAGGTTAATCTAGTTTAGCATAGTTTAGATTACGTGACGTTACGTTAAGTTAGGCTAGGTCAAGCAAGGTTAGGTTAGGTTTGGTGAGATTAGGTTAGGGGGAGGAGGGCTTGGGAGGCTATAATACTCAAATTCTCAATAATACTCTAAGTCTTTTCCCATTTCTGAGTTATAATGCTTCCTGTGTGCTGGATGTAAGTGGCTCTAATCTAATCTCTCATAAAGAGCCATTCTTGTTTACGTGTCTTGTTTACATTATACTTCTGGCTATGCGTCTTGCTTATTTGTTTACATCTTTAAGTAAATTCACTGACTGGCATGTTTTCAAGTCATTGGTTTAATATACGAGTTTATAAATATATATCACATGTACGTCTGTCTGTCTGATGCTTAAATCTAATATATCTTTCTTGCTTACTTTCTCTCTATCTCTCTTTACCTTTGATTTCTTTTTCTCTCTCTCTATATATATATCTATCTATCTCTTATACAATTCAATTCAGGTATATAATTCTATTCAATATTCAAACAAAAACAAACACCTTGACTAGAAAAAGCGCGCGAAGCCTCTGCCATTGTTTACATACGTTACCATGACAACCAGAAGCTGTGCCTCCGTATACCACCTACCTAATACACTCATTAACCTTGACCCATTAATCATGACTATATTTCCTCCCACCTCACTCAGGAGATCAAGGAAGCCTCCAAGGTTAGTCACTGACTCACCTCGCATGATCTTATAGTGACTCAGGATCTTAAATGAGTCACTTTGATGTTATTAGGATTATTTGTTATATTTTGTTATATAGTAAATGGCTATATTAGTTACTATATTTACCTTATTATAATAAATGACTTAGTTGATGTTTATACCTTTATTATATTATTTTTTATCTATTATTACTTTAACTTTAATGTGCATGATTCTTAGGACAATATTAGACGTATTTTTGCAGTACCGGACTTTTTTTTTTTGCACAATACGGTTCTTATTTTGCACAATACCGGACTATATGTGCACAATATCGGACTATATTTGTACATTACTAGATAAATTTTGCACAATACGGTTCTTATTTTGCATGGAATTCATGTACATTTTGTAAAGTAATTTTTTTAAATATATTGATAAAATTAATGACGTATTGATAATTGTTGATACGGATAATTAATGTTGATAATTATTCTTGATATAGATAATTATTGACGATAAATTGAACCAGGCTGATAGTTCCATTGATCATTGATAAGGAAAATTACATGTAAAGTATTAACCAAATTTCCTCAGAGATTGGTAACACTGTTCTACTTAAGGTAAACTTGGCAACAGTTGTGATGGTTTGTGAATTATATTAAACTTAGGTTAAAACTATCAAGGTTTAACTGTTGAGACTCGAGATATTAAGAAAACATTTACCTCAACCTTTATGTTATGTAAACAAACAATAAATATTTACCTTGTGTGTGTCAGGTGGAGGCGGGTCATCTTGTTTATTCACTCTTCTTGTCGTTTTTTTCCACTTTATCTCATTATTTCTTCACTTTTTCTCACTATTTCTTCACTTTATCTCACTATTTCGTCACTTATCTCACTATTTCTTCCCTTTATCTCACTATTTCCTCACTTTATCTCACTATTTCTTCACTTTTTCTCACTATTTCTTCACTTTATCTCACTATTTCGTCACTTATCTCACTATTTCTTCCCTTTATCTCACTATTTCCTCACTTTATCTCACTATTTCGTCACTTATCTCACTATTTCTTGCCTCATCTCACTATTTCGTCACTTTATCTCACTATTTCTTCCCTTTATCTCACTATTTCTTCACTTATCTCACTATTTCTTCACTTTTCTCACTATTTCTTCATTTATCTCACTATTTCTTCAATTATCTCACTATTTCCTCACTTTATCTCACTATTTCCTCACTTTATCTCACTATTTCTTCACTTTTCTCACTATTTCTTCACTCTATCTCACTATTTCCTCACTTTATCTCACTATTTCCTCACTTATCTCACTATTTCTTCACTTTATCTCACTATTTCGTCACTTATCTCACTATTTCCTCACTTTATCTCACTATTTCTTCACTTTACCTCACCATTTCTTCACTTTATTTCACTATTTCGTCACTTATCTCACTATTTCCTCACTTTATCTCACTATTTCCTCACTTTATCTCACTATTTCTTCACTTTACCTCACTATTTCGTCACTTATCTCACTATTTCCTCACTTTATCTCACTATTTCTTCACTTTACCTCACTATTTCTTCACTTTATTTCACTATTTCGTCACTTATCTCACTATTTCCTCACTTTATCTCACTATTTCGTCACTTATCTCACTATTTCTTCACTTATCTCACTATTTCTTCACATTATCTCACTATTTCCTCACTTATCTCACTATTTCCTCACATTGTCTCACTATTTCTTCACTTTATCTCACTATTTCTTCACATTATCTTGTATACACGTAGACATAAGGAAAATAACATGAAGGTGAACATTGGTGTTAGTAGAACAGAACCCTAACATAACATCCAGGTGAACATTGGTGTGTCTCACTACCTGAAGTTGGCACCGTTATACGTTTCCAGCACTGACGGGGCAGGTGTTAGTATACTGTCCTCCCCTGACACACTAAGGTTCACAGGCCGACTCTTGGTGGACCTTCATTAACTCAACAACAAAACAAAACATTTAACTTTATATTCTGAAGGTGAAGATTTTAACACAATATAACATTTACGTTAATCAGTTAATTATCTAAACGTTAACCAGCACTTAACTTAACCCTTTACCGCTACGTCCTGGATAAGGGTACTGACGTCACATCCTGTAAAACAAACTTATATTAGATACAGAATTTAACACCAATACAGTTTTCCATAATGGGTAATATTTTCAAAACATTCCATGACTTTTCCAGGACTATCAATGAGTGTGGGAACCCTGATTACTTATTTAATTATTATTATTATGCTTATTATCTTTACTAAAACATTACTATTTCATAAACTTTTTTTATTACCTTTTATCATTGTTAATGAATGTATCCTCCCCCCCTCCTGGTGACAGTCGCTGGAGTGTGGGAACCCTGATTACTTATTTAATTATTATTATTATGCTTATTATCTTTACTAAAACATTACTATTTCATAAACTTTTTTTATTACCTTTTATCATTGTTAATGAATGTCTCCTCCTCTGGTGACAGTCGCTGGAGTGTGGGAACCCTGATTACTTATTTCATGAACATTATTACTCTTGTTATCATTACTACAGTTTCATTACTCTTAATCAATTCTACATTTGTATCATTATTATTACTCTTATTATCATTACTACACATTTGATCATCATTATTATTCCTCTTATTATCATTATTATTATCATTACTACACATTTCATCATTATTATTACTATTATTCCTCTTATTATCATTACTACACATTTCATTCTCATTATTTAAAGTATTATTAACGCGTGTACCCCCTCCCCCGCCCTTGACAGTCGCTGGAGAAAGTGTTGGTTCAGAATATTCTCTTCGGTCTGTCTCCCTCACTGACCGATGCTATTAAGAGTATTCCAAGATGGCGGTTCATCCAGGCAGCCGTCCCTCATGTTATGCACTGCGCTGCCTCCCTTCTCTACAACAGGTACTGTGCCCTCCCTCCCTCACCTCTATATAACACGTATCTTCCCTCCCTCCATCACCCCTCCCTATCCTAACCTAACTGGAGGTTAATCAGGTGAAATAAACTGGGGTGGATATTCTTCATGTGGTGGAAGTGGGACCGGTGTTTTAAAAATAGCTCTTATGTTTACTGGTTGTTCAGGCGAGAGTCGACCATCACCAACTTGGGGGCGGCGGAGACAAAGCTGCTGTACACTTTACACTGGATCATCCTGGACGCCGCTGAGGAGTGTGCTGACGCTGACCACGAGAAGGGCATCAACAAGGCCAACACCTTCCCCTACCTCTTCTCTATCGCTACCATCCAGGTGAACCTTACGTCATTAATCATCAGGTGAACCTTGCTTCATTAATCATCAGGTGAACCTTGCTTCATTAATCATCAGGTGAACCTTACTTATAAATCAAGGTAAAGCGGACGAATAATCTGTTATATCTCCCAGAAACAAGTAAAATTAAGGAGTTCATTTTGATTAACATCGGAACTAAAATATGCATGGACACACACGTAACAGGCACCACCGAGCAACACAAGTGGCAAACAGCTTGTATTTTATTCCCACTAATTATTACAACAATACAGGTAATAAAGTAAGAAAATAAAAAAGCGTAATATAAGACTTCTCCAGTGTAGTATGACCCACTATAACTGGCCATCGTCTGCTCTCGGGGGCTATTATTCACTTCTACTTATCATAATACTGTATTAATTTCCATATAAGAAGGACGAGGCTTCTCCCCATTGTTTACTCTAATAAGAAGTTATACTGGAAGTTTGGCGGGAAGCAGTTGGCGGGAAGCCTGTTGGCGGGAAGCAGTTGGCGGGAAGCCTGTTGGCGGGAAGCAGTTGGCGGGAAGCCTGTTGGCGGGAAGCAGTTGGCGGGAAGCAGTTGGCGGGAAGCCTGTTGGCGGGAAGCAGTTGGCGGGAAGCAGTTGTCCCCTCAATAATAGATGGCTACACTATCGCTATTATGCCGTGGAACTCACTTACATTATTTACTTTTTAACACTTCTGACCTCGACGCTCATATAAGTTATAGGTGTCAGCTCAAACACTTTACCTTCATATTTCTAATAACAATTGCACCATTGACCTACATTTCATCCTACATACAGTATCGTAAGTTTATTGCCTTAAGCCAAGACTACAATAGTGACTGGTGACACAATAACAGTTTTCTCTGGGTTTGGTCCCGTCTTCTATGAGGACATCAACGGTGATAGTGGTTTTACTTCCTCTAACATAAAAGATAATCACCACTTGTATATATTTATCACATATCTATTCACTATCACAATAAATGTCACGTCAAGGGAGTCCAAACGTTGACAATACTCCACTTGTCATCAGTTGAGATGCGGCGGTCCATACTTCACTAAGATCCAGTTCAAACATTCGCCCTCACGACATAAACCGTGATACATTACTATAATATGACCCACCTGGTGTAATAAATCCTCTGTATGAGACGACTTGACACTACACAACCATAATATCCAAGACTAGATGATAAAATATCCGGTGAATCACGAGAAAATTGTATTAAAATAGGAGCAACAAATAAGTCGCCTTCCACTAACACCAAGCTATATAACTAAGACAGGAATGAGTGTGACAACGCTAGCTGGACCCTCAAGGCAGTGACGTCATTTAATGTTCACAGTCCAGAATGAAGATGGCACTGCTGTCGAACTTATGTGACGTCACGTCGACTGTATGTTTACAAAGTCTTGGACGAGTCACTCATGACGTCACCTCAACGTCTATGACGTCACGAATAGCATGTGGACGCAGCCAATAGATGGCGGTGTTACTGAGGTATCTGGCACCTGTACCGTACATAACAACTGATAACGAAGAACCAGAGCCTTTACTGTACAGTATATACACAATAAAGCCTTTACTGTACAGTATATACACAATAAAAAAGAACACACGGACCTGGAGGAACTCCCCCCCACAACATAATGTGCCCCAAGCAAACATCACATAGAACAACTGAGCTTAGCTTAGCCGAGACCGACCCTTCCTAGCCTCAAGAGTCCTCTAATGGCGGAAGACAAAACCTCGTCTCAGCAAGGTGGATAACCCACCTGCTGTCCAGTGGCGGCTCGTGAAAAATAAACTGGAGGGAGTGCAAGCCTCACACAACAGTAGGTGACCTACCTCAGGTATGAGTTGTAGTTGATGTCCACTAATTCCCAGGGCATGGTAGTGATGGACCAGTATTAATTGAAAATAAAGTCGGTGTAGGTCTTCCTCTTGATTTGATTTCAGTCTTTTCATTTAATGTCAGCTGGGAAAAGTTGATGTTTTGCAAATACTTCACTCGACTTTCCATCGTCAAAGGGTAATTAAAGAAAGCACCAGTTAACCACACCGTCCACACGTTGTACGAGACTGAGCGGCGGCGGCGGCGATAACAGACATCAATCGTACAGCATTGACACCAACTATGAAAGTAACTTAAATTTTGGTCTGATTTTAATGAAAATTCACTTAGCAACGTATTGAAAATAATTAAATAACATATAAAATGATATATTTGTTGGTAGTGTATTATTCAGCTGTCTCTCTAAAGGAATCATACACCTGGCAGTGAGTGTCTGGGGGGACTGCACGAGCCGCCACTGAACCTGTCAACCTCCTCCCATATTTCCCACTTGTGAGGCACTCTGACTGTCAACCTCCTCCCATATTTCCCACTTCTGAGCTTTACCTTGTCAGAGCTGATGGTCTCTTCTGTCAACCTCCTCCCATATTTCCCACTTCTGAGCTTTACCTTGTACTGTACCCTTCTTGGCCCTCAGAGCTGATGGTCTCTTCTGTCAACCTCCTCCCATATTTCCCACTTCTGAGCTTTACCTTGTACTGTACCCTTCTTGGCCCTCAGAGCTGATGGTCTCTTCTGTCAACCTCCTCCCATATTTCCCACTTGTGAGCTTTACCTTGTACTGTACCCTTCTTGGCCCTCAGAGCTGATGGTCTCTTCTGTCAACCTCCTCCCATATTTCCCACTTCTGAGCTTTACCTTGTACTGCACCCTTCTTGGCCCTCAGAGCTGATGGTCTCTTCTGTCAACCTCCTCCCATATTTCCCACTTCTGAGCTTTACCTTGTACTGCACCCTTCTTGGCCCTCAGAGCTGATGGTCTCTTCTGTCAACCTCCTCCCATATTTCCCACTTCTGAGCTTTACCTTGTACTGCACCCTTCTTGGCCCTCACAGCTGATGGTCTCTTCTGTCAACCTCCTCCCATATTTCCCACTTCTGAGCTTTACCTTGTACTGCACCCTTCTTGGCCCTCAGAGCTGATGGTCTCTTCTGTCAACCTCCTCCCATATTTCCCACTTCTGAGCTTTACCTTGTACTGCACCCTTCTTGGCCCTCAGAGCTGATGGTCTCTTCTGTCAACCTCCTCCCATATTTCCCACTTGTGAGCTTTACCTTGTACTGTACCCTTCTTGGCCCTCAGAGCTGATGGTCTCTTCTGTCAACCTCCTCCCATATTTCCCACTTGTGAGCTTTACCTTGTACTGCACCCTTCTTGGCCCTCAGAGCTGATGGTCTCTTCTGTCAACCTCCTCCCATTTTTCCCACTTCTGAGCTTTACCTTGTACTGTACCCTTCTTGGCCCTCAGAGCTGATGGTCTCTTCTGTCAACCTCCTCCCATATTTCCCACTTGTGAGCTTTACCTTGTACTGTACCCTTCTTGGCCCTCAGAGCTGATGGTCTCTTCTCTCATGACTGCTTCTTGAGCTTCCCACCAAGGCTTCCTTCACTCAGTACTATTTCCTTATCCTTTGTCCTAACCAATGGTAATATTTCAGGAGTTGGTAAAAAAAACTTAAATTTATTCGTTTAATAAATGTTTATTTGTTATTATATTGTGTTAAACTCTAACCATCGTTCCCGCCAAAATCCAATAGTCTGTTCCTTCACTCAAGTTATGAGGTATATTAACTCCCACCTGTATATACTAATATTCTACTCAGAGGTTTTAGTATAATTTACCAAAAATAATTTAATAAACGTATAAAATGGAAAATTTCAGTGACTTTAAGAACTCAAAATTCACAAGTTAAGATGACATGATTTTACCCATCTGTAAACCGTATATGATAGACTCTAACCCTCGCCTCTCCTTCAGGTCTTCATCTACCTCTTCACACCTCTACTACACACGCTGAAGGAATCTGACTTCCAGAATTTCCGGCTTGAAAATGGATTAAAGATCTGGACGGCCCTGTGGGAGTATAGACACCCGGACGTCCCTGCCTTCACCACCCCTGTCAGACCTCGCAGGTAATTTATTATTTTTCTATATTTCTCTTTTATTTACTGATGAAGAACTATTATCCACCGTCAAGCTGTAGAAAAACCAAGTATCTGTTATATTTTTTTTCCAAAATACATAACAGAAAGGTATTACTAACACTATTTAACCGTGAGTGTGGTTTGATTGGCTTAGTACTACCCCCGGCTAGTAAGTTAAGTAGGTTTTCTTCCTTGGGTTGGTGAGGTCTTCTAACAACGCATCTGCCACGTGTTTATCTAATTAATTAAGGTTTAGATTAGGTTTAATTTAGAAATAACTTTTTAACACATTTCCGAGGCTACGACAGTGTCTATTCAAAAATCGGCGGCGGGTCAGTCGTCAATAGTTACCCCACATAATGTCTTTTGATGCTAAACTAAAAGGTTAAAATTTCAGGTGTATAACTCTATAAATGTTTTATTAACATCTTGGTCATCAGCGAATTTTAGGAGTTTAGGTCAAGTCAAGTCAAGTCAAGTCAAGTTTGGTTAAGTTAAGTTAGGTTGAAATTATTCTTTTCCCGATGGTTAGGTCAAGTTAGGTTAAGTCAGGTTAGGTCAGGTTTGGTTAAGTTAGGTTAAAATTATATTTTTCCCATAGTTTTCATGTATTTTGAACAACTTCCAAATAGGTGGATGACTGAAACGACAATGTCACCGAATATTACATTACATTGTGTATTAATGTCACTTTAAACAGGTACAGTACTTGTATATGCCTCTAGAATATTATAAACTGTATATTAATATAAGTAATTCTCTATCTCACTTTCTATAATATCATACACTTGTCATACAGGATTACTGGCACTACTTTCTTATGACACTTTCATTGTCATATAGGATTACTGGCACTACTTTCTTATGACACTTTCAGGCAAGTTCTCCGGGCTAAGAAAGTGAGACGCTCCAACACCCAGTTCGGTGACGTGTTTCTCGGCGGTGGAGGTACGTAGTTTACATTAAAAGAATCCATATATAATAATATTTCTTCAATAATTCATAACATAAGATTGAGGTCTCTTTAGCCACACCTTAAGCCATATCATGTGAGGTCTGTGCTTAACTCAGTCTCCATCACCCTGAGAACTGTGTAATTAGTGTCCTATTGCCTCAACTGATGAACCACCTCCCTATTACCTGTATTAATTGTTTTATCCTTACAGTACCTGAGGCTAGTTACCCATACATGTGTTGTGGTTCACTTGCTGGCCCTTTATACTTCACTGTAGCAATATAATAGGGATTTTTTATTGTAGTTTATAACCTGATGTCATTTTGGAAAGACTGTGCTGTGTTCCTCCGTAATGCATCGCCTAAGATACAGTAAGCATTTGCCTCATTTCACGGCAGACGTGGATCTGATTTGGCGAATTCAGAATTGTGTATTTGTATAGATTTGTATAGATTTATACACTTATGAATATTTACGACATACAGAATTACTCTACCAGATCATTGTTGCCAGAAGCCAGATTGTGTTTTATGTGGTAACCATGAGATGAAACTGTATAATATTCACTTAATTTTGGTTAGGGCTGAATTAGTATGGCCCTCCAAGAATTGTTGTATGTCTTGTTCATTTCAATCTTTGGCTTTAAGGATCCAGAAATGTTATATTCATGCACTAATTGTCATCTGTGTCTTTAATATTAAGTCATTGCCACTTTAACCTAAATCAGTGTCAGTATCAAGCACCTGGAGATCATTGTACTTTCTGGGCAGTGTCAGTATCAAGCATTTGAAGATCATTATACTTTCTGGATCCTAAAGTTTATAGATTTAAATTCCATGGGTGTCGGTGATGTTCATGGGTTGTGATCATTAATCCAAAAAATCAAAAAACAAATTTCCTCATTAATTCCAAAGTAACAACACTGAAATGTCACCAACTAACTTTGCCACATTGGTAAGGTTCCATGACCATTTGTGACTAAATCTTTTCTCTCCCTGGCGTGCTCAGCTGGTCGAATAGGTAGGCCCGCCTCCATGCCCGCATGCCCGTTGTCTGCATGCTTGCTGCACCCTATGCCTTCATCACCTCACCCTTAATATGTGTGTTTATTCCTTCGTCTGGACACTTACCGACCCAAGTTCTTCAAGGTTTGCTGGTTAATTTTTCCCCTTAACTGGAGATATAACAAGGCACCAAACTCATTCACTTAAGCTGTCCCAAACATTGACAAAAACATAACTTAAAATATACCATAATTAACTATACAATCTATTTCCACTTAATGGGAAAAATAGATTCAGAAACTCTTGAGAATTTATACAAAATATCTATAAGAGTTACAGGTAGTTATTCTCTGTTAGTTAGTTGGTAGAAGGATTTTCAGATATATATATATTGTACAAATTTACCATCTGTGTTTAGTCTTCTTAATCTGACGTACCGGCTCCTGTTGTCGTGGTAAAGGAAGTTACGAGTTTGTGATGAGACGCTTATGGGACCTGGTCTTTAGGCTCCGTGTGTGTCTGTCTGTCCGTGTGTGTTTCTGTGTCTGTCTGTGTGTGTTTCTGTGTCTGTCTGTCTGTCTGTGAGCATGTGCATAAAACTTATTAATCCCATCGTAAAATATAGAAGATATGATACAGTAGGTAGATTAATTAAGGTAAAAATCTTTGTTTCCTCCTTTAACAGTAATGTACAGTACAGTAATCAGGATCTTAGTGTACAGTCACCCACATAATTCCTGGCTCCTCTCCTGCTGTTCCACAAACCCTAAGATTCAGACTTGTGAACCTGAAGCAATAGACTGATGTATTATTCTGTCTATAAATGCTTCAGAGTCATGAGTCTGAATCTCGGGGTTTGTGGTTCAAGAGGAGAGGTGACAGGACTTTTGTGATATGTGGATAGACAATTGATATAGGGATAGATGAGTGATATTTGGATGGATGAAATGATATTGTTGAAGTAATGGATACCCCGGATAGAAATGAAGTTGGGGTTATGGAAGGGGAACGTCATAGTTCTGTACTAGTAAATGCACCCAATAAGGCGTCTGGAGTGCTGTAACAAATGGAGGGAGAGGAGTCTTCATTGGTGGCCATCTTGATATGAAGTTGGGTAGACCATTGAAGTGTGGAGAAATAAATTACAGAACAGTATTGGTAAATATATGCATGGTGAATACAGTCTTTCTTTTATTCTTCATTATTACTCTACTTATAAATGTTAGCTAGGAGTTATATATACTGTATTTGTTATTTTATGTTTTTCCATTTGTTATGAATCTACATTTTTCTTATGTTATTTCCTAGTTTATGGAAGTTTATATACAGTCAACCCTCGCTTTACGCGGTCCCACATTACGCGTTTCCACGTTTACGCGGTACCCTGCCGAAACCGGAATGCTCACTTTCCGCGGTGCGTGTACCCTTTCACGCGGAGAGCGGCGCGAGCAGGGTGCGCACAAGGTCGCCCAGCCATCAAAACATTACTGAGTTCTTCACCCGCCACCCACCACAGCCGGCCCAAGTCAGTGATAGTGATAATGATAGTGAGGATATGGACTTATATGGACTTTGAGGGGTTTGACAAAGAGGCCCTGCAAGCCTCTGTGGTGGATAGTGATACAAGTGATACAAGTGATACAGGTGAGGGCCAATAATCTGCCCTCTGCCTCGGAACCAACCCCCCATCCCCGTGTGCCCAGCCATCTTTTCTACTAATGTAAGTGTTAAAAAACCTAATATTATTTATATTTCTCTTAATTATTAATTGTGTGTGCATACCATCATAAAATTAAGAAGTTATTTTTACTAACCATAGGTATTGTGTCTGAAAAAGTGGAGTTTGGGGGTCGGCCCGGTCTCTATTTCAATTAATCCCATATGTTATGGTGTTCACTTTACGCGTTTCTCACTTTACACGGGCCGCCGTGGGTTCAATTGACCGCGTAAAGTGAGGGTTCACTGTACAGTTATTTAGATTTTTTTTGGGGGGGAATGATTATTTTTTTTTTTAATTACTGTATTAATATCGTGTAATTAGGCAAGGACAATTTATGGGGTCATTTGCATATCTGTGTCGTAATTCTATAAAACTGATTATTTTCCATTCAATTTTCAAATACTGTATGTTGTATATTTACTTACGTACTTGGAATGTACCGAGTACCTGTATATCATCTTGTAGGTATACCGTATATTCATCAATTGAGGTTAGTTATACTTATATGACTTATGTGAGTAATAACAGCATAGTAAACTTTATCTCTCTGTGTTCTGTACAGTGTGAGGCCAGTGTAGGTAGTGTGGCAGCCATCATGGATTCCTCACCCACTAAACCTTCATTATTCCACTATGCTACTCCTGTGTGTCTTCAAGTATTGTTAATATTTGTAAAACTCGTACATTTTCCATTTTTGTTCTTGTCTGTGTTCGAAGAAATGTTTGTAAACCCCCTCACCACCCACAGTTGCTTATACAGTATTAAGCTTATGATAATATATTTGGCTCTTAAGTATTTTATTATTCTAAGTGTCTTATTATTGAGGAACTTTTTGCTGTTATTGTCTTGGTTGTAGGCATCGGAGAATCTCTTGATGTATCCATTTATGAAATTATTTGATTTTCACGTTCCTATTGTCTTTCTGTCATTTATGGGAATGATATCTTCCACCTAAGTGATCCGGTATATCAAGAGACTTATAATAAGATGGACTTGGATGTATATGAAAGAATAATATTGATATCAGAAAGTGCATCAGTGCCATGTAAAATTAGGTCAGCAAATGAAGTGGTTATTACAGTATTGTGAGTTATCAGTACTGAACTGTTAAATGTATAGAGTGTATAGGTGACCATGGTAGGTTATGTGTATAGGAAAGGTAACTGTAATAATAGGAATCTCCCCTTCTGTACTTTGTCTGTCTGTCAAGATTTTGTAATCATAACTTCAGTTTGTCTTCCTCACTTTAAAGTACAGTAGACAGGTCAATATTGTAGTCTGGTTTCAGTCGTATTTACTTTGTTTTACTATTGATTTATCTACTAAATATCTCTACTTACTGTTTTCCTTTGAGTCCAAAATAGGTGTTGTATCCTGATCTTGATTAATTGAAGTTATTTAAAGTTATTTTACATGTGTGCAATAATGAGATCTGGCCGACTGTCATATTTTGTGATGAATACTTTTGTAGAGTTCTGGGAAATTATATCTTAATGCTAACATGAATGGCAGTTTATGATCCAATACATTACAGTATCTTACTTTATTTGGGCTGTAATATACTGTATCAGATCTAACCCCCACACAAAGGCTCATTTTCTACTATACTACATGTGTTATTATTTGACTAAGTAACTGCAGTTATCATTAGGGGAGGCAAGTTGAATGTAAATTATGTTTTATTAGGTAATGCTGTCCTGGAGTCTGAGTCTCTTGGTGCCTTTATGTGAAGTAGACACATTGTACTGAGTCTCTTGTGTAGGTAAAACATATATCATTGAATATCTTGATAATTAACTATATGTCTAGTTGAGTGACTTTCCCAAGGCTTAGACTGTACTAATGAGTGCTTGGATACTAACTCTGGGATAAACCAAAGTCTGTGTAGTTCCAGAAATCATGTTGATAGGTAGTTTGATAATCTAAAGTCAAGCTAGGGAGACCATCTTGGGACAATACTGTACGTAGTTAGTAATGACTATATTGTAGTTTGTAATAAAGGAAATCATGTACTGTATTCCTGTCCAGTATTTGGTTCATGATTTTCAAAGTATCATAGTACTGTATATTTAGTGCACTGTAGTTAAGGATATGTACAGTAGTTGATGGAGTAACTCATTAGCCGACACATTTTTATTTATTTGTTCTATGAATAATGTAGTGATGAAGTTGTAGGTAAATGCCTTCACTTCACAGCTTTAACTCAAGTTGGATATTTATGCTTTTGTGTTTTATTATGATTTATTTATCCAGTATATAGTTTTTTGTAATGTCAGTGATTTATACACTATTTTCTATAATACTGTAAATGGTCACTATAAGATGTGTGTTGGGGTGTTGTGAATTACACTCATGTGCAGAGAAGAATTGTCATGGCACCTAAGGGTTAAAGGAAACCTCATGAAAATATTAGTTACTGTTAAGTGCTGATCATTTTTTATATTTAATTCTTCACTTTCTCACCAACGTGCAGTTTTGTGAGAGTTCCTCACTTTAAGACAGTTGTTTAAAGAGATAATATACTCGTTTGATTTCATAACTGGAATACAATATTACCAAGAGTCAGGACCTCGGCATCAATCTGGTCACCTTATCATAACAGGAAGAGGCTTGTAGGAGTGAGAGAAAAAAAAGAGTTATTTCAGTGGTTGATTATTTTATTGACATTTTATTCATAATTTTGACATTTATAAATATATAAGCTTATTCTTCACTATTATACTTAATATTATAATTTAATTTATGTTTTATTTATCTGTTTGAGTCATACAAAACCTTGAACAAAGCTGTAATATCTGACCGTACTGAGCAACAGGTAGAAATTTGTAACTGTATTGTGTGTGTGTTTGTGTTCCTGAATGTTACTACAGCTGATCGACTCCTTTACAGGTATCAGCCCTGACGACGACACACTCCTGTTCCTCTTGAATGGGGGAAAGAGTCGCTCCATCACACCTCCGCCTAGTGACCCTACGTCGTCCTCGACATTGGACTCGAGGATCCCAGATGCTGCCAAACTGGAGGAGGAGGTGAGGGTGAGGGGGAGGAGCAGAGATAAAAGAGAGATAAAATATTCTGTGTAAATAAGACAGAATGATATACTGTAGTCTGTAAGGGAAGGAAGGGGTGGATGAGGGTGGCAGTCGAGGATGATTAATAAGTACAGTATGATATTAAGGGATTTAAAGGGGCAGAAAGAAGGGGTTTGTAAAGGGAGGAAAGTATGATGAGCTGGCAAGTTATTACAGTATTTTATTTTAATATTACAATCAGGAGTTTGTATTAGGGACCAAAGTTCTTAACAGAGGGTAAGGGAAAGGGTAAACAAGGTGATGTTACAATGTTATTTATCGGTGGAAACCAAAAGATAGATTCAGTAAAAACAAGAATTTAAATAAGAACTGAATATCATGAACACAGGAAGATGAAGTAGGATGATGTTCATTGTCGGTTATTGTGTAATTGGCGGAAAATAACATGGCGAGATTTAAGGTGCCTTTATGTACGCGTACACTACATCTTGTAAATTCACACACCAAGACCTATTGAACTATGACGGATATTAATGCTTTGTAATTCACGCCTAAGTCTTAAGTAAACGAATATTATATAAGGCATAGAAAGTTGCCCCTCATATATGCAGTAGTATGAGTGAGAGGGAAAAAATGTTTGGAGTTATTGATCCTCTGAAGTTAGTCTCGGCCACAGAACAACACAACAGGATCAACCATTTATGATTCCAGCTACACAAGCTCACAGGTCAGACGCTCCCAGTCTGTCCCTGTTAGAAGTGAAGCGCTGCCCCAGATTTAATGTTTATCTTTATTTTGTTTGAGTTATGTTTATTTGAAGGTACAGTAAGTGCTGCTGGAATGTGTACAGTTGTTGGTTATCTGCTTTTGGGGTTGGCCGATGTGTGTGTGATATTCAATCTTCATATCCTGGTAACGTTTCTGTACGTTCATTACGTTACTCAACTTACTGAAAAGTGGTTTAACCCTTAAACTGCTCTCTGCATCAGTTGACGATGCATGCTCAACATAAATAGGCTGTTGCTGTGGTGTAAAGTTTTCACTTTTTTTATTTTTTTTTTTATCAGACAATGAATCTTTATCTCAGGACTTCATTAATAATGGTTTGTTGTATTTTATGTATTGTCATAAACTTCATTCCTGGATATAAGTTAAGCAAGTCCCATAATGCTATATATTCCCTTCTCCCCCCCTACCCACAACCCCCTCCTTGGGTCTTGCATCAGCAGGTATCTTAATTTGCATCTCATTAAAATCCTCTCATGTACTGTGACAGATGGTGTCCATATTGCACCCATGGACAGTCAACAAGTTAGCAACACAAAGATTGGTTTCATCCTTACCCCAGTAGCTGGTTTATGGTCTGTAAACCCTTAATGTCCCACCAGTAATTACTCAACCATGAATGCCTTGGTTTATACTTGCCATGATAGCAGTGAATCCCTCTTGGTACAGTATTTTATGTGACCCAGGAAGAGCCACGTGTGTTGTTAGTGTTGAGTCTCTACAGGGGCTGATAATTAACACAGTTGGCAGCATTTAATCTTGTGTGTATGTGACCTTGTCTCTCATCTTGCCTGCTGTGTCAGCTGCGGCTCCTGAGTGGAAATCGTGAAGCAACCTTTCCAGAGACCATCCCAGAGGAAACGTCTAGCACTGAGGAGGAGCATGTGGTAGGTGGCACAAGTGATGCTAATACAATACTCTGCCTCTTTTTAATAATACCTGTAATAATGATTAACAATTGGTATTTAGGCGATTTAACCAAGGATAGTCGACAAAGCCATCAGATGCTTATTTCCAGTAAGGTCTATTAGTTTAAATACCAACAGCTTCTGGTATTCCCAGACAGTCACCCATCCAAGTACTAACCAGACTCGACGTCACTTAACTTCGCCGATCGGACAAGAAGCGATTAATTCCAATGAGTTTATTTGATGGATGATTAGTGAATGTGACACTTGTATAATATATAACCTTATTTGTATAATAACTTGCTATAATACATAATTTGACTACAGTATTGACCAGATGACATTCATACCCAGACAGTTGTCAAAGAACTCTGGAAGAACTGAACTTGAAGATGGAGGAGTAGGATGAGATACCTTCAGCACACTTGAGGGATTTGTTTTATGTTGATAACAAAGGTTGATGAGGTTAATGTTATTTTACTTACACTTGAGTTGTAACAGATTCTGATTCAGAGTACTGTACAGTATACAGTATCTTGAAGGTGGTAAATGATGTTGCTGAAATATTCTTCTGAAAATAATAAAATAAATTGTAAGACGTAGTGTCGGCTGACCTGGAAAGAATTTGACAGTACAGAGAAGAAATGAATGTGAGTTGTATTGATGTATGATTATAAGATAATGACCAAGTGAGTCACACTGTGTCATCCACATGGTAAATGACCACACTCCAGCACTACAGCTGGTGCATGACCATGCAGCACTTATCCTCATGGCATGTGTCCCAGTGAGTCATGTGGTATGTGTTCCCATGACACTTGACCACATAGCATGTTCTTTTGTGAATGCTGTCCAAGTGACCCTCGTCCTTATGACAGCTCTGTTTATTCTAAGATGACATCTGTCTAAGCTACCCTCCTCATTCTGACAGCAGTCTGAGTGACTTTATATCTGTATTGCAGCTGTTCAGTGACCTGTGTCCTTGTACAGCCCTTCTTGTAGCAGCTGCCCAGGTCACATCCATTTCCATACTTGTAATAACTCTTGGTTATCTCAGGTTCATGTAACAACTGTTGTAGTGCTTAACATGTTGTGGCAGCTGCTCAAGAATCCCATGTTTATGTGGCAGTTGTCCAAGTTACTTTGTTTATACTGACGCTGCTTCAGTGACCCATATCCACGTACAGTACAGTATTAGTTGTCCATATTGTAACAGGTGCCCAAGTGACCCTCATAATTTACAGCACTGTAGTTTCCTAGCACGATGACTGGCCCTGATTGAGCCTATCTCCCCCACAAGGTGATATTCAGACTTGGCTCCTACCCTGACAACGATGGCAAGGAGTCGCACGTATACAAGGTATGACAATATCATTAACACATAGTCTAAGTTGTCTGAGTCACCCAACTTTCCTTATGTGATGTTTGATGATAGCATGAATGTTTTCCCTGTCCTGTACAGCATAGTGCATGGATGGTGTAGTGTGTAGTTATTCCACATCTGATCCACTTGCTTGATTCTACTTTTATAAATGTACCTTTTCACTTTATATCTTTTAAATATGGGAAGTTGTGAGTTTTTTTAATATATTTTCTGTCGACTATATTTTTGTATGACATAATTCTAACCTTTATTATAGTCGTATTATAATATGACAATACTTTACCCCACTATACCAGCATCATTTAATAGGTAGCATGATAGTCAGTCAGCATTATGGTGGTCCTCAGTCCACCAGAAAATACCACAACATATTCAGCATACTTAGTGTAGTGAACATTTACCATTACATCATACTCAACATACTTCACTGCATGTTGTATGTTAGTGCCTTGTTCACCATAATGTTCAAGTTTTTTGGTATAATTCCCACCTGGTTTAATTATGTTTTACCTGCACAACTCTTAGTCTTTTTTCAGGTTAATTTAAGTGGTTATATCTACCTTAGAGAGTCTTACATAACCAAGCATGTTTTTAATTGGTGCACAGGGCTATTGTTTTTATCCCAAAACCCTAAATGATTACAGTACAGTACAGTACTATATTTTGTGAACTAAACAGAAACTTAAAAATTGTTAGGAATAAAGTCTGGCCATGCCTTATTTTTTGTCCTCATATTAATATAAATGCTTTATTTTTACCCACATTTTAATATTTATGCCTTATTTTTGCCCTTAGGGCCATTCCAGGAGTTTTAATATCATGTAAACAAACACAGATTTGCCACATCTCACAAAAAGTGCCAGTCACTGTATCTGGTATAAGTGCAGGCAACTGTACCTGTTTTGATGGCCAGATGATCACTACGAACTGTATGTGTTGTTTTCTCGAAACATTTTAGTTTTCCAGGAGCTCTGTTGGTGACAATATATACGCACGTGTGGCCGCACCATGACATCCAAAATGACTTGATGTATCTTGGAAAAGTTATTTTTAGTCCAGTTGTTTATATTTGAAGAAGGATTGTATATATTTTTACCAAGTGTAGAAATTATACATTATTTAATGACCTTTTGGTACCTTCGCCGATGATTATTCACATGTGATTTTGTTTCTATATGTGATAACCCTTAATAATCTCTTCTGCTATTTAATTAACATTATTTTATTATTGTTTAAGTTGAAAAATACAGTACAATTATATTTATATATCTTGGTTTTTTAATTAAAGTAAAAATAATGAAATAGTTCCCTGACTTATTACTGTTTCCAGGCTGAACATCCATCATCCTTCCTTCGTCCACCCACTGTGGAGATCAGTGACACCACCACCTCCCCGACACAGCCGCCATCCGTCGCCGCGTCTACACCCACAGAGTCCCAAACGCCGAGGCTCAATGAAATCAATTCTTCTGCCAAGACCAGGTGAGGGGAACACTATATGAGGTGTGGGAGTAAATGTACGTATATTAGAGACAAAGTTCCTTTCAACCTGTATAGAGAAAGATTGAGGAAGTAAAGGCTTGAGGAGAGATTACACAACACCAACTGGATCAAGCTGTACTGAATGATGGATTACTGTATGGTGCTGTATTATATGTATGATTATGTATTATCAGTTACTAGGACACTGGTAACAAATAGATTCTTTAGCTGGTGTTAATTGGTTGTTACAGTGTGTCGGGTCCAGGTGGTAAGCCCAACTCTCTCATCGACCCAACTTTGGCCACTTTTCTTGACGTTGCTGTTCTTCGCTGCTTGTTTGTACACCAGTGGATGGAAGAAGGTGTATATTGGGCCCTTAATTTTATCTACAGAAGGTAAGATGATGAGCTGAATTTCTCTTTAGATTTCATAGTGCTTCAGAGACAGCCACCATGACTTAACCTCAGTCACAAGTTTGCTTCACCTCAGTCACAAGTTTGCTTCACCTCAGTCACAAGTTTGCTTCACCTCAGTAACTAGTAGGCATCACCTTCCCTTATAAAGTAATTTGACCGTAGTATCAGAGTTACTTACAATCTGTGCATCTTATTTTTGGGATGGACCAAAGATAATTAAACCAGTAGTTTAGGAAATTACATTAACCTAAATTCAGATGGTAACATTATAGAATTCATCAGCCTGAATGTATTGAGCATAATACAAAAGACGAAAGTTATGGTCGTAGGGAAAAACAAAACATGGAACTTTAAGGAGACTGATTTTCACGACTGTGGTTTAAAGAAGTAGTAAAGGTGAACCTACTCTTGTGATATTACTTCTATATTATTCATGTATTAACTCATAAAACCAACACTACTCTATTTTAAGCTGGTTTAAAATCTCACAAGTCCCTCCCTAAGGATCTGTAGACCAATAAAGACTGAAGTACAAGACCTCATTTTGTCACCGAGAGGATGAAGTTTACGGCTGAAAGATGTTATGAGATAGAGTCCATAAACTATTGAATCAAAGTTGTAGTTAATCTCATGACAGTAAATTCTTCACTGTACATAGAGTCAACTACTTGTGCTATGTGAAGGTTATTAATGTAACTGAGGGTGATAATGGTGGCTGGTAAGACTCAGTATTATTACCTTTGCTTCTTCCCTCTGCTACTAACCTGTAGAGCTAAATTATGGAGGGCATATACATATATTATATATAAATAATAAAGTATTTTTCATATTCTCAGTAATATTAGGGTATAACCTGTCAATACAGCAGAGTATTGACTAATTTGTGTATCTATGCTTCTGTAAAACTAACCAATTTGCATGGTTGAAGTAACATGAAACAGACCTATTGGCTGTAAAGTAAACAGAGCCACCTGCCTCCCTTGGCTATTCCTTGTACTGTAGGGCTGTATATTAGAGAAGAATGGTTTAGTTAAGGTAATGTTTACTCACATCTGAAGATATTAATTAATCATGACAGGTAGCTGTTACTGTATATGTTTAAAGTACTGTCCTAGGCTTAATATCCCTTCATGTTAGATGCATGAATGTCTTGTGAGTGAAGTACCGTAACACACTTATTGATATATTAGAAGTAATGAATGATAGTGAATGAAGGGAAGTCTGTGTTTACTCATTGATTCTGGCCATCCTCTACCATAGTGGGAAAAAGGCTTACAAGAGTGAGGAAAAACAATGTAATATTTTCAAGTTAAATTAATGTTGAAAGTGAAACTCAATGCGTCACTTTCATGTTATATCTTCAGAATTGTGAAACATGATTTGGTTTGCACATCCTGATATTAATAATTGAAGTCTTCTCTTAATTACATTATAAGATTATACAGTATTATAGATACATTAGGTCTAGAAGCAAATATTATTGAAGTAATGAGAAATGCTGACACAAGATTAAAGATGGTGTCCCTTACTGTAGATATATAACCCAGTAATATCTCTGTCTCATAATGTGATGAGAAGACCTACGGTATACAGAACTAGAGATGGAAGGAAGAACATTACAGTGCTAACATTTACAACTGTTCCTGTTAAGATAATATTGGAGAGACTATTAACAAGCTTCCTCCTTATAGATGTGGTGACCGCGTAGCTCTAGATAGATGACGTTCACACATAACATAGATGAACATGTGGACGGTGTGATTACTTTCAAAGCTTCATATTTTGTTGGGTATACAGTTTGTACTCTTAAATTCTAGCTAGTTGAGTGAAGCTGATGAATGAGGAGACTTCATAAGAAAAATAATGAATTGTTAGTGATTAAAATTAATTTCCTGAGTAAAGCAGTCAAATGAAGTGGTGTTTAAAATGCCCAAAACTTTCATATGAGGAGCAGCTGTGGGCCACTTCATGTTTATTCTCTAAACTAACTTGATATCTTGTGTTCACTTGTTATTGCCTTCCTGTTATCTTTTAAAAATCTCTGTAACTCACTTGGTCTCGACGTGCAATTAACCCGTAACTAACACTCAGATGATTCGATGCCCAGGTTATAGAGGAGACCATAGCACTTAAGTGATTAGGTTACAACAGTTAGAGTAAGTGGATCAAGACAAATGAAGAGAGAGTTACCTGTTGCTCTTGATGCTGACCATCCTGTAACTTGTTGGGAAAAACTTGCATAAAAAGAAAAAAATCATGAGTTTACGTATATGCTTGGTTTATCTCTCTTGGGTGCCATAAAGGCCACTCTGATTAATCTCGCATCAAAGGGAGAAAAAGAAGGAAGTTTGGAAGGATCACATGAAAGTGACTGTGATTTATGCTGAAAGAATTACTGTGATTTATACTGAAAGAGGATTAAATTAGAACAGTTAAGATGTGTCAGGTGTGCAAACCAGGCTAACTGCCATGACCTTAACAACTAACCATTTGTTCTTTGTCCTGTAGCTTTATAATCCTCCATTTGAGTACTGTTAGTCTTGCCTTCTTCACATACCCTTATTCCACTCAGAGGTTTTGTCTCCTATAACTTGCTACATTTACAGAAATAAAACATTTTCACTATAAATTCTTAAACTCTTTACTATATTTCCTTGATAATTTTTTTAATCTTATTTCTAACTTTTCTAACTGTAATTGTAGAATATATATTGATGAATTAACACTTAACCAGAAAGCAAGACTGACTTTAGTTAGGCTATGATGTTATAAATATACCAGAGACTAGTCTAACCAACGCCTCCCATAAGCCTGAGGTCTTAAGAGCGTAGTATCTGACAGCACTTCTCTTTCCGCTCTTTTTCCCCCCCAACTTGACTCTCTAGAGCGCAAAGGTGAGACATGGTGGACGGCGGCATTGTTCTGGTCATCTGGCAGCTCTTTTGTTGATATTCTGTGTAAAGATTAAGGTGTGGGGGAGAAGGGATATGCTTCTGAGGAGGACATAGATATTGGTAGGAGAGGAGGCAAAATGGGTGAGGATTTATCATAGTTTAGAAAGATAATTAACACTGAAAAATAATCCCTTAACCTGATCTGAATTTTATGAGAATATTTGATTAAGGTTAGCTATGTTAGGGCAAGATTATAGCTTTGGTTAGGTTAGGTTAGGTTACAAGTATGGGAGCATGTTGAGATTTAAAGGGACACAAGAAAGGAATAATGGTAGTGTTTCCCAACTGATGGGCGATGAATGTGTGAAATGATGAATAAATTGGAGGTAATTAACGGGTACCAATCATATCTGAACGTCTTGAGTGGTAATGTAAAGTGTGTGATTTAGTACAGTACCGAGTGTCTCCTCTGGGTGAGTAGCTGAGTAGGCCAGGCTAGGGGGTTGGTTTGGTTAGGTTAGATTTGGTTTAATTTGGGTTTGGTTTTATTAGGTGAGGTTAGATTTGGTTTGATTGGGTGAGCTTAGGTTTAGTAAGTTAGTTTAGTTATCCCAAAACTCACTAATTGAAATACTGTATTTTCATTAGCTTTAGTTGTGAATCACCAGATACATCAGCCAGCAGCAATGCCCTCCTCCACATCCTGTGTTCTTACACATCCTGCTTGCCTCCACATCTGTAGTCATAATGCACATGGTCTTGTTCCTCAATCATGGTTTATAAACATCGGAGTGTGAGCTTTTTAAAATGACTGTCATGTACTGGTAATGTTACACTTTGCCCCGCCCACCAATATGACCTACAATTTTGTGAGTGGAGATGGTAGTATCCTCTTCTTTAATTATTTGTTTTCAAACTGGCCAATCACAAGCCAAGATGAGAGAAAGAGGGCAGGGCTATTTAATATCTCCATAATGAACAGAGTTTTAGTTTCATTACAGCTCACATCTTGATACTGTATTCTGTAATGAAGGTTCAAAACTTCCAGTACCTGTACAGTGATATGACTCGGATGTTTATTCAACCAGTGCTTGATAAAACTTGAGGTGATGGATAGTTCTTGACTCATATGAACAGGTAATTCCACTCTCAGTTTCTCATGAATACTTTCAGCTTGTGTCCTGAGGCTAAGGACTACCCATCTAATCAAGCCTTTATATTTTTTCAAATACCCATAGTACTAAAGAATTGTCCTTTGTCTGTAGTTGACACTGAAACTTCCATATAACAGATCTCGACCTAATGTTATAGTCCGTTAGATGGACTTTTCACATCTAACGGAACCTCGATCTGACAGACTTCCTTCTCTATAGAGTCTGTTAAATGGAGGTTCCACTGTAGTAGTTTCCAGGTTTTGGCATAGGAGAAGACGAGTAGTGCTTTACAGTATATACCCTGGGATGTTTAGTTAGGCTGGCCCACACCCTTAAGATTAATTTAGACAGTTAACAGTTTTGTACATTTTACGACAGATGGTGCTCACTAGACCTTTCCAGGTACAGTACTTGTAATTTTTGCATAAGGAAATATATATATACTGTATATACAGTGATTAGATATGTACCTTGGGAGTACAATATCCTGCTACCATAACTGAGGGGCTGTTAGATATGTTCCATAGCAGTACATTAACCTACCATAACTGAGGGATGGTTAGATGGATCACAGTCCTCATAGGCTCTGACCTAATCTAACCATTGGGGATAAGGCTAATTGCAGCACAATACACGTACCAATAAGCTAGCAGTCTAATGGTTAGTTTAGGTTAGAGTCTATAAGGACCAATGATCACAAACCTGCTAGCTATGTACGGTAATAGCATGATAGCCTATTAACCCAAGATAATTTATGACACCTACTGAATGAAATACAGAAAAGTTATTAGTGAACTTAGACCAATAAAATAAATTGTAGTGTTGAAAATATTTAGATTTTTTTTACAACCAAACATCCTGGGGTCATAGGTGACATCTTCTGTTTTGAGTTAGCATGTGAGAGAACTATCAGGCCACTTTTTCAATAATTTTTCTTAGAAACTCTGAATTTTTTATGAATTATTTTGATTATTTTTGTTTATTTGATGTAGAATATTTGAACTTGTGCTCCCATAGATGACCAGGTTTTTTTTGGTAAACTTTTAGTATTATTAACTAAATCTTTCACACTGTTAAAAGTACAGTATAGTCATTGTATTTTTTGCCTAGATGGATTTTTAAGAGTTTGTCATAGTACCACAAAGTATAGATAGATAATACTTACTCTTGTTATAATGTTCTTTGTACTGTACAATATTTATCATCAAGAGGAAGACTTATTGAAATATTCCCCATTGATATTTATTGATGAATATTAGTGGAAATAATCTTATAGTATTAGAGATTTAAAGAGTATTATTATTTTATTTTCCCCTGAAGTGACATTTACAGTATATTTACTGGTTCATGAAGGGAATATTCTAGTGTAAATCAGAGTTAATTTTCAACTTTAATTTCATAAGTAATATCTGTTGACACTATTCCCATGTTAATATATTTATCCTGTTAAATATCTGTAACACATCGACAGTATTTAACGACAGTGGTAATAGTTGCTCAGTAATATTCTTTCTTTGTTTCTGTTGGTATAATTATGTCAAGTGAAGTTAATGAAGTGATTTAACAGGCATTCACGGTATTATTTTTTCTTTGAGGTTAATTATGTCAAGCGAAGTTACCTTAATACCATAGAGTTAATAAATAAGTTTAGGTTAGTTGTCACTATGCCAAGGTAAAGAGCTGTGACCAGTTCTCTCACATTGCTTCACTGTTTAGTCTTATATACCTTGGCTTTTGCTGTCAGGAGATAATGTCCAAGTCCAGTGGTTGTAGTTGTGGATGACAGCCATACAGTATACTCTAGTTAAAGTATACTAATGGATGTAAATACATACACTGATGATCTCATATGTTGAATGTTTTGATTACCATGTGTTTTTATTTCTTGATGACCTCACGTTTTTTTAATGCACTTAGCTGTGTTCGTTAATGCACTTAGGTTCATTGACTCGTCTTAAGTTTTTATTTTTGGGTGCACTTAACGTTATTGATGCAACTTAAGTTTACTGATACAAGTCTGTAAACGCACTCAAATGTGGTAATGGGCTGTGGTGTGTTGTTGCACTCAAGCTAACTGATGTAATTTGTTCTTTTATGCATTTACTCATGTACTCAAGTTTTATGAGAACTTCACAGGTATTACATTCAAACCTAATTGTAAACTCTTGCCCTGTACTCAAGTTTAATGAGCGCGACATAATTTTAAACCTAATAGTAAACCCATGGCCCTTAATCTAATTGTAAACTCACGGCCCTTAATCTAATTGTAAACTCACAGCCCTTAATCTAATTGTAAACCCAAGGCCCTTAATCTAATTGTAAACCCAAGGCCCTTAATCTAATTGTAAACCCACGGCCCTTAACCAAATTGTAAACCCATGGCCCTTACCGTCATTTCAGGCCTTCAGATATGTAAACCCTTATTGGAGACTTGACACTTTTTAGTTCCTGCACTTTAATTAAACAGTTGGATTATTTTCAGCTGATAATGGATTACTGTGATATATATGCAAATTAAATCCAACCTATCAAGATACTTCATATTTCATTAATTGTAGTTAAATGTGATTGAAATTACTGCCCATTAAAACAGTTCGTTAGTGTAAAATTGACGAGAAATAAAATTGTGAAATTATTTCCTCTGTGGAACATTTTTTTCCGATTTTACCCGAGAGTTTACCTAAAGGGCTTCGAGGTCTTGATGCACTGTACACACTCAGGGTAAATGAGACTGCCTGTTGCTCTGTGTAATTTGGGGGAATATTTATAAAAGAGAAAATGGGAGAGTAATGTAGGAGGAAGTTAATGGTGATAGTTTTTGTGAATAAATTTAAAATGAGGGAAAATTGGTTGAGAAGAGAGATAGGGAGAAATTAATCTTAGGTTTAATGGGGACAAAATGGAGGAGGATGGTATTTAATTTATTTATTTTATTTTTTCGAACACCTGTTACTGTGGGATGTATGAACAAATGGAGGTATACTGTAGAGTTGGATGACAGTATCTTACAAGCCATGAATTGTTTTGTTAGTGAGTAAAACATAATCAGTGCCTCTGGGATAAACATAGTTATGGAAGGAATGCAAAAGATATCTTACCATTTTACTCCAATATTTTACAGAACATCACATCGGGTAATCCTGTCGGTGAACCCTCGGGCAGACTTGGGAATTACTGTTCCATCATTATTGTTACTACTTTACTGCACTGGTCAGTCACATATACACAGATATTTATAAAGGAAAGAAAATATTCATGCTAACTTATTTTTGTGAAATTTCTGTATACATATAACTTACCCATAATGTTTTGATGACCAATATGAAAAAATATCATTACAATTTATTCTTATTACATTAACTGTCACCAAGGATTTCAATATCTCCTGAAAGTGAGCCATTTTATATAATTTAAAAGTAGTGGTTCAATATATCTCATTCATTTACATTATATTAGGATAGTGAGCAATGTATCTTAACCCCTTGTGTTTGGGGTCGCCTCTGAGCTGAATAAAATCATCTGGCATTAACCAAATATTATAAATGGCGTCCCTGTAGTGAAGGGATTAACTTTGCATCTTGAGGATAAAATGGTCAGTATCTCGCACCAAGAGTCACCACGAGTAGGGTAGAGTTTTATCGTCTTTTATTCACGTATTGATTCCCTTATGATTTTTTTTTAAGTTTATTGCCCGCCCCCCCAAATGCACGTCCCTCCAAAATATTAAATGAAACCAAGCTATGATTGCTATGTTGTCTATAGTACTTCATTGACACCTTTTGTAAATAAAAAAAAATGAATTTGAATCATGATATAAATCGAACTGCAAATATGATTATCGAAATATAAACTTGAAAGTACAGTAACAAATAATAATTGATCAGAGAATTATGAAATAGTCTCCAGTATATAATAAGTTTTAAATATATTTACTGTATATAAATAAATAACTAATAATCCACATCTATTTTTCTTCCTTTTTTTTCTGTTTTCACCTTCTAACATTGAACACCTGCCAAACAAACATCATGCAATAGACTACAGGATATTGGCGAGGAGACGGGGTATACTATTCCTCCCAGGCGTCGGAGCAACTCTCTTCCCATTCCCAAGATCCATGTATCCCTCCACTGTGACCAGGCCGAGGAGAGGAAGCCCAAGGAAGGACCAGAACAGAGTGATCAGTCCTCGTCGGATTATATTAGTGGTATGTGATTCAGTGGTTTAGTAATTAGTGGTGTTATATTTTTCTTTGGTGTGTGTGGGTGTGGAGGTGTTACTGTGGGAATAAAGTACATAGAGATAAAATGCTGTATAGGTTTTTGAGATGGAAAGATTGAATGGTAGAAGAATAGGCTTGAAGTACACATTCACACATATATACAGGCACATATACACACACACACACACACACACAGACAAACAGATACACACACACACACACACACACACACACACACACACACACACACACACACACACACACACACACACACACACACATTAAAGAGTTGAACAGTATAGAGATTTAAAGTAATTAGGATGATACTTACCTAAAAACGATTGAAATAACAAGATATAAAGAGGAAAATATTATATTTTATTTTAGAGAATTTGTGTGAGTGTGAAAGACCAAGAGTGATAACAAAAAGAATGGACAGGAATATAGACTAACCTTTGGAAATAAGACGAGATTAATTATGGAGAATGACGTAAATGGAACAAGGGGAAGGGGAGAATGGGTTGACTTTAAGTAGGAAGACTTATGTAGTACTGTAGTTGGTAATAGTATACATAAGTTAACAAGATTCAATCCCGTTCCACCACAAGACTCCGAGACCTCATCTCGGAGCGGACAGAACTCGAGCGACATGAGCATCGTCAGCAAGTCGATCATCCTCCCTTCCTCCTATCACCACCACCATTTACCACCAGAGGGTGCTGGCGAGAAGCTCCTCACCACACACCGAGATAGAAAATTCAAGTTCTTCCCCAAAGGCAGTGTGCTCTCTGTCCGCGACTTCTTTTGCAAGGAGAAGGAAGAGTCCGAGACGACAAAGCTGAAGAGAGAGAAGTGTCGGCTTTTCCTTGATCTGAGTTTCGTATAATACAGTACATGTCTTGGTTGGTCTAGACATGAAGTATTGCACCTCTCTCACTCACCCTGAAATATATCTCACACAGCAGTGGTGCAGCAGCACATACTGTACAAGCAGTGGTCTGGCTCCTTGCTTCTATTTGCTTTAGACTGAAAAATATTCCTTGTGAGACACTTGATTGATTGTTGCTTATGTAAAATGACTGAATTTGACATGATTCTCTGGCATGCAAATAAGAATAAATGTACTGCATTTTGAATAAGCAAACTACCATGACATTTTTATACTGTATACATATATATATTTTTTAATACTCGTGTCTGTGTTGTTTTTATATAGAATGAGAGATTGATGTTAAAGACTACTAGGCTTTACCTGATCAATAGGACACAACTGAGACTAAAGATGAATGTAAAGTGATCAGTGCTGTACCATCCATGTTGTGCACTGTAGATTAACACGTCCATGAATGTGTTGCACCGTAAACTTTAAATGTGGTTGGCACTTGTACTTGTTGGACGCTACCACCGTGCTGTTAGTTGAAACACTCGTGGATGTAAGCACCTCATTATTTATTAACCACTAAATAGCGGCCATTATTAGTGAGAGTTAGTTGTAGTGGCCATCATCTGTGGAAGTATTATGTTCCTTGTGTTCTGTGTCTGCTCTGATGGGGGGGGGCAGGTCAGTGGCGTAGGGAACCCTTTGCTGAAGCAGTTGATTCATGCACATTATCAGTTATCACAAGGCTGTACAAGGAGTTAGACTGAAACCTGGGCTGAGAGAGAGAGACAGGCTTTCAGTGATAAAATTTAAAACTTGTCTGTGTGCAAATATCCAGAAATTTGATTGGTCATAATCCCGAATGAGCTTGTTAATAACATTTTGTACCGTACACGCGCCCCAAAGGGTATCTTGACGATCTTGTGTTAGACAATATGACACAACGGACTAAGGATTTTGACAACCGTACCGAGACAACAGGAATCATGGCGTTCATTTTGAAATTATCGGATATTAGGTTCATCTCTACGTGGGGGTTGAACAAGTGTGTGTGTCAACTCATATAAGGAAAATATAACTAAAAAAAAGAGAAATTCATTGATAATATTTACAAACTGATTTCATTCATGTGATCACTTCTTCTTTATTAAGTGTAGCATGTGAATCATGTTATCTGCATTTATCTTGTATGTTTCTTATGTCTTTATTATCCTCATAATATATTCATCTATTAAGGTTGCCTCTTGTCATTTTACGATTGAAAAGTATTGTTTACGTCATCAGTGTTTGTATTTGAGTGAGCTCCTATCACCATCAAAAGGGCATTAAATGTTTGTGTTTGTGCATCCATCTGTCTGTACATCCCATCAGTTAAAGTTCCTGGCTGTCTCCCTTAAGTCAGGCAGCCCAGTATGGTACACACTCTCATATTGGGGGTTCATGTCCTTAGATAATGTCAGCCCTTCCCAGCACACTGTCAACCTCACATGTGGGTGACATAGTGCACTGGTTGTTCCTTGTGGCTGGAGGTCTTATTAGTCATGACTTACCACTCTAAGGTTACTGCCCACAACCACTGATCCCAAGCCATTCAACCATTTTGTATTCAATATCTGGCTGACCAACTTTAAGGACAGTCACACCATTCAGGTTGTCCCCGTCTCTGCATGTGTTCTGTATCACTACCCTTGAGAAGCTTCAGTTCTGGGTGTTATCATTGTTAGGGGAGGACCTCTAGCGTTAAATTTACCCATCATAAGAAGGTGAAGGGAAGATTTGTTAACTTCCCCTAACAGGAAATAAAGGAAGTAATATTCTCATCTTTTCTACTTAAGATTTTTAAAGTCTTGTTTCTTGTCCACAGATTCACCTTACCTGGCAGATCCACCGTGCCCTCGGCGAGAGGGTATGTCAAGCTCTGGGGGCAGCACAAGGAAGAAAAAGAAACTTACTGAGCTTAGAGCTTTTGTTGAGACTAAGCTGAGGTCATGCTCAGAGAAAGCCCTTGAGAAGATAGGTCATGAGGACTCGAGGAGGTCATCCGTGTCTGAGGAACCGGTAACTGTCTCCCAGGGTTGGATCATGACATGTTTCATTGTTCAGTAGTGAGTGGGGAGCCATTTATTTTTTCCACCACTAGACAGCTCAGTTTTCTAGCCAATCAGGTGAATGGTCTGTTCTCTGTTGAGAAAGATTGAAGTGAATTCCTATTTATTGACCAAGGGGAAAAAGTGTGAAGTGTGACATGGAATCTTTGGTAGAAACTGAAGGTGTTGAAATGTGAGTCAACTACATGAACACTAATCTTTTCTCTTGTGTTGAGTAATGGTTTATGAGTGTGGAGGTGTCTGTTGATCACCACATATTGTATGGGTCACTTATACTTCCTTACAGAAATCAAAATAATGTAATGGATGTGGGAAAAAATGTTTCTTTTGACTTTTTTTAGCAGTGTGACTTGGATGTTATCAAAAACAATCCCACTTCATGTAGTTTGTGATCATAGTACAGTATATAATAAGGGTCCACTGTGACACAACATTAGCTTATCATGTGTTTGCCTCTACAGCCTGGGGCAGGGGGGGAGTTTGGTGGCAGTTCTTGGGGCATCGACGGAGAAAAGTCGCGGCCACAGTCTGCCTTGGATAAGTTTGTGGAGGATCACCATCAACCGTGTCCTCCATCACCAAGATTTCCCCCAATTGGTCTAGTTAAGGGCAAGAGTATGCCATCCCTCAGGTAAGTCTTCCCAGGTGCCGTCGACAGCTCCATCATGTAAAGTGACCAGTAAATTATTGAGAATTGTTGACCATTTAACATTACAGCTGTGTATATATATATATATATGTGTGTGTGTGTACGGTATATGTATTTGAAGGAGCCTTTACGCAGTAACTCGACCATCATTAGATTAAATTAGTCTGAATTTATGTAAGGATGGCAGTATATTTTAACAAGAGTTTTAATGCTTTTGGTGTTGAAGTATGCAAATTAAGTATCTAATTTGAATTTTCTTCATTTGCATCAGTGGTCCATGCATATCTTATGAGTATAGATTGTCTAGTTTCTCTTTTACATATTTTCTACCCAAAGTGATGGGCATGTGTGTCAAGACAAACATATGTGCACCTTCTCCTAGCTTTGACATGCTTAGATGCTCATATATATTGATCTCTCTCTCTCAACTCTGCTAATCTTCCTCACTTTACATTTTCATTAAGTATATTTGTGTAAGCTTGAGATGATAATAAGATAGTTCATAAAGGTATGCTCTATTTTCTTCATCTTGAGTGTTGCTTTATGACATATTTCTATATTTGTGTATGTAAAATAATTATACTGTATGGCTAACATAAAGGAGTATCCATTTTGGTAATTTTTTATGATAATTCTTTGAGTAAAAACTTCAAGAGCTTGATTGGTTTACCCATTTTATCCCTCCAACTTGAAGTGTGTGTGTGTGTGTGTGTGTTAGAGGGGTATACTGTACCTACATATGAACGTAGATTTATTTTACTGTAATTTTTCCTCGGTGTCAACCATTTTGAGGGTGAGGTGGCTGGGCTGGCTTTCTGCATTCATCATATATAGTTGTGATTTATACTGTCATTCTGCCTTTATAATGGTGTCCAATAAGCCAGTCCCAGGTAACACTATGGTGTGGTAACCTGACCATTGTGTATTATGAAGCAATATGAAAAGCTGTTTGAGGTCATAGGTCAAGAGTGTTAAAGAGAGCTGCAGAGTGTAGAATCATAACACAAAGCTAATTCAGTTGATCTTGGTAATTAATCTTGTTTATGTGTAGTTTAAGTAACATCTTAGTCTAAATTTGTTGGAGACGGAAACAAGGAAGAATTATTGGTAAGTACAATACATAAATGTTTTTTTTAGATGTTTTATATATTTACAAATACAATACTGTACCTGTATAAAGCACAGGTAGTGAGAAACAAGAGCTAATGGTAATATGAGTACATAACAACGTATATATTGTCCTCTGATAACACTGTGGGAGAATGAAAACAAGAATTGTATGACTGTGAAGAGGCTGAGACCCAGGTGTAGACCAAGACTGACTTGAGGAAAGGTTGTGAGACATTATACCTAACTACAGAGGGACCAAGCAGCATCAAGAGTTAATTGACCCCAACAAATGTGAACAATGGTGGTGATGAGGCCAGGAATTCCAACACATCCCTGCCTATATTTGAGGAGTACAATGGTGTCCCTGTCACTTAGAATGGTTACTTTTAAGGACTTAGTTGTGATGGAAAGAAGTAATTACTCATGAATCTGGCCCACCTGTTAGTATCAAAGGTGTACTGTACTTTACCTGGGGTTTATTGGGTAATGTGGGTTACTTAGTTCTAGATTTAGTTAAGGAAATGAACTTCAGGATCAAGCCTTCACATTTAACCTGTGTAGTTGAGCTATGGGGAGGAGAACTTAATCGTGTGTGTGTGTGTGTGTGTGTGTGTGTGTGTGTGTGTGTGCGCGTGCGTGCGTGCATGTGCGCGTGCGTGCGTGTTTTTTTTTTTAATAACTCCAGGAGGGACACACACACTGATAACTGGCTTGCCACAATCTGCATTTCATTTTTTTTTAGGAATTTACTTCCTTTTCGATTTATCACACGTCAGAAAGAAAGGATCACCCAAGAAGTATAGATGAGGTAATATTATGTTACTGAGATGTCATCCCTCTAATGTTTGTGTAAGGAGATGTCTTGATGATGTGGGCCTCTTGACTTACCACTTGTAAAATTATTCATCTCTTGTATATAAGTGATATATGTAACACACTTGGTCTTTATATCTCTGTGTAAGGTTAAGTTTGGTATTATATATGACACAAACAGTATTATATATGGAATGATATTTGTCTTGCTCTTATACAAGTTTGGTGACTATAGTACTGTACAGTATGCTAAGGATTGGCCTTACATATGTTAAAAGGCTTTGCCTTGTTTCTGCAACAGGCTTGGTCATGTATGTTTTGTGTCTAGCTACTGTGTTCCCTGTCCTCCCTGTTAAGGCTCTCTTACTATCCTCTCAGTGTTCTATCTCAATGTTCTTCTTTCTCAATGTTCTCTCCTTGTTCTCTCCCTGGCTGGACGTGCAGCAGCCTCATTGATGAGCTGCCGTGCCTGGGGTAAGTCCTCACGTTCTCTGCAACTTAAACACTTGTGTTTTGCCCAGCAGTTTTTCTCAAGTATGTATTTTGTAAATTTAGAAGTTTGATATTTTTTGCCATATTTTGTCATGGATATTTTATTCTGATTCAGTCTTAATTTGGGTAAAACATAAACATTACTGTATCAGTCTCATTGTTTTTTTATATGGCTTTATCTTTTGAAGTTCAAAAAATCATTGGTTAACCATTAAATCAATTTGGTTTAACATATTTTACATTATTTTTGTATTTGACTAAATAATGTTGCATCAATTCTCTTAATTATTTTTCTCACTGTTTTTATTGGATCTATAATACATTGGTTATTTTTGATGATGATAAACCTAAGTATTGTAGCCTATGGTGGGTATTGGTGCTCTAAAAACAGGTGTTTAGTGCAGTCTCTTGTATTACATTACTGTATATGACTCCCCTTCAATCACCTTTAACTCCCTCCACCTTATATTTAACATCTTTAAGCTTCCTTTCATATTGTTTGGTATATTGTACAGAACTCTGCTTCTCTCTCAGTTCTTCAGTGGCACCCCTCACCTGCTCGATGTGTACACCTCTCACTACCTGACACAGTACAAACCAGAACTCATGTTGACTGTTAGCCTCTCTGTATCATGCATGAATTAATTAAGGTATTGTTCAGTAGTTTATGAATAGGCAACATAATGGTAATACAAAGTAACTGGAAATATATCCCAGTAATTAGGGTTTTGTTAAGGTCTATCTGCATAATACACAGTACATAAGCACATTAATGAGTGTTTATTTATATAGTACCTAACACAGTGTACTTAACATTATGACCATTTTGGGACCAATCACTGTATGTTGTGGTACAGTGTAGTAGTGTGGATGTTAGCAATGAACTTGACCATCAATTATTACCTCATTCAACTCTCCTTTTGGAACAATTTGTATTTGTAGATCATATTAATTTACCAAAGGACTGGAGAGTTTCAATGGTAATACAGAATCAGAATAAGGAACTTTTTTGTCCATATACTGTATACAATAAGAAATATTGTTTGTACGTTGTTTGGTGTTGGTATGGTAGACTTTGTGCCTCAACCCAGACATAGAGATATAATTAACACTCCTCATCCTATTAATTTTTTGCTTACTGGTGTATTATGGAAATGTTTTAGTTGAAAATAAAGTTAGTGCAAAAATAGTGTAGTTATGATGGGATGTGGTTTAATTGTACAGAAATGATAAACGACAGAATGGAAGAGTAGACAGATAATTACCGGTTCATATTAATTAGTAAAGAAGGATACATAAAGATATATCAGTTGTCATTCCTCACTACTGTTAATGCAGGGGAGCATATTTGTCCATCTGTCCAATTTAGTTCCTATAGCCATTACATATTGTGTGTGAGTTCTGATGAGTGACCTATGCTGTGGGTTACCTGTTACAACACTCACTATAACACTGCATCACAATAGTGTACTGTGGTGCTATTTTAACGTAAGACAATAACAAAACACTGTTCCAACATAACCTCAGGCCATATTGTGTGACAGTGCCTTATGTCTTAATATTTCAGTCTTGAGTTATCGTGATCTTTTTTACCAACTGTATCTTAAGTAATTAAAGAAAAGAAAGATGGGACTTAGTTGGATCGAGTGGAGATACACTAGTACAGGTGCTCCCAACCTGTTGCCCGCTAACACCAGGTAGAGAACCCCAGCACTAGTGTATTGTAGATGACCTTAAGATACCCAGTAACAAAGGGTACCTCGCAGGATATAGTTGTGTAAGTCATGTTATATGAAGAGGAAAGATATATGGAATAACATGATAAAAAGTGGATCAGGTTATTGCTTCTCAGATGATGTAGTGTCATGTGTGTATTACAGGTACTTATTTAGTTAGTAATTATGGGTAGTTTAGATAAAGTAATCACTTGTTATATAGATATTACATAACTGTCTAGTAATGATAGGAAGGTGTTCAGTGTACAGCAACTTAACATAAATCTTGTGCACTTGGTGTCTCTAAAGCAGAACACTCTACTGTATAACTTCAATATTAATCCCTTTAATATTGCACCACCAATTACTCCATCTAACATGTACTTTTACTGCCATACATGTAGGAGTGTTGGTTAGTTAGTGGAAGACACGATGAATGGTACACGTGTAATGTGTACCTGTGATGATATCTACACTCAGGTTAAGGTATACAGTGATGCTGGGTGTAGTGGTGCAGTACTGTATTGTATTGGCCAGTTGGGATTTCAGAGCTTCCTGTAGTGAAGTACAAATACAAAATATCTAGAAGGGCTTTTACCTCATAAGTAAAAGTCCCGGTTTTTATTCCTACCCAGAGTGGAATACAGTACTGTACTGAGTTCCTACATGTATATAAATGTTTGCACAGTCGGTGATAACATGATTCCTGTACATATTTGTGTGCTGTGGTTGATGATGGGAGCAAACCTTGACTGCATTATTGTCTTACCAAGTGTGTAGAGAACCTGCCAGCTGCTAAATGCTGAGATTTGAAGGATCACCATCTGTCTATATGGTCACCCTATAGGAATAAAAAAGGAAGATTCATATCAAAGTAATTTAATCTTCTTGGTTGTCATAACTTCATGTACAGTTCTTTATAAAAGCCTTTGTGTAACTTATAGATATGATGTCACTTGTTTAACATACAGTATAGGTTTTTCAACATAAACTGTATAATAAAAAATATAAATTTCACAGTTTTATAAAGGCTGAACAACTATGGCGACTCTGTCTGATGAAATTAACACAGGCATGTTTAGATGTTAACTGTAGCTGAGTTAACAATTACTACATTATCAAGTAAAGGAAATCATTGTTCCTGGGACAATTTGAGTTGACCCATATGTCTGTTTCAGTTAATTTAGCTTCTGGCTGGCTCAAACCAATGGTGGGATGGTGAATGAAGGGAGGGAAGGATTAATGAATGAAGGGAGGGAATGATGAATGAAGGGAGGGAAGGATTAATGAATGAAGGAAGGGAATGATGAATGAAGGGAGGGAATGTTGAGTGAAGGGAGGAAATGATGAATGAAGGGAGGGAAGGATTAATGAATGAAGGAAGGGAATGATGAATGAAGGGAGGGAATGTTGAGTGAAGGGAGGAAATGATGAATGAAGGGAGGGAATGATGAATGGAGGGAGAGAGCGATGAAAGAAGGGAGGGAATGATGAATGGAGGGAGGAAATGTTGAGTGAAGGGAGGGAATGATGAAAGAAGGGAGGAAATGATGAATGAAGGGAGGGAATGATGAAAGAAGGGAGGGAATGATGAATGGAGGGAGGAAATGTTGAGTGAAGGGAGGGAATAATGAAAGAAGGGAGGGAATGATGAATGGAGGGAGAGAACGATGAAAGAAGAGAGGGAATGATGAATGAAGGGATGGAATGTTGAGTGAAGGGAAGGAATGATGAAAGCAGGGAAGGATTAATGAATGAATGGAAGGCATTAATGAATGAATGGAAAGATTAATGAATGAATGGAAGGATTAATGAATGAAGGGAGGTATTAATATGCCTGACTATGTAGCCATATAATCGTACTAATACTACCGCTAGGATCACTAATACAGGTATGTAGGTGAAGGCCGACCAGACAGACGAGCCTTCCCCCAGATGATAGGGGCGACTCACCCCATCATCACCGTCACCCAGCACACGCCGTCTCCCAGTGAGCACGGGTGGAGGGACCAGGTAAAGGATTTCACTCGTTGACGTTGCAAAATAGGGAATTTGTTCAGTATAGAGAGGTCATAGTGGGATCTGAGGAGCAGTTGGGTATATTGAAGTTTGTTATAGAGAGGTTATATATGTTTCTCTGTTATATAGTTTATCAGTCAGTCTTATCTACTTATATGTTTCTGTCTCTCATATAGTTTCTCAGTCAGTCTTATCAATGTTATAATCCCTCAATCTCAGTATTTCAGTCGTGTGTATTTATTAGCCTTTTAGCCTCTCAAGTCTTTTAAATTATCAGTGTCTCAGCCTGTTTATGTATCTTCAGTTCCATCCAGTGTATTTCTCTACAGTTTTCATCTTGCTAACTTTAACCCCATCATCTCCACCATCGACCTCATCTCCGCCTCCGTCACCAGGCATCACAGAGCGGAAGCATCGAAGGTCACGTCATATACCAGAAGCCTCCACTGTCGCGCTCCCAGACGGACTCCAACATACAGTACTCACACGAGGAGGCCGTTGAAGTCCCAGGGTCAACCCACTACATCACCCGCGACGGTCACATCAACCTCCACGTTCTCCTGAAGGTAAATGTCCACGGTAAAGGCTCATGTCGTGGCTATAGGCTGTTCCATCTTGGTCCTCCATTCAGATAAAAAAGTTACTCTGATTGTTAATAACACAGGACAGTTTTTTTTTTTTTTTACGGGTATTAGCCCACCCGGACACAGGTCACTGACCCACATAAGGGCCCGGGGGGCGAAAACGTAATAATAATAATAATAATAATAATAATAATAGTAATAATAATTCAGATAAGTAAAATTTATAATAAAAAATACAAAAATAGAAATAAAATAATAATGATAACAATAATGATAATGAAAACACTGCAATAATAATAATTATAATAATAATAAGGAACCATAAAGAAATTAAAAAAAAAATTATTAGTGAGAAACGATATATGTATGTTGTGTTGTCATTAGCAATAGAAACAATTGAGACCCTGCAATTATGTGTAAATGAGGCAGAAAGTCAGATCAGCAACCTGGGCCTTGGTCACAATTTTTGCAATGCCATATAGCAGCAGGGCCTACCATTAGACAACACATTATGCTTCCCAGTTTAGTTCATATCTTTTTTTATCATCTTTTAAATTCACTTCTATCTCATATCATCAGTCACTTGTAGTGTTTATAATGTCATTAATTTACCGACACGGACAAAATGTATCGGCAGGCAGCACAGTCTGTAGCTCAGCGCGACGCCCACGTTTGTTCTCTACGAGTGTGTGAAATTCTTCTCCACCTCCTGGACTTCCTGTTGGACTTGGGGCTTCTCAAGACACCAAAACGATGGGAGAAACTGGACAAAGAGGAAGGAGAAGATGACCCCAAGCCACCACAGAAGGACAAGGAACAGAAGCATCACTATATATTTATGGACACAATTATCAGGTACAGTTCCCTGTTGCTTCCTTGTCCATATTAATGGTGCGGTACAGTGTCTATCACAGCTCAGGATAACACGTGGAAATAAAGTTCTTGGGGAGTTGATATATAAAAGGAAAATGTATATGTTTTTGCTGTTGTGTGTTCCACTACAGTGTCCCTGACTTGGGTGAATATACTTACAGGATTTACCGACACCTCGGATGTCAACATGGATGTAACGACGGACACCGGGGTCCGCCGGCTGACTTCCTGAGGTACACCGGTCAGGGCCTCTTGGCTCGACTGTACCGCTCCGACCAGAGTGCCTTTAGGAAGTACCTCAGGATGTACGTCAAGACCAAAACAATGATGGAAATTCTGGAGTTTTTCCACGCCTTCCTCGGCTTTTGTGTTGACCCCGGATCACTGCTGTCGCCCATTAGTAAGTGATCATCTATATAGAGCTATATCTTGTACAGTAATTATTTGTTTGCTTATTATTGTTATCTGTCAGACATCATGAACAGGAATTACAATTAATATACTGTACCCTACGGCCTACATTGTGACGTACCGGTAGTTTGGAATTTTTAGAGGTATACAATACTTTGTTTTAGTTTTGTTATAAACTAAAGATAAACAAGTGTTTTGGTGATGAATAAATATATTGATGTTTGTCCTTTAGGTCAGAAGAGGACAGGCTCAGGTAAAGGTGTTGACAACCAGCAGGGAGGATATGCCACCAACTTTGGGGCCTCACTTGGTGGTGCTGGCTCCAGGGGCATTGAGGGACAGCTGGTGGCTTCTGTGTTTAAGGCTCTGGTGTCTCGGTTTGTTAAGTCAAGCAAAGAATTAAAGAATCCAGAGAATATGGTGAGTACAGAACAGTACTCATTAAAAATTGTATTTTGCTTTCAAGTGATCATGTTTCAAATATGTATTGAATTCTTAAGATGTATGTTTTAACTTAGGGTCTTTGCCAGGCAGCTTTCTGTTAGTATAGTGTCAGCTGTCAGTTGAGGACTTAGTGTTCAGTTATTGATCCTTGTCTGACCAATCAGCACACTTTGCCACCAGTTGAAGTGCTTGTCTAGCAAACTCAAGTCACCTCATCAGGTCTTGGTTATAAAATGGAATTTCCTGATTGATTCACAAAATTAATTAATAAAAGGATGCCTTGTTATATAAGAAAAAAAAAGAGAAAATTTTGTATTAAGGTTGGTGCCCCTCCCTCAGGCTGTGTACTGTGATGTGCGCCAACTGTTGGGATACATCAGGGAAGGTCACGGTGGAGTGTTCCGCAGGGTGGCACTGTCAGGTCTCATCGACTCTGCCGATCGCCCTCACAAACATAGGCAGAAGCTACAAACTACCCGAGTTGTCAGGTCAGCACAGTACTGTACTAATGTGTGTGAAAACATAAAGAGGATGAAATATTATAAATGTTGATGGTGGAGAACTGAATATGGTAATCCTTTGAACTTTTAACAGAAATTGATACACTGTAACTTTGATTTACTTTTAATATTCCTCCAATCAGACGTGTGACGGTGGAGGAGGACGCATATCGGGATTCTCCTCCGACCATGACCGAGGAAGGAGGTGAAGGTGGTAAAGGAAGGAAAGGACTCTTCAAGAAGAAGTCCACATCTTCCTCCATTTCCTCAGTCATGAGAAAAGCTCCCTCAGTTAGCAGTGTCTATGATGACCAACAAGAGGTGTGCAGATAATCTTATTTACCTAATGGCTGTGTGGATCCTCTGTTGTTCTTGATAGTCTTGTCTATGGCTGTTGTATGGATGATATTTTCCACTATTTGTACTGAAGTTCATTATAACATTATGAGAAGAGAAAACAGGAGTTCTTGGGAGTTTGATATATCAGCTGACAAAATATAAATGCTGTAGACAAACTAATACCGTAATTTCTTTTTAAATGTTGTAATCCTTTACTGTGTTTAAAAGTTTTATTGATTATATGGTCCTTCAAGTGATGAATTATTCTTGGTAAACAGGACTCTCCAGGTGGCCAGAGTCCAGTGTCAACAGTACGTCGACGTCACACTCAGATGTTGGCATCTCGACCTTTAGAGTACGACCACCTTGCACCAAATGCCCATCCTAAAGGCAGAAGAGTATCTAAGTTTGGTGAGTCATGTTTATATGTACTTGTGATATGTAAACTCTCTTGTAATGGAAGGCTTAGGATATTGTCAGACACACTGTATCTGTTTGTCATATGGTCCATCTATATGACCATCTACCATACTATCTTCTCATGGATCAGGGAATGGAATTTGTCAGGAGTCTGCAGCTTAAGAGGATGAAGTCAGGTTAATGCAGGCCAGTTCTTCTCTCTCTCTCTCTCTCTCTCTCACAAATCTCAGGATCAGGCAGTTTTTTGTACATCCTCCTCTCATTTTGGAATCAGGTTGAAGAAATAATTGTATTTCTAGCAACTTAACTACTGTACCTTCTAATGTGTTTCTAAATATATATGACTAGAACACTATTATCCACACCTCTTCAGTGAGTTGGCTCAGGGGTCGAAGTATGGATGGAGGAGGAGGAATTAATCCATACCTCGACGAGCATGTGGAGCTGCCCCCAGCCCTTGCTCGCCGCCTCTCCCACTCGGCATCACACAGCATCTCCCACGGTCTGGCCGGTGGTGTTACCCGGCCAAGACTGATCACCAAGCCTGGAGCCGGGTATTTATTGTTTATTTATTCGTATCTTTATTTATTATTTAGAATTGTGATAATTTCTGTGTTGCCACATTGTTGACTTTTTAAATAGCCAAGTAGCATATTAGCCATCCAACTTCACATCCTAACCTAACCAATTCACTTCTCTGTAAACATGGCCACTGTGATGTACTGTATGTGGAACTGTAGATTGAGTTTTATCCCCAGTATCCATCTTTGTATACATATCAGCCTATGGTTATCCAATGGCACCTCATCACCTTCCTGTAAAAACTGTAATGCATTTTGTTTCATTGTCAATCTTGCAGACCCATGGGTATCAGGCTGATGATGGTGCGTCGTAGGGTAGAGGACCATGTTGGGAGGATCAGCTTTGGGAAGGGGAAGAAGAAGGACTACAGTTGTGATGAGACACCAGGTAAAGCTTTAACTCCCGATTACTCCGTCAAACTCTCTCTCAGGTTTATTATATATATTGTGTGTTACATTCTACTTATATTATGAATATATTTCATCAGTTTGCCATAATCTTTGTCAATGTTTCACTTGTTACTTGTTCTGTCAGACCCAAGCCGGAGGAACAGTCTTGATCTAGACGGAGGAGTGCGAGAGACAAGTGTAGTTCTTGTGAGGGAAAGAAAGCTGGTGCCTATGGACCTTGTGAGGAATGGAATGTTGCGCTTTAACTTCCTGCTGGAGACCTGCCAGCCTGGCTCTGTACCAGACCCACAACTCATAGCTGCTGTGTTGGACCTGGTCAGTGACAGACGTACAGTATTATATGTTTTTGTTTCTTCCCTTGTGACTGTTTTCTCAGTACAGTATTGTACAGTACAGTACTGTACAGGGTAGCAGGGAACAAAAGTTTCATACATTTTTCTGTATTTATGGTCATTCAGTCTTAAAACTGCTGCCATATTATTCCTCTATATTATGATGTTGTCTGTTCATTTGTTCTTTTATAAGTAATAATTTATAGTATTTGGATAAATATGATAAGTTAATACAAAAAATTCTAACAAATAATTTAGTATTAATTACCAGTGTGTGTTTTACACAGCCCGGTGCACCAGTGGTAGCCCGCGCTGCCTTCCTCATGGAGATCGCTCACTTCATACACCGCTGTAACCGTGGTGCTTGGCCAGCTTGGATCAAGATGTCCCTACCAATGTACCGCCCATCAGTTCCTCTCAGTCGGACTCCTCCTTCAGGAGCAAGAAGGATGAACATCCTTCAGCGTGCTGCTGGCAGGATGTTTTATCAGTGGGCTGAGGTAGGACTTCAACACTTGACTTAACTATGTTTGGTGACTCCTGTAGTACTTTTTAAGTGACAATAATGGCTGGAACTTATTCAATAATTAATTAATAACTTCCTGTTAAATCCGTTTATCTAAAATGAGAACTTCAGATAGCTACACAAGTTACCAGGTCCAGAGTTGATCATAAAATGGTATTTCTGGATCATTGCTTCACATCCACAGGTTTTCATTATACTGTTAATCATTTTTGTATTATTTAAGTGATTATCCTGAATTTTGGTGTGAGTTTTGTAATCCATATAAAATTGGAACTACAGTACTGTATTGGTACCTGCTGTAAAAGATTTGTACTTTGGTTTGACACTATCCCACATGTAACAAGTGGGCTGAGTGATGTTATGACAAGGTGCATCAGGTGAAGATATCACTTAACATGAAGGAACTGTTGTGTGTGATTAAAGATGGCAGTAGAGTTTAAAGTTCCATCACAGGTATAAGATAAACCTAAGTTGAAGGAACCATTTACAGGCCCTGGGGACACGCCTGGAAGAACTGCTGGAAGAGTCTGGACCCACAGTGGAGGAGGTCGTGTCCCCTATAACAGACACGGAGACTCGTCGTGCCCTCAGAGCCAACGATGAAGAAGAAGACTTCCTCGATGAAAGTATTGTACCTTGAGTCTTATACATAATTATATACCACTAGTTATTCTTGGTGTTTCACTGCTGTAGGTTATGTATCAGTGATGCTGAGACTGTGGGATATTGATCAACCCTCTGATACACTCTTGTTATTATAAATACCTCATATAATACTGTACAGTGAAGCCTCTGTTTAACTGACTATTAAACAGAGGGAAATCCATGACATCAAGGGCCCATTTGATATGAAACCCCTATGTAATGGAGAAGTCTTTTATATGGAGGTTTGACTGTAGGTACTCTAGGATCACCCTTCTAATATGAGTCATTAAAGTCTGTGGTGGGATGTGTCCTCTCCTGCAGTTAGTGTCAACCCAGGAGGAGCTGACTGTCCAACAGCCCTCAAGCTGGTGGCTGTGCAGGTGTTGCTGGAGATCACTGCCTTCCTCAGGGAGACATACACAGCCTTACCAAAGTCTTCCAGGTAGTAATTGTTTATTATTAATATTGATCTAAAGACACTTATGTTGCTTCACGTACTTGTGGGCCACCGTGGGTAAGGTGTCGGATTCATAACACTAAATATCACGTGTTTTAGGTTATCCGTTCGTGGTGAGCGACAGTCTGGTTGGGGTCCTCCTTGTGGTGGGTTGGGACTAGGAAGGGACCACGCCCGGCGATGGTCCATGGCCCTCTCCTCCATGGGGTACTCCCACCCTTCTGCCCAGAGCCTACAGAGTATCGGTGAAGGCCATCCAGGTGGGACAGTTATGTTTTATAGTTCAGTCTTATTAAATATATGTTTAATGTTGTCTGTCCTGCCATACTGTCTTACCAATTAGCTGTACAATGAAACTGCAGTAAATGTGATAAGGTTGGTCTACCAGATAGTACATGTTTTGGCTCACTAGAATCACCTTGTAGAGCATTACTACATTATGAAACTGTCAACCATTTTGTCTATCCATCTGTCTGTTACATGTTTGTTTTTGACAGCTGGATTTACCGGAGAGCGGAAGATCAGCTTTGCCCTGCATGACCCTGACAACGTAAGCCTCGGGAGCTCCAACACCACAGTCACGGTACAGGTTTGAATCACATGTTCACCTTCTGACCTCCCTCAGCTGTAGATAATGTTGCATCTTTACCTCTTCGTGTCCTCGGTCTTCATGTTCCAGCTTAGGATACTCATTGGCTCCATACACGTAGTTGAAACACCAACTTGCGTACCTCTGCTGTGCATGTCTACTACAGCATATGAAAAAACCAGAAAATGTAAGACATTTCTGTATTTCACTGTGTGTGTTGCATGTTCTCTGTGTACAGTATTTAGAATCTACTTTTTATGTTATTAAAAAAAAAAAAACTAAACAGCACCTAAAATGAAATCTTGATGTGATGAATATTTATCATATTATGGGAAATAATTTTATTTTAATCAGGACAAAGAAGACGTAAGGAAGTTGATTATCACAAGAAGCTGCAGATTTAACAGTGGGAGTTTAACCTTCCTCTAAAGAAAACTTTATTAACTAAATGAAAATAGAAAAATTATACATTATGTTGTATATTTGGGTAGATATGAACTTGCGATCTTTATATTTCACTTCATCATGCCAACCCCAGCTGCTGTAGGCTAGGTGAGCGGAGCTTATACACTGTGTCTTGTAGGTCAACTTATGAATAATTCCTCTCTTAAGGCATCAAGCATATGTGGACACAGCAAAGCCACAGGCAATATAATAATGGTTTTTGAACTACAATATACATAAGAGTCTTCAATACATTATACAGACACTGATCAGGTAATGAGAACTTTGATGGTATAGTTAAGGAGTCACATATGTAAACAGACTAGACAACATTTAGTTACATGGTACTGGTAGTGACAACTGACGGTAGGATGATGTTACAGTAGTGTCAATCATTTGTCGGGGAATTCAGTAATGGAGAGTTAAGAAATGAGCAGATTAGTTATTTCATCCTTAAATCAAGAAGGTTAGATAGTACTGTTTTAAATTCTTTGCAGTTCTTTATAGTTATAATCAGTCATGAACTTTAAAGAACAGTTGTTTAGGCCAGAATCTAAAAATATTTACCGTGTGTAATAAAAAAAAATTGTAAACTTTCTTTCTCATGTAAGTTAATATTCATAGTAGTTGTCTTGATATATGAGGAGTGTTGACTGGGATACAGTTTCTATATTGTTTATCAGTTCTTTATGTGTGTACAGTTGGTGTCAAAAGTTCACTCCCTCCTAGAAGCAGCATCGACCCCAAACGAGATAAAACAGTCAGGGTGTGTAAGTTTGGAGACTCGTTCCCATGACTCGGCGAACTTTTGTCCCGACTGTACATCACCTCTTGGTTAAGGGTCGTGTTTCTGGTTAGTTCCCACCGATATCGTCAACACACAGATATATTGGTAGGTGTTTCTTGATGTCTTCCAATATGGTAACTTGTCAGACACTAACTGGGAGTGTTAGTTAATAGATACAGTATTGTATAAGTTAAGGGTGTGGTGGTTTTGACAATATTCTTTGTCTTGGAGATGTTTTTACTGCTTAGTATTTATCATGGTTAGCCGAGTTCATTCCTCCCAAAGGCTAAACACAGACAAACTTTAGTATCATTTGAGTTTAACACACACAAACTTTAGCATTGTAGAGTGTGCTGTAAATTTGTTCTGGGGAGGAGAACCGTAGGCAGCTGTATCGAGAACCAATTGTTATTATACTCGTGCTAATAATTTGCTTGGAGGGTTGTGCTGTATTGAATTGCGCTATTTTTTTGTCTGTCCTCTCTCTCGCACATTTGGGTCTATTGTTTATCTCACCGGCTCTTTTATTTTTCAAGATAATTTTCCAGAAAGATAATGCATGAGTTTTTATTTGCACTTGCATGGATAGCTTGTATAATAGTGGGGCGGTTGTTTTATCGTTGAAGCATAGTTCTAGATCATAATCCTCATTTGTTTTTTGTCGCATATGAAACTCCTTTACTTTGGTATTGTATCGTGTCCTGTATTTTCTTGGAAGGATTTAATGCTCTGGTAGACGTATTAAGAACCTGAAATGATTCCACTTATAAACGTCATGTAAGTAATAGGTATAAGAAGTTGGGTTTAGATTTTTACAAAGTTGCTGCTCCTTAATGGGTAATTAGGGAGGGTTTTTTTCATGGATAGGGTGTTTATTTCTTGATGTCTTACAGGGGTGACGCAGTTGTTATCACTTATTACATTTTTTACTCCCAGCTGCTCTTGTGAAATTAATGCAAAACTTTCTTTGTGGTTTATGCATCATTGTATATCACATTTTACTTATTGTTTTTCATTCCTTGTTGAGATAATACCTTCACCAGTTTGTTATGAATTTATGGCACTTTTTTCTTGGTACACAATTAGTAATCTTAGTGTTTTGGTTACTTGGTCTCTGGAGCTAATTCTGAAATTTCTTGATACTGTTGGAACCTTTGTCCCCTGGGTGTTTGTAGAAGTCTGCCAGGAGTGAAGGGGATTACGAATGCCTAAAAGACCAGTACAGTGGGGAGTATACAGTAGTATTAGCTTCTGTTGCATCATGTGTTCATTCTATCTTAACCCTCTGTTGTCTGAGAGGGATCGCCTTTACTGTATCTCTTTATTAGGTTAAAGCTGCAATAGACAAGGTTTACCCATCATTTATATTTTTGCCAGCAAGTAATGTCAGGTGTCATGGGCCTTAGACTATTATCATAACGAGTGCAGTGTTTGGGTCCTGTGACTATCGGCATGGCAATAAAATGTGTTTTCGGGATAATTCTTTCCATTTTGGTTGATAGTTAAACAACACCTCAACCATTGTTCTTAAATATTAATCAAATGTGCATTTTCATGATACAGTTTGCTCTTTTTATTTGAGTCGAGTTAATATTTGGTTTTGGATGTCATCTCATTCTCTCAACTGGTGTGCTTAAGAGGTTGTGTTGGGGGTAAGGTTAGGTTATGTTAGGATAGGTTAGTAAAAACAACACTTATAATATGTGTAAGCCTAAAATTTGTCTTGACAATATTGACTCCTTGAACTTAAAGAAAAACTTAGGTGTGTTGAGGAGAGTTATACTTCCTTAATATCTCAATTTTTGTTTTAGTTTAAAGATTCCAAATTTTTAGGCTTTTAGACACATTCTCTCTGAGCCACTGATACAACATCGGAAGAATCGTCATAAAGTTGATATTTTTTGGGGGGTGACGTTGCCTCCTTGTAGTTGCTTGTGGAATACAGGAAGATCTTGAGTTATGACTAGATTGTGTTCCAAAATTTTCTTCGTATCTTGGAACTCAGTTTCTAATGGACACAATGTTATTGATAATGGTTAGGTTTCCAGCCGAGTCCACTAAAGAGAGAGAGAGAGAGAGAGAGAGAGAGAGAGAGAGAGAGAGAGAGCAGCAAGAAGAAAAAGAAGAAAAAAAGAGATAGGAGATGGGGTCACAAGTCTTCATCAATAAAAAATTTTCAGTATTTATTTTTAGTCACAGGGTAGAGGAGTCCTGTATCTGGGTGTTCATAAGTCGGATGTTCATAATCCAAGGAATTTCTTTATTTCTAAATGGATCAGGACTTGTCTTCTTGTATGAAATTCTGTTCACCTTGATTTTTATTATTTTTTATTTTACTGTTTTAGTATAACCAAAGGGAGTATGATCTGTTACAGGGTTAGATTAATATACTGACACATAATGGTTAAGTTTTAGTGTCTAAACAATTACCTAAAGCAGTGGTCTATACTGTACTGGAATCCCTTAAGATTTTATAGAATTAGTAAGTTACCAGGGTTGTCAAGTCCACCTGTTTCAGCACTTAGCTTAGACTTCACATATTGGCAGAGCGGACAATATTGTGAGGAAGAGCGTAGGAGGACAGTGCAGTCCAGCCGTAGCCATCACTTCCTGAAGAAGGGTGCGAGCCATAATTCATCCTTTAAACGTCGCTCGTTCAAGTTAAGCAGAAGAAGCAAGGAGCCGGACTCTGACTGTAAGTGTGTTGAGGGGGAAACATCTGGTTACTGTAAGAGATAATGTTGTCTGATACCTTCCAAGGTTATAAAAGATTGTCTTGAGATTTTTATTTTTTAGTTGGTACTCAGGGTTCGGAAAATTTAATTAATCTTCTCTTGCTCGGCGGGCGAGGATTTTTTAATTTCTCTTTGCCCAATAAATATGATGAGTCGACCAAATGAGAAAATAGTCTTATTGTTATGGCATTTACTTCGACAGAAAACAATCGTCACATCTGCGGTGAAAAATTGCCGTCGTGTTATTTTACTTGGAAATCTGACCCAGAAATTATCCCGCACGACAAAAATATTACCTTATTAACTTCACTTAGGCAACTGTATAAAACCTTCGCTTTAACAACATATTTTGCTTCTTCTCAACACACTGGTTCCTGATTGATCCCTGGCCTACTTACCTAAAGGTGTTGACAAAGGATCACAAGTAAATTCTTATGGGAAATGGAGGATTAAGAAGGGGTGAGCTCATAGTGTTTTATTAGACTTGGGAAGGATTTTATAAATTATTTCTTTTATAGTCTTTGCCCAGCTGTTCATTCCTAGCCAGATGACAACAACACCTTGAAAGACAAAGCAGATTATTTGTAATGAAATGAAGGTAAACTGGTAAAGGTCGTCACTACACACACAAGATGGGGGACGCCCTCTTGTGAGAATGCAGGTAAACATGGGCTGCCAGGTTGAGTTAGATTATATAACTTGCTGTGGCAGCTTGAACATTGTTCAATGGTAAGAGTTTACTGCTGCACAATCCTGACACAAGTTGCAAAGTTACGAGGACGATGGTTAGGAGTTTCTTTTTAACCATTTGAAGTTATGCTTAATGTACTCAAATAATAAATAGGTTTGGGAAGCATTTTGTTAATGAATTATTACTGCTCCTTCATACTATCTACATGTATAAATGAGATGATGATGTTTTTAATATTGTGTGAGGAATATTTAACAGATTCATTCACCAGTTTTCAGCTAAAACCGATCTTGTGTTGTACCGTAACTAATGGTGATGATAAACCACACCTTACAGTACAGAAATTCTGAGAACATTATGAAATAAAGTTTAAGGAGAACCAGTGTCTGACTTGCCAAGTGTTTATAAACAACCAAGTGGTCCACAATGGACGACACACTGAGTAAGTACAGTATCCATTTATGTTTACTATCTGTGTAACTGTGTTTAGTATGTACAGTAGTGTGTGGGGTGTTGTCTCTCACTTGAGATCTTTAACAGTGTTTCTTTCTTTTCAAAAAGTGAGACGTAGGGAATAGTTGAACATTTTTGAGACCAGGACCACAATCCCTTTTATGAATTAGCACCAGTGTGGAGCAGCCTTTGAGTATGCTTACCTAAGTGTACAGGATTTACCCCAAGACCACAGTGACTAGAGGTGGTTGGACACTCCTCTAATAAACAAAACTCACAGTGAGAGAGTACAGCTCTTGGTTTACCTCAAGACATACAGGTGTGATGGACCATGACAGCATAACCTATTCTTTCCACTACACACGTTGCACCTCATAAAGATGTTATAAACCAGATACACGGTAATGACCCCTCACTTCAGTCTCTGCCACTGTGGAGAAAGGACTTGTGTTGTGCCATATAATTACTGGGTTATATTAAGTAATGGTGAATGGTTTTCTTTTCATGTATTGTTTTGGAAATGTTTAGCTCAGTGAGAGTGTAGTCTGTTGTGTAGTGATCAGAGGGAGTTCTCTTACCTGGTTTGTTCTATGTTTCCTGGTGGGTCAAGTGAGGTTTGGGTAGTGTTGTAGGGTAGTTTTGTCCTGGTTGTTTGGTTTTAGAGGGTTGGGTTAGGTTAGGTGGTTGGTGTGAGTGGGGGGCACCCTAATTACCACTGGTGAGGTGGTCTGTATCAAAGACACTTAAATTTACTGTACCATGACCGGCTCTGTATGGCTGCCTTGTTTGAGATCTTTTTGGATTCTGCATCAGCAAGGGATGGTCCTACTGTAATATGAGAACCTGTTTCCCTTCTCATGCTAAAAGTTAACTCTTCATTGGTATATGTGCTGCACAGTGGAGCCATTTTCCCCCACCTTTCTTCATGATAGGTGGCCTCTGACTCACAGGATACCTTGGACTGGTGTCAAGTTAAAAGTGTGGGATTGACCCTGAAAACCACTTTATAACAGAGGAAAATAAGAAGTGACCTGGACCCTGCCTACCTCCCTGGGATGTCACTAGAGGTTGGCTAATGTTTGACGGTTGATACCACAATCCTGATTTATTATGACATGATCAATGAGGTGCGACCAACACTGCATCTTGACTCATCACACCCTCGTGTCTTGGGTCAAACACCGACAGTTTCATGTAGGAGTTAATGCTTCATTAGCCCCAGTTACTGTGGTTTAGGGGCTTTTTTTAGAGAGACTCAGTAAGCTTGGGTATACATATTCATGGTCTGCTTCATGTTGGTTCTTTTATGAAGTGGGATTCTCAGGATCAAATCTTAATTTTTCCCATGAGAAGTTAATTTAAGTTTGCTACGTGACGTTCATTAGAGAATATAACGATCTCGTAAATTGAAGCTCGATGAATACTCTGCACCAAAACAGTACTTATACTAATGTTCTCGAGAAGGTGAAGAAAAATAATTACGAATATTCACAACTTTCCTTCTAGTCTTTGATCAGTTTGACCTAAACAAAAAATATTTTGTATTAAAACTTTGTCATAAAGTTAAAGAAGACAAGTAGGTCCAACTGTAGATCCCTGTATACCCAATCAGACGAGGGTTAACTGTAGATCCCTGTAAACCTAGTCAGACAAGGGTTAACTGTAGATCCCTGTAAACCTAGTCAGACAAGGGTTAACTGTAGATCCCTGGTCAGACAAGGGTTAACTGTACAGTAGATCCCTGTAAACCTAGTCAGACAAGGGTTAACTGTAGATCCCTGTAAACCTGGTCAGACAAGGGACACATGCAGTAGCCTGAACCAGTCTAACTCAGACAGACAAATCATTTGTTTAGAGATGAACGGAGTGTTGGATCCGGCAGAGCATGTTTATGTCTTTAATATTTAAAAGACCATCATAAAAAATGCTGCCAGCCCACCACGGTCGTTGGGTTGAGGTCCGTGCTCGTCCTGGGCTGCTGGTCGAGCAGTTTTTCGAACCCTGGTACTGTATTCAGTCAAATAGAAAATTACACATAATAATTTAGAAAATGTTTACGGTTCCCTAGCCATCAAGAGGTCTGACAGTGTCAGGTCACGGAGGAAAGTGTCAGCAGTTAGTGAACGATCTGATACATCTGAACTTTTGGAACAGGAGGTAAGTGTGTTACGTACACTATAAAGTATAATCTATTGTAAGGTTTAAAAATAAATTTCCTTTGATTCCTGATGGTAATATCAAGTGGGATAGTGCATATTGTACTGTACTGTGCATGTATTACAGCTGACATGTAAAATCTTTAGACTGATCATCATTGCATTAGTTTTACTTATGTATTTACCTAATTTGTTTGTCATCAATTTTCTTTACTTACTTAAGGTATCTGGTGAGGAGTCCCCTGGAGTACTGAGTAATGAGGACCTGCCAGAGAGCCCTACTGATGGAGACCTGGACGAGGAGAGCCTTACATCTAACATGCCCTGGCTGAAGGTTCCTGTCTTGTGTTCTGTTGTCTGAATTAGTCTTGGCAATCGGTTCACTAGGAGCCATACAAGTAATTCTTAACAACTACAGTCCATTAACAGTTCATTATGCATCAAAAAACAACTCAACTTTTAACAATAGTCAACCACCACATAGTTCCTGGTTGATGCCATCGTTACAGGTATTTATAGCACTGACAACTATGACACTCAGAATAATAAAACTGTGCTAGAGTATTTGTTAAAGCAAAGATAAACTATATATAAAAGTTTAATTGACAGAAACATTGAATTTGAAAGTGAGTTTAGAATGGGTAGTTTGAAGAGGCTTGAGAGTGTACCCAGGCTGTATAGTAATACCCTGACTGTTGTGTACTGTACTTGTAGACAGAACAGAACATGAATAGGTTATTATGGAAGCAGATTAAGTCATACCATCCAGGGTTAAACTGATGACAATTGTTTTATACAGATTTTTCTCTTATAAAACAAAAACCAGATCACTTCTATAAATTATTAAAACATATAAAGATGTCATTGAAACTAAACACCATATGAGCAAAAATTCTAATCCCATATTCTGTTTCCACCATTGACTATAACTCATTACATATTCAACCCTTATTACAGATCATAGTGAGAATGTCATCACTGTACAATATGACTTGTACCCACCAGACCTTCTGTCACCCTCACTGTTACAAGAGGAATATGAGAGCTTGTAGGAGACTCATGCATGCTGTCAGGAAGGTAAATATTGGTCCAGGAAGATAATGTACAGAGAGACTTATGAAACACAGTAACTTGACTCCTTATAGTATATATTATGATGGTGGAGTCAAGGTAACCCCATCATTATTTCTATACCAGTTTATCGTTATTTTTCTTCTACTTAATTTTTTTTATCTGCCAATTTATTACTATTTGTGTACTTAATATTTTCTACCAATTTACCATTATTTGTTTAGTTCTTATTACTATGAACACTCGTTAGATAGCTTCTCGGATAAGCTTCTTCCCTCATTACCTCAGATGTACGGTGAGGAGTTTGAGGAGCAGGAGGAGGAGGCGGCGAGGGTCGCTGACGGAGGCCGCGACAGTAAGAAGGACAAGAAACAAGGGAGGAAGGCGTCGGAACAGGGTCACAGCTCCCCACTCAAGAGGAAGGAGAGTTTTGCACGTCGGGATAAGTACGTCACAACCCCTCCCCTCACACTACTGGGGTGTACACTAGCTAAAACAACTATCTGTGCATACTTTGTGGGAAACAATATGAGACCATGGATGATAAATATTGCTATATGATGGCTGTCACAAATCACACGTAAAATTTCGGAGCATATCGACCCCCACCTGCACAGATAGTTGTTTTAGCTACTGTACAACTGCCAGGCATCCATTTATGTTTCTATATCTGTTCGTCCCACATAATTAAGATACTAACTTGAACAAATAGGAAATAAATTAACAAAACTTAACTAAATAAAGTCTTGTTTACCTCTCAAATATTACAGGATCGACCGTAGTGTGGACATATCAGCGGTGTTAACCCGGCTGGGCCACCATCAGGGGTCGGCCGTTCACCTCTCCAAGGACACCATTGACACCGATGGTATTTATCTTTCCGATTTATTATTTATTTATTTATTTATTATTATTTTGATATGTGATGGCAAGGTGTTGAGTAGATCATGGAGATAGATATAATGGTAACACTGAAAGCAAGATTATAAAACAAAATGGGTAAATAAAATGGAATTCTTTGGGTCATGTTAAGGAAGGAGAAACACTTTTAAACATGGTAACAAAGCCCATATCTACCTGATGGTCACCTACTTTAATGATTGAAATATATGTTGTAGATAATGAGTTAATTGTTATTTTGTTTTTATCTTAAGGTGAAGGTAAAGAGACGACTAAAGACAGCAGCAACAAGGATGAAGAGAAAAAGAAGCCAAGAAAAGGAGATACAATGATAATGAAGTACATGAAGACTCAGGTAGGATATATAACCTAATTAAGACTCAGATAAAATTCATATCATAATTATATCCCAAAATATGATATTTGTTTAAAGTCTTGTCTCTCTTTTAGAAATTTTTCAGTATATTCTAAAACTTCCACTATAATAAATTGTAACATTGTCTTCAGGTGATGGGGTTAAGTCACGCACCATTATCAGTTGTGTGTAAGGCCGTGGCGGTGATGTCAGAGGACCTACTGCTGGACGTTGTGCCTCAAGCCTGGGAGTTACTTCTGGAACATGATAATGAGGTGTGTGGCTACTGACTGCGCTTACACATACTCAAAATACACTTGGTCTTGTCTTACACCTACGATTTTGTTGAGTCTTGTATTTCCATTATCTGTTGTTTGAGTATTTGTTTTCTGTTTAATATATTCAATTTTCTCTGTCCAATTACTATCATATTTATCAAGAATGTTAAGAAAAATAAATGATGTGTAGTTATGGTGAATGTAACTTAAGTTGTTCCAGAGTACAGTAGTTAGTGTGTCAGGGGTTTATAGGAGAAGCTGATTGGTTGTTTATCATCGTTCAGGTGACGGCAACTGCGGCTGTCACGTTCATCCTGGCAGGTGTGCGTGTACCAATCTATGCCTCTGATGTTATGACTCGCGAGCTGACTCACCCAGATCCAAACACTAGACTCAATGCCATTCTCAGGTACAGTAAATCCTCTTAATGTTGGATTGTATTTATCACAAACTGTAAATCATTATCGATGGCTGTTGAGTAATAAGGGGTGTGATTCAAGGCTGCTATTATCCTCCTTACTACTCATTTGCTTACGAGGTAGTCAATCTGTTCGGTATTACACACTGTTGGCTAGTACAGGGCATGTACTTGAACATTTGCCAGTGTTGGTCATGTCTGGTTTTAATTGAACTCACAGTCAGATGATGTTACACTCTCTGGCAGGTGATTCCAAAAGTTACTACTCTTACCTCTGGGTGTTTTCTTTACTCTTCTCTTAACTTGAGGCTGTGACCAGTAGTGGGCTGACCATCTGCCATCTCCAAAATAAAGACTCAACTGTACTCTCCTCTACACAGGTTTCAAGTGTTGTGGCAGTCAAGGTACCAAGCTTGGCCACGGATGGAAGAGGGAGCTCAGCTGACGTTTAAGGTGCCCCCCCATGGGATAGAGTTCACACTGCCATCCCCCAAGATAGGTGTAGAGTCTCTGCCTGTGGTTGACCCTCCCTGGATGCCTCACTTCAAGACCAATGTGGATGAAGTTACCGTCAACCAAATTCAACATGTAAGTCTCTCTTATTTATATTATTTTTTGTTTCTTTTTATTCTTATTCCTAAATGCCTCACATTCGAGACAGTCTTATTCCTAAACATTCAAGCCAACATTATTATGTTTGTTTTAAAATCTGTATCATGTGTGTGGATATAGAAACTAGTTCTTTGTTAGGACACCAATAGTTACCATTGTAATATTATTAATTTGGGGGAATCCTAATTTTTGTAATAGTTAATTGCCTGAATTTTTTCAATTATAAATGTACTGCTTTGATCTTTTATTAAGAAGTACAGGAACCAATATAATCATGAGCCATATTTGATGTTTCATATTGTCACATCTTTTATTTCCTTATACCCTGTATTTCAATCTGAAGTTGTTGCACTTCTTATTTTACTCACTGGAAAACATTCTTTTTACCAGTAGAATTATTATTGCTATTATAAACTGCTTATATATTTAACAAAGGAGAGATACTGTGATGAATACCTTAATTTATTCTCTCTCTTTCCTCACTGCAGAGATCATTTGTGACAGCAACAAGGACCAGACGGAAGCTGCAGGCAGAGATGCTCCGCACTGCCTTGGATGCTGAGGAAAAGAAACGTCGCATTGAACGTGAGAACTTCCTGCTAACTACTGTCCCCGTGACCATTCAAGCGGCCTATGAACCAGCGCTCCACCACGTGTCTGCTGACGATCACGAGGAAGGTAAATATTACACACAAAAAACTACTAAAGAACCTCAATGTCTTTCATCATTTTCAAAACCTTTTATCTCAGCTTATTGATAACCAGTAAAGTGATCCCTGTGTGAGCTCCAGACACTGTACTAGGTATTTGAACGAGACTGTAACACACATTCACTGCTGATTTGTTTTTTCTCCATATAAGAGAGAAGTGAGGACCTCCAGAGTAATATGTATCAAAAGAAGACAATATTCTTAATGGTGATTTATAAACTACATATTATTTGTTTTAATCCTGGTTTAGAATGATACAATATGTTTTAGGCAGTTATTAATGACAGAGTATTCCTTGTTTTGATTCATACACTTTGAGATTTTGCAGGTGAGGAAGCGGAGGCCGAGGTGGGTAGAGGAGGAACTCACCATGTCTCAGTAGCCCAGCAGCTGTTTCCCTCATGCCTGTGTTCTGCTGTTCTCACCATTATACACCTCTTGGATGACCCAGCTGTTACTCTTGATGGTATTGCTGTGTATGAAGCAGCTCAGCAGGTTTGTATAGCTAAGTGTTCAGGTACAGTCACGATCAAAACTCCTGCTCCATTAATCCCTGAAACTCATGAATCCGATAAATCTAGAAAAAACTAATTAAATCCCAACTTCGTCCTTCAGGTTGTCTTTAGAGGCTTATGGGTTATAATAATTAGTTCTGTTTCTTTAATAATTTATGTGTTATTTTCTTCTTGGTGTATATGATGGAGATGATACTGGAGGTTCATAATAATTGTCTCTTAATTCCTTCAGGTGATCTGGTCATGTCTGGTAGAGGACTCGGCCTTGTTCCTGAGGTTCTTCTTGGAGAAACTAACTCGGGAACGTCAGGATGTTATGGTTCGGCTTCTTCGTCGTCTGGTTCGCTTCATACCCCGGCTGCCTTCTCAGGTAGCCACCGTGCAATTTATATTACCTAAGCCTTTCAGAGAGTAAAATATTTTAAACTAATATATTTACGGTACATTAGTCTTGTATGATCAGGAATAATCAGAATATAGATATGTTTCAAGCGCTCCTCACAACCCTGCATCATGGGTTTTTGTTAATGGAAGGATAGATATAATTATTAATTCATGATACTTATTGTAAACTGCATTGAAAGTTACATCTACCAGTAATTCTTTTGATATTACATGAATGTGATAAGCTATTAACTTTGTTGCTTTAATGGTCACAGTAATGTACTTGATATTATAGGGTAGGTGTATAATGTGTATGTGTGTAATGAGTAACTTAATGGAATTTATATCAAGGTTTTTATTGTCATAATGCAGGCAGCTTTTGCCCTCTACAACTACATGGTCGGGTATGTGATGTTTTATGTAAGGAGTCCACAGGAGGCGTCACAGGACCACATTGCCTCGGCTTTATCTATACTCTGGACAGTGAGTAGTCGGGATTTTGTCTTAGATTTCTGTTTGGTATTATTTTTATGCATGTTTACTCTCATTTGATCTGTAGCATCGAAAGTTTTTGTGTCACTAAATACTTGAATTCTGAACTGATTATTATTGTCTTTGGATATATAACCAGACATACTGTATATATATATGTTTACAATGAAGTAGTCATCTCACCTACTAAGTCTTAAATTATTTACAGGAATAAGATGAAGAAATATAAGCAAACTTAATCTTTTATATCATGGTTATTATTTGCACAATTTAAGGCCACGACCATAGTGTCATCCACAAGTGTTATATACATGTCTCTCATTTTCAGGTTGTTCCCAGCATCCAGGGGATACTCTTTAAAGACATTAAGCAGATTTTCCGGAAGGAGCAGTGCGACTCGGCCCTCTTAGTCACGGCAAATGTTCCCTCGGCCAAGAAGATAATCGTACACGGCCCGGGAGGTATTGATGGTGGTGGCATTCCTTCTCAAGTAAGTCTTTACATAAAGGACCTGTAATTTGATCCACTTAAGTAGTATTTGGTTCCCTATCTCCTGTAGCTTTGTCCAAATTTTCTTCAGTTGTAATGGCTAATATGAAGGCGAGGGTAGAGAGGAGTGTGTTCTCATGCCCTAACTATAACTATTTGTTGAACAGATTAAACTACACCACAACAGATTAAATTACACCACAACAGATTAAATTACACCACAACAGATTAAATTACACCTCAACAGATTAAACTACACCACAACAGATTAACTTACACCACAACAGATTAAACTACAACAGAGTTATAATTGCTCTCTTTGTTACAGTTCCCCATCCAGGAGGACACCCAGTTTTGCCAGATCCTGCAGGAGAGTCTTGATTTCTTTGGTATTCTGGAGAACGACCAAAAGTACTACTTCCTGGTGGACCACAAGACTAGTGAGTTGTGACTTATTGAGAGATGAAGAGAATGTTGTAGTGTTGTGTTGTGATAAAGGAATTATTTTTATTTAGTGTTGTGTTGTTTTTATTATCATATATAAGCACCTCTCTTGTACCATCAGTTGACCATAAGCCAAATGAAAACTGATTTTTAGGCAAGATTTCCTTTGACTTTGATCTTATAAATATTTGAATTACAGTAAAGACTGAATTTTTTACTGATCAGATGTATATATTTTGTAATTAAAAGATTAATTTCAGTTTAAGGAAAAAAGTCTAACATAATTTTTTTCCCTACAGATCAGATTCACAACTTGCAGTCCTACGTCCGTGACTTCTACTTCTTCAAGAGAGCTCAGTACCCACAACTGCTGATGATTCACATGGAACCAGATGCTGCCTACGATGCCTTACAGAGACAGGCATTCACCCTGAAGTTACTAGAGATCGGCAAAGTTCTCATGGCTTGGTCTATCCTGAAGCGACCTGATCAGGTAAGGTGATGAAACGATGACACTAGAATAGGAAATGAGAGAAAATATGAAATGGACAGTATTCCTATTTCATCTTATCCTTTATTAGATAGTTAATAATATAGTTTTACATCAATTATCACATTTATTCATTGACTATTTCTCTCCCTCCAGGTGGCACAGCGAGTGTTCTTCTTACACGAGGAGTTGACTAAATTACCCTCCTTCCCACGTAAAGCTCTGGAGGCAGACTTCAACCTGTACAAGGGAGGTGCTATGGGAAAGGTTTGTACAAATGCCCTACTAGTTACTGTCTTGGTTAAACATTGCACCGATGTTAACTTTTTTTTTATTTTGGAATTATGTATAAGACAGTGACAATTAGTATCATTTGACTTGATATATTGTACTGTGCTTAGGGGCATAGGTGGGGTAAAACAGGTGCAGAGAATACATAAAATAATTTAGAAAGAAGAAGTGAAAGAGATTAACCCATTATTCATACAGTATTACATGATGTCTACTTACAGGAAGTGCGAGGACTAGATCAACTCCATAAGTACATGTGGGTACAACTGGTTAACCGGATGTTTGAAGGTATGGCTGGCAACCTGACCTACACTACTGACCTTCATCTCTTCCTCAATGTGATCAATGGAGCTCTTCTCCTCCACTGTGAAGACTCCTCCATGTTGAGGCTCTGTATGGCCTCTTACATCAATGCTGCTCACCACTTCAAGAACCTTTTTTCTACTAATGGGTTCGTACAAGATAAACATAGATAAGACTAAGACTATTGTGTTATATTGGTTGAATGATGAATGCTTGACAGTGTGTGAGGGAGAGTATGTTCCTCGTGACATCAACCACTCTGTACCCAAGAGAAATATTTGCTCGAGTTAAAAAAATATATGACAGTGAGAACAAAGAATATTAAATAAGGTTAATTTATTATTAGGAAAATTTATATACAACAGGATTTTCACTGAGTTTATTATGAAGAAGAAATCAAGTTGCCAATGATGCCAAGTTACTCAGGAATATGGAAGATTTAACAGATTTTAGAGGCTTTGTGAATGGTCTCCCAGAGCTTCAAGCATGGTCACAGGAATGAATGCTGAGATTTGAGGTTGAGGACAGGATAATGATGTTTAAGTACAGTAAATAAGATGACACAAGTCATTCTTGAATTAGTGATAAAAATACAAAAGATGTGCTTCTACCTGTAGTTGTAAATATCCTGCTAAAGTGTAAAGATTTTGTTTCATGGTATGTTGCAGGTATCTACACATCATGCCAACCATCTTGCGAGTATACAGCAACTACCAGAGCAACAAGATGGTGGTGAGCGTGGTGGAGTTCATAGTGAAGCAGCTGTACATTATGCACCGTAAACCCTTCATCCTACAGATGCTGGGATCTGTTGCCTTAATCCTGGATATGGATGACATGGCCATTTATGGTGATGCCAATAAGGTAAGAACTTAAATTATTAACGGGAACACTTCGTACTGTAAAACTAAATGACTCTAGGGATTAATTACATTATATCAGTCTATTTAATGAGTTATTTGTTATTAATTTGTATCATTTTCTAACGAGACAGATTTAAGGCTGTACAGGCCATTGTTGTGTGTAATACATGATATACCATAGAACAGTGAGAGATCCTATAAGCACACTGAGTTCCTCTTATGTTCAGAGCCAAGAAAGGTGTCCACTGATGTAATGACTGACTGGAATGGCCAGTGAGTCATTGGGTTTATAGTTTAACTGGTCACAGAATCTTTGAATCTCTCATAAAATCATTCTTTAATCATCATAATATGTCGGTGATGTGAAGAGTGAATGAGAATTGTTTTCCAGATTCAGCCACGACGTCTGTTTGATGTATTGTTGTCCCTGGAGTGTCACCACGAGGACCCTCTTCACATCCTCGACCTTGTTACTGTTGACAAGCCTCTCAGGTCAGGGCCAGCTGTTACATGTTTCTCTCTTTCTTTCTTTCTGTGGTTTTGCTGCTGACCCTTAGCATAATATTGAGTGTATTTACTGACTCTAATTCTACTTTGATTTTACCTCAGTCAATAATACCGTACTCTTATCTGGTCATAGACATATTGTGAGGTGTAAAATGATCTTGTGTCCCCAATTAATATCTTTATATGTATACTGTAGGATCATAAACTAAAGAAAATTGGTTAATGGTAAGAAGGGGAGACATTTATCCCAACTCTGCTACTAGTTAAGAGCTGTTATCCTTCCCTAACTAATTTTAAAGGCTTATTCTCTCTGGTGTATAAGTTAACTAACATGTACTGGGTCACCAACAGAGCACTGGACTTCTGCTACCATGAAGAAACTGACTCGGTATCCCTCCTGGAGGCAGTGGACATGTGTGTGACGGTGGTGGCTTACTCTGCTGACTCCAAGAGAGGTCATCAGATGCTGGTTAGAAACAACTCCATGTTTAATTACTCTACAGCTTAAGTGAATCAACAACTAATGCAGTCTTTGTGATAATGTTCATAACTTGTTTTATTGTTTTATGAATTATCTACATTTACTAAATACACACTGGTACTGTATAACTAAATACATAACAGTTCTGTATTGAAACACAAACAAAGTAGAAAGGTAAATATTTGGATAATTACCTGAACCTGATTTCAGTTCTATATTTATGTATTATAAACCCATCAACAGATAATATTGGAAGCCATCTTGGGATTAGTGCTGCGGCATCTCCAGGCCACCGCTGGACGTGATTTACGTCAAGAGAAAGAGACCATCCACCACATAGCTGTAGCGATGAAGACTCTCGTCTCCAACTGTGAGCCACTGGCCAAGTATGTTATGTGGCAGCTGTTATGTTCACTTTAAGGTCGCCTCACTAATAATGACTCACTTGTATAATTATGTTTATTATTATTATTATTATTATTATTATTATTATTATTATTATTATTATTATTATTATTATTATTATTATTATTATTATTATTATTTTTATTATTATTATTATTATTATTATTATTATTATTATTATTATTATTATTATTATTATTATTATTATTATTATTATTATTATTATTATTATTATTATTATTTGCCCTTTTGCTTAAATTTTTAGCGTTTATCCTTGCTTCTGTAAGTGTCTCTAATGTGAGCTCCCTCTCTCATCAAGGGAATAACATAGATTCTCTCATCCACCGTTGACAGGAACTACACAGGTCCCCAGAAGTCGGCCGGTGAAGGCAAGGGATCAAGTCGAGCCACTTACTCCAAGACCTCCAAGGCCTACAATCCTGCCATAGAAGTTGATGACGACTCGCACTCCAAATACATGAGTGACTCCAAGAGATACCAAGCTTATGAGAGAGATATGGAGGATTCTGAGGTAATGTCTCCTAGCTTATGAGAGAGATATGGAGGATTCTGAGGTAATATATTTATAAAGATTCCCAAGCTTATTAGAGTAATATTTAGGCTCCAGGGGTAATATTTCTAGAGGGATGCTGTAAGACTCCTTGACTGACACAATACTGCAGTGTCATGGAAGACGTATGAATAAATATCGTCGTCAACAGGCACTGCGACACGACTTCCGTCAGCCCCGCGATACCCTGCTGCACGTGGTTGCCGAGTTCCTCACAACGTGCTCACTGAGGCTGGCAGAGATAAACAAGAAAGCCGGACAAGACAACAAACACGCTGACCTTCTTGATACTAAATGCCATCTAGTAAGGATCATATATATATATATTTTTATTGATTTAATTTTTTATAAAGTAGAAGATTTTGTTTATGGTAAAGTATTTGATTTTAAACTGGTTAAAAAGTAGAAAACATAAGATAAGATTTAATTGGTTAGTCCAAAACTCTCTCATGAAATTAATCGGTTCTATTGAGATGAATTTATCTTCTTAGCGTCTAGCAGAAGTAGCTCACAGCCTCCTGAAGGTGGCACCATATGACCCGGCTACCATGGGCTGCCGAGGACTCCAGCGCTACATGAACGAGATCCTCCCACACCCTGACTGGTCCCACGAAGACCTCAGACCAGCTCTCGTTAACATTCTCAGAAGACTTGATAAAATGTTCAATAAGATCGCCAAGAAAAATTCAATAAGGGTACGTTTCCTAGCGATTTTAATATGACTGGAGATTAATATAGATAAGATCATACTGTAAAGAGTGAGAAAGTATACAGGATCTATATTCATCATATCTTCCTGCAACTTGGGAGCTTATAGAATACAGTAAACCCTCACTACAATACAGTAAACCCTCACTACAATACAAATATCACCGCTCACTGTATTGTGGCAAATACTGTTACTGCTAACCTTTGTATTGATGGACTACAGAGCATTAACGTCAAATTGTGTTTACAGCGTTTGACAGATTGGGGTGCTGCAGCGAACCTGTTGAAAGGCGTCTATACAACACTGTCCAAGTACCCATACATTGCTCATCTGCCTCACCTCAAGATGGTCGTCCATGTGTGTCAGGTGAGATCACTACACCTGCCATTAAATGATAAATAGCTTTTAATTATTTCAACTGCAAGACCATATTGTTGTGTCCCCTTGTTTGTAATTACTGTATTTGATATTTACAGAGAAATTATTCTTTTTCTGTTGTGTTTATGAACCAAATCTATATAAAATTATAGAAAGAAAAAAGAAGGAAAAATAAAGATCTGATGAACTAATATCCACTTGATGATAAAGAGCTGTTGTAAGTTTTTGACATAATCACTAACAATAAACTGTTGGTGATGGATAACAAGGTACTGTTATAAGGGCTCTAGTGTAGTGTTGCCTTCCCCCAACAGTCACTGATACTAGGGGAACGTGTAGGAGACTTGGAGGGTCACTGTGTTGCTGCCTGGACTCACTCTCCTCCTCCTCGCTTCTGCTCCATGGTGGTCAAGATCATTGCCATGCAGATCTTGGCTCTTGGGGTGAGTTCTTACCTCACTGTGTTAATTTTCTTTTTTATTATTTTATTTTATTGTGGTATAAAATATGAAATACCGGTAATGCTTTTTATGTGATGATTTTATTATAATTCGTATTGTTCATATTCACGTGTGGTTGAGTTGCTTTTCCCTCCGTGTAGATAATTCTTTGTTTTTTTTACCATTTGCGTGTTTTTTCCTCTGTAACACTGACGTTCTTTTGCAGATGTTCAGCGATGTAACTGGGGTGAGCTAAAGAATTAGCTAAGGAGAGGATTTTTTATAGTTCTTTTTGTTCCTACTTATAAATCTCTGCATTTCCCCTCAGAGTTCATCGGTAGAAACTCTGACGCAGTTCCCAATGGGTTTCTTGTGCACTGTTCCTCTGCCTGAAAATAGAATGTGGAAGGTTAAATGACACTAGATAAGGAAGACACATTCAAATACACATACAGTTGTCAGTTGCTTCTACAAACTAAACTCACGTACAGTAAAACCCCATAACTCGGCACACACGGGGCCGAGGCCTTGCCGAGTCATCGAATTTGCTGACTTATAGTTGTATTAGGGACTTGACCGACACCAGGGCACTTTCTTGATGACCCTGTAAGAGGCTGAGGGAATGTACTGTACTGTATTGTGAGCCACACTTCACAGTACAGTATATTGTTCTGGATCTCGGTATCATTTTCCTTGGTGATGTTTTCAACTGTTTTTCTCTCGTCTTGTTAGAGTCCTCCTTAGAAGGTGTTGTGGAGGGAGATACATTTAGTAAATCCACAGAAAGGTTGAAATGATACCTGTGTAGGTTACCTGGAGGTCTACCTGTGATGAGAAGTGTGCTTAAACTGATGTTCACGGGATGCCAAGTGTGGGCTGGCTTGCCAAGTGGGACTCAGCTCCTGCCGACTTAGCACCAATTTGCTGACTACTCAAAAAAGTAATGGTCATCCGTTGACATGCCAAGTTGTTGCAAATTCCAACTTATCAGATGCCGAGTCATGAGGGTCTTACTACACAGTATGTACAGTATATTTATTCTGGAGTATTAATGATATCATGAGTGATCACTGGTGAATGGGTAGAGTGGAGCCCGGAATATAGCCGAGGTATTATAAGTCTTATATCTTCAATGACCCAGAGTGGATATTGTACTTAAGGAAAGAACATTATGACATTAACCTTCCATATTCTGTTTTATGACACACACACACACACCCCTCATAGACAATAATTCCTACAGCAAAGTAAATAAATATTTCCTCATTTGCAGTGTAGTTGTAGAAAGTAGTTTGTAAAAATTCTTCAAAAGAAATTTTCATCCAAAGAAAACTTATTAATTAGTTCTACAATCTTCTATTTATGCCATTTCCTGTAAGTAATTAAGGTAGTTTTCTTGACCTGTGATGATCATGTCTTGTTCCTGTCATAAATGCACTCCTTTACATGTTCTGGCTTTTTGCAATTTATTATAAAGAAACGTTAAAGTTCCCCAAACACCTCATGACAAGCCTATGTATCTCACAAGATATTTTAACTAATAAAGATTGAGTAAAATTTATCCTTGTAATAATATTATTGGGTGTAAATGTTTGTATTTTGTCAATAACCAGATCAACTTACTAGTAGATACATTTGTCTTTTACTTACAAACACAGAAAATAGTTGGCACTTAATTGATTTTCTAGATAATAATAATTTTGCTTGTGGTTTTGAAATAATATTGTATTCATTGTATTGAGATATGAACTTCAAGTCATAATCCTGGCATTGTTTTACTTCATATCATTCAGTTATGAATTAAAACTTTTGATGTTTCTTTAACTCTCTTTCCATTGTATTTCTCTCTGCTTTATTGCTCATTGAGGATTCTCTTCATTTTGGTATACAGTATCTGCCAGAGTTACAAATTTCTACAGAAAAGATTGCCTCAATTTCTCAAGTACTGTACTGCTAAATGTGTGAAGAGCTACACTACAGTATTATGTTGAATTACTGGACACTACTGTACACCTCCAGACTGGTCTAGGGATCATCTTCTAATATTATCATGATTGAATGAACTCGGGGATAATACTGACTATATTTTGGTGCATTAATTACAGGATAGACTTATTTTGTTGTACTGTATATTACTTCAGTGTACAGTCTATAGTGTTTCAAACATTAACTTGGTTTAATACAAACTGTTCAAATGTTATGCTTGCAGAGGGGTGAATGTTCCTCTTAAGTAGTGTTTGCTGATACAGTACAGACCATTCTATGTGATATAGTGTCCAGTAAAGAGACGTACTATTATATTCATTAACTACTAAATTTTATAATTCACCCAATTAATAAACTAAAAGTTTTGGATAAAATTGCTTATGTAGATTTTACAAAATAGAAAAAGATGAAGATGCTTAGCACTCTCCAGTAGATTAACAGCAGGAGACCTCTACAGAACTATTTAGATTTAGAGGTTTCTTTCTGGACAAAACAATGAACTGAGTATGTACTGAAATCTATTGGAGCTATCTTGTAGGATGTCCTTCCCACACTGGTTAATACTATTGGCTTATTACATGCACCATTTTAGCTCACTTGATTATACTACATCTACTCTCTTGGAATTTTCTTACTCATATTAAATATCATTAAAATCTAGATATAAAGAAATATTGTCTTGCATGATAGTCCCTTATATATACATATATATATTTATGCAGTTTAGCAGAGCATAATGCATGTTTCAATATATATATATATATATATATATATATATATATATATATATATATATATATACAGTATGATCCTATTGTGTTGTATATCATATAACCACAGGAGCTCATATATTTGTTTGTTTCTTCCACTTTGAAGCAAAAGATGGCCTGGAACCTTGAAATCTTTCTTTATATCTTATAGGTGTACAAGTGACCAACATTAACTTTGGCCATAACTCTCACCCCTTGGCACAATATGAGAGCCTCACCACTGTACTAACAATCATAGCACCTTATATCCTCTTATTTACTGTATTTTTAAAGCCCATTAATCATACTTGGATCTCACTTAAACCTTCTTTACATAAGAATTTAATAAACCTTTGTAGATCATTAATTAAATATATCTATATCTTTCCCCAACATTTTCTTAAGTAGTGCAGTCCAGGATATATATTTTGTTATCAGTGTTTACCCATCAATATCTGTGCAGCTTTGTAAGGAACCCAAGGTGTTGGGTATTATCTGGGTGGATGGTTTACTGTACTGAGTCTCTCTTTAAATGATTGGATTTTATTTTGACATTTTTGTCATTCATGGTTGACAAGATGTTACAAATAACATTGATAAGAAGTGTTATATTTGTGTGCCCTTAAGGTTTTCTGAATGATAGGATACTCATCATATAAAGTGAATGAGTGTGTATGTGTGTTTTTGTTTGTGAGTGTATGTAAGTCAGCATGTGCATGTATGTATGTATGTATGTATGTGTGTGTGCATGTGCTTGTGATTGTACATATATGCAGTATGGTCATATGTTTATTCATTCATGTGAATATATTATTTATAAAATAAAGTGAATAGAAGTGAATACATTTTCTGGTATACTTTACTGTACTGTATGATGTATTAGTGTGTCTGTGTATAACCATCAGTTGTGTTGCCACATGAAAGACAGTCCATGAGTTGGTCACTTTGTTTGGCTTTTCTGTTGTAAACTTTAATAATTATTATTAATCTTTGTTCAGGCTCTCTGTTTTATGTTCGGTCTCTTAAAAATCAATCATTAATCATGTGCATTATGACAGGTAATTATACTTATCATTGTTATTAACTCATGTGTGGTAATCATGAATGTTGGGATTATTGACATATACTTGATGACACAGGTGACTTATTCTCTGGAACAAATCTGTGGTGGGTCGTCTCTCTTCCCAACGCCCGACAAGACTGAGAACATGATCATGAACCTCCTCCTTCCTCTGTGTCTCCGTGTTGGCTGTGGACGTAAAGGTTTGTAACTGCGACTTTCTTCTGTGGGGAGTATTATCCCTCGTGTATGGGTTCTCCTCTGAGCTGAATAAAATTGTCTGGCATTACCCAAATAATAAAAATGATGTTCCTATAGTCAACTAGTAAATAGTATAGTACATACAGGTACTGATAGTTAATTCACTTTGAGGAATTCCAATTGAAAAATATTGTTACTGATCATGACTAAATTAAAGTGTTCTAAGTACAAAACTGTTATCAAAGGATCCTTTCATTGTTTATCCAGATGCTCCCAAAATGCGACAAGCAGACATTAGTTTTGCTCTTACGGTCGTTCTCCACGCCATGAATCCACCGCTGGCAAAGATCGTACCTCTACACGGTCCTCAGGCTAAGGTCGTCCCGGGCTCTGACCCTCGTTCCCAGTCGTGGTCTCACCAGCAGCTTGATCCTCGCGCTTATCCTAAAGTCAAACCGACCATTCTACGTATTGCTTTCCTTGGTGAGTGAAATACATCTTGTATAATTTAATATTGTACAGTACATTGCTCTCTTCCTCCTATCTTCCCCTTTCCTCCCCCTCTCTATCCCCCCTTCCTTCCCTTTCCCTCCTCCTCCCTCTCCTTTTTGCCTCTTTTTATCTCTCACCTTGCACACTATGCCCTTCCCTCCTTCCATTATGTCTCCAGGCCTCTCGTGAACACCACTTCAGTATTTGTTTTTATATTTCCTCGTCACTTTTCTTGGCTAACGTGGCACCAACTATGATACATTATTTACTTAACAGGACTGAAGGTGATGATGGTGTGTTTTGAGAAGCAGCTGTCCCAAGACTGGCACCGCGTCCTACACTGTCTGCGGGACATGGACACACGCGGTGAAGGGGGATTGGCTCTCTGGGACTTCTTAGACTTTGTTGTATCTTTCCGCACGCCTCTCTTCATCCAGATGCGACCATTCATACTTTTAAAGGTACTTGATGATGATAAGAATTAAATTATTGTTTAGATAATTTGATAAAGGATGGCCAACTGAGTCTCAGATGTTTATTTCCATCCAAGTACTAACCAGACCCAACTTCCTTCGGCTTTGTTGATCAGACGAGAAGCGGTGTTTTCAACTTGGTATGGCCATTTTTCACAATATATATTTGCTGTAAATGGATGTTTCATGGTGGAATAGACATCATTTTGTTATTTATTGTTAGTAGTGATTTATTGTATAATATTTTAATGTACGTTGATAACAAGACAGCCATTGTGATTACATTTTCTGCTTTTATTTTTTACAGCTTCTTCGTAAGTGTACAGATGAAGGCAGCGAACATTATCAACTGATCATACACGATCGTGTTCACGGCTGGTCACTGCCACCTCCACGATGTAGAGGGTCACTCCTACTTGACCTCGCTCACCAGGTCAAGCAGCTGATGGAGGAAGTCATCACTGCTAAAGTATCAGGTATGACTAACCTCTCCCCTCATGTATGCTAGGGACCTGTCATCAGCTCACCCACATCATCATGTTATGGGACCGGTAGTGTGGGGTGGAAAGGTTAGGTGAAGCAGAAGGTTGATATGTGTAGTTAATATGAGTACTGTACAATATTCAGGAGATGAGTTAACAAGATAATAACATTTTAAACTTGTCCAGACAAAATGTGAATGTTTTTTAGGCAACTTCAGCGTGATTGGAGTAAATTAAAACATATCGGCCCTTCGGGGAATACTCGGCTTGTGTAGAACTTAATGTCGTACAGTTTTGTGAGTGTGATCTGCATTTTATTACTTGGTAGTTACCCAACTGTGTGTGTATATTGTCATCAATTTTCATATTTTACTGTTTTTATTTCCTCTCTTTATTTATCTTATGTCATACTTCCATATACATATAATATCATCTTCAAAGCACAGCCCAGTATATATACATAAAGAAGTTTTATTCATTCATTTTTATACCTCAGGAGAGCACGACGTCCGCCCGTCTGCACTAGAGATCCAGAGTGAAGTGTCTCACGTCTCTCGTCGACCCAGGTTATCTTACGCCGGCCCTCCCTCCGAATGCCCTACACGACCCCTGACCTCTCCTCCCCCTAGGTCAAAAGGTGTGTGGTGTGAATATTTAAGTTGCCTCAGTATTACCTATGATGCAGTACTTGGCTCAACGCAATAACCGCCTCCATGATTTTATTTATTTATTTATTTTGCCTCGGTAGAATTGCCAGTACGTGAACTGAAGATCTGTCAAGGAGTCTTAAGACAATTGGATTGTGGTATACAGTATATATAAGAAACTCAGGGTAAGAGGGACAAATTAACTAACTTAGAACTTAATTGAAGCAAACAAAACAAAAATGTAAACTATTCTGTAAGTAGTCGACATCTATTATCTAAGACCAATTTAATTAATTTTGTACGGTGCTTTACAGATACACACGGTCGTTCATCTCCAGACATGATTTACGTTGATTCAGCCCTCTTACCCCCATGGCCTTACATATATATACAGTACCAGTATTATTTTTTATTTTTTTTTGTTTATGGTTTAGAAAAATCTGGAATAATTTCAATACGTTGAGACAATGAAAGTTGAGGTCCTTATGTCATGATCTGGCACAGTATCTGTATTGTTCCCATAAGGTGGATTATTTTGCATTATGGGCTAACCAGGTGTTTCTGTTGAGTGGTCGGCTGTTCTAAGTGTTCATTTATTATTTCTCTCCCACAGTCTTTATTAGGTCATGCCCTTTACCTCGATGGTTTAGTGTGTCATAGTTCCTCGTGGCAAGAGTTCATCATCCTTGTGTTCAGGTGGATGGCTTGAGCAGTATGAATGCATTATTCATATTGCTGTTGTTTTATACATCTCTAATTTACTCTCCCCTTCCCCTCCTCCCAATCCCCCTAACCTCCCCTCCCCATGCAAGGTGTTTATGATATTTGGTATTTTTATATTTTCTTCGCACATTTTCTTATTTTCAGAAACTTTTTTAATATGTATTTTCTCGATATATTCCATAGTCTGGCCTTGAATATTCACTATGTAATTTGCTACTTGTGACGGGGATTTATTTATGTGATTTAAATGTGTGGAATTATTTTTACGGCGGCTTCGGAGTGTAGTGTTTTTATTATTTGTTTACTTTCTTGGCATGGGCTACCTTGCTTCATCTGGGAAACAGCTTTTATAGATATAATGTTTCAGGTATTGTCACGAATACTGTCATTAATTAATTACCTTTGATAATTTAGTCTTTCCTCTCATTTTATTGTTTACTTTATGGCTGTTATGGGATTATAGATTTACCTTCTTGAGATTGTCCTTCACTGTAATGATGATGCTGTACCTTCATGGTGTGCCGCTGGGCGTGTCAACATTCTAAGTCAACTGTGCTGTGGTATCAACTGGCTGTATTATAATATAAGAGTTTAATTGGGTTATCAGGAGAGATCTTTGTGAGCTCACCACCTTCTCCGAACAACATCGTCAGTGTTGGAAAAAAAATAAATTTAACTAAGATAACAATACCGTGTCTAGGGAGAAATGTACTTGTGGAATAGTAATAAATATCTTTAATAATTACTCTGCAGTAGAGGCACACAGTATTAGAGTAAAGGAATTATGTTCGTAATAAATTGTCGTTGTCCTTTGATGTGAAATTAAATGGGTATTTTGTACTACATCAAACCTGACTCTGCAGATGAGGGACTTTACATTAGATTGAACTCTTTATAGATACTGGAATACATTTATGACAAAACAGCTGAGTTTGTGACTATGGGTGAGGAGGTTTGAAGAGAGCTGGGTATTGAGAGTATTTTTTCCTAGAGACCGGGTAATACTTAGGGTCTATAATGTAAACACTTCACACTGTGGGTTTTTCAGTGTACATCAGGACAGTTGACTTAAGAATTGTAAATATTATCATTACTATTAAACCTCCATATAAAGGACTTCTCTCTCCATATACTCTATAAGACTGGGGAGTTTCACATCGAACAGACCCTCAATATAAGGGACTTTCCTTCCCATATAGTCCATTAAATAGAGGTTTTACTGTATTAACACCAACTAATGATGAGAAGGACAATTTCGTGGACTTAATCTTTATCTCCCCCCGGCCGTAAAATGGGAACTCACATGATCAATCTATTCTTTTATCACCTGTAACCCTCCGTTCAGTGGTGACATTGTCTTCATGCTGTGCTGGCTTCATATTACTCTACTGTACTGGCCTCATGCTCCTCCTTTCTACCATGAGAAGAGTTTGATAAATGGCACCAGCCTCGGCAGTACCATGTTGGTGCCCTAGCTTATGTTATTAAGGGTGCTGAGAACTTAAGCTCACCCAGCCAATCAGTCAACTTATACCCAAAATAGACTAAAATCCTCTCTTGATGAAGGTTTAACTTACATTTAGGTAACAGTTTGACTCACAGCAAGTATTTCAATTGTTTTTTGAAGCTGGCAGCAAATTCCATAAGCTCTGCATATTTCATAATTACGGTGTGTAATTTTTTTTTTATGGCCTGTAACAGTTGCCTGACATAAGCACAAAATTGTCGGGAAAACTAACGAACCAGACATCCTCGCCAGTTTTCTTCGTCATAAATTGACATTTTTGGTCATAGATGGCGCCTCACTCTATGGGGTTTATTGGGAAGCTATTATCTGTTTTCCACTAATCATTGAAATTTATATATCATGAGGTGACTTATCATCCATATCCTCAGTCAGCAGATGTGTGTTAGGAGATTTGCACATTGTTTCTCAGTGGTCAGTTAGTTGCTTATATCTCAGGATTGTATTTCCTTCACTTGCAAAGACCAGAGATTCTGCTGAGGAATGTGAAGTAACTTGTTGGTTTTTGGTGATGGTAAAGGAAGTTGTGTTTCTTATTACTGTGGTACATGTCTCGGTTCACTTTCTCTCACAGAAGAAAGCTTAAAACACCTGTTTATTAAAAGGCAACTTTAGAAGATTCTTTTTATATTAATCATAATAGAGATATCAAGTCTGTTTCTTGGCCTCTTTATATTATGGGCCAGTTCACTACACTCATACAGCCAAGCCTGACCTTTTGCTATACAGTGAAGACTTGTATGTCGAGGACGACCTATACTGAGATTTTGAGTAAAATTAATTAAAATATCTCGGGGTCTAAAGGTGGAAATTCTGATTATAAAGTGACCTTATAACAGTTAGCATAATTACTATCAAATCTTAGGTCCAAAAAACTAAATTTGCTCAAAATCTCAGCATAGGTTGTTTTTTGCATGCAGATTAAGGATCTGTGATCAAAAAGTTGAAAATCTTATTATTAAGTTTCCTCATAACAATTAGCTTACAGTAATTGATTATGATAACTTCAAAATGTAGGATACTATTAACTTGTGTGTTATCAAGGTTGTGCTGTATTTTATTGTGGCTTTGTATAGCATGTTACAGGGGCTTTAGAAATAGTGTATCTATGTTGAAAATTTTGTGTTGGGTGTTGGGAGATAAATCAATAAGAATCAGTGGACTGGCACACACTACTGTACATGGGAGGAGAACTGTAGGAGTATTGGTGTTAACTTACTGACCACCACCATTACTTGCTACACTGTACTGACCTGGTGTGTTCAGAGTGTCCATGATTCTTTGAACACTAACCTAGATATGAATTAAGAGCTGATCACTTAGATTAAGGCCCCAGACATGACAAACCTTCCTTGGTTAGAAATTTTCATGTAAGAAATGGGGAAAAAGTTTAAGGATTTTAAATTACTGTACAGAAAAGTTATGTAAAGATTAAGAATAAACAAGAAAATACCATCACCATATTGACAAAAAATTATTAATATTATTTCATTAAACAGAAGTCTTTTTGTCAGGTGGAGTCAAGTGTACAGTATGTGACAGTTAGCAGTTGGTTTATGATAAGGTGTTGAGTTAGTAGGATTCTTAATGATTGTGAACACTCCACAAGACCCACTGACTCAACCCAGGGGCCACACACCCAAGGTTTACATACACATCCTGTGAACTGAGCTGCAGAAAGTTTGTATTATTTGTACACAAGAAGCAGTGGCTGGAATTTGTGTAGGCAACACCCAGCTTAGAGTACACAGACATCTCTTTGGTCCTCTGGGCATTTTTAGAATATGTGCTGTAGTCACATAATTATTGAATGATCTTTTGGGTATATTTTTTCTTCATCTTTATAAACATTAATTATCTATACTCTAAAAGTGAGTTCCCTTTTCCTGTATCTGAACCACATTATAATTCTAACGTCTCAAAACTTGAACTTATCATCCAGTGTGATAATTTATTTTTCTTATAAGCAAGATGCATGTCCATTCATAGGAGCTATTATCACTTGAGTAATTTTCTTTATTATTTTCACTAAGTTGCTTGCCTATTGAACTACAGTGCATGTTCTTGTTAGTGGACACAAGCCTGGTGATAATACTGTAGCAACACATCCCTTGAGGTGACATGGCCAGCCTAGCAGTAAGTTAGTCACCTCCATAAGTAAAGTTCTTGACTTGTCAAGTATCCTGCCCACCCCCTCAAGTAAGCTGCCCACCCCTTCGAGTAAGCCGCCTGCCCCTTCGAGTAAGCTGCCCACCCCTTCAAGTAAGCTGCCCACCCCTTCGTGTAAGCAGCCCACCCCTTCAACTAAACTGCTCACCCCTTCAAGTAAGCTGCCCGCTCCCTTCAGTAAGCTGCCCACACCCCTCAAATAATTTGCCCACCCCTCTATTAAGCCATCTACCCCCTTAAATAAGGTACTCGCCCCATTCACTAAGCTGCCCACCTCCTCGAATAAGCTGCCCACCCCATTGAATAAGCTGCCCCCCAAAATAAACAACACATACACTCAGCTACTCATCAACAAGTATATTACACAGTCCTTCAACTAAGCTCCACACATCAAGTGAATTCTTCCATCTCCTAGTGTAAATTATGGACCCCAGCAACAAGAACGCCATCCGTAAAGAGGGCCAAAAATTTTCCGTAAAGACGAGCCAAAATTCTCCATAAAGACGAACCAAAATTCTCCGTAAAGTCGAGCTAAATTCTCCATAAAGACGAACCAAAATTTTCCCCGTACATGAGCCAAAATGGTCAGTAAAGAGGGCCCAAAATTTGACACAACACACTGGTAACGAACTATACATAACATCCTTAATTTTATACATATCAGCCAGAGATGACAAAGACAGGGATTATATTTTACATAAGATAATAATGAGTTAGTATAGTATTAAACAGACACGTAGAGAAAAACTCACTTGTTACACGGTAAATAGTGTTTTGGATATTAATCTTTCGGGTAAATAACTCCTGCTCTTTGTGGTTAATAACATATTAAAACACATTGTTCAGATATTATTTTGTTAACTTAAAAAGTTTAGTTATCATTTTGTTTATCTGATACTCTGTTTGTTGTCAGTTCTCCCAAGCTTTACTGAAACTGTTTATCAGAGAGATTTTAAGATAGGCGTTTATGTTTCTTAGTGCGTGAACTAATGTATGGGTAAAATTGGGATTTATTCATCGTGCCATTTGTAAAGTTATACGCCGTGAATTTGACATATTTACTCTCACATTTGTTAAGGATGTTTATTGCTGCAGCCGTCGGTGTGTGCATGATAGGGCTAACATGGGATCAAGATCAAACCGTCTTTTATAATATGTAATATTCTATGACCAAGAATCATCACTTAATTGTTTTTGAAGCTTTAAAGTACCATTTGTGTGTGTGCTTACTTCTGCAGACATAATGGGTTGTTGCTACTGCACAATATTTAGGATCATAGGTGTACGATCTTGCTTTTATTTGTAGTTTTTATTATATACAATAAATATTTATGCAATACTGTAGTTATAATCGTGAAGTGATAAATATTGTGTCATGTTCAGGAGGGACATTTGCACATAGAAAAAAGTCTGAATAATGAATGACAAATATAGAAAATAGTTGTGTATTTATTCAACAATTAGTGTAGTAACACCTGCCCTTCAGATCAAGAAACATAGAGATTATAGTACAGTACTGTGAAGGTGTTGAGAAGCTCACCTGTAGAAGCACTTGACAAACTATTTCTGAGCCTGCAACCATCATAAGTCAGTTTGTGTACCCTTCTTCCCACCCATCCACCCACCTTCTCTGACCTTGTATCGTAAGGTCAGCCTCCCTGCTGCCACCCTTCCCTCACCCTATTTGACCTGTGCCCTTCTCATGGTGGTGAGGAGCAGGCTCTGTGTCCAGCAGCAGTACTGGTTGTTCCTCGGCGCTCCACCGAGACTTGTCCGTGCGCTCTGAGTCCCGCCCCGCTCCCCTCCCCTCCCACGACTCCCAGTCACCTCCGCTCCCAGATGCCGATCCGCTCAGAAGAACCTCGTTTGCTGGGGAATCTCAGCCTCTGTGCAAAGGTACAGTAGAGGCAGCCCTCACCACATCCCTCACTGAACCTTGTTATTATGTGGTTATAAACTACTGTATTGTGTCATAGTTTAATGCGTTCATTTTAGACATTAGTACAATATTGAACAGTAGCTAGCAAGCCAAGCTGTAGCCGTGTTAAGTAGCAAAGATGTGCAGTTGGTGATACATGTTGTCTAGTTTGGTCATGTACTGTCAGCTTATATATGGCATTGTGGGGAGGAACAATATGGTTTGTGATGATATTTTGAACATACTGTACTGTAGGTCTGATATAGTACTGTGTATGGCATGTAGCTGTTAATTATTTTTGTATGATACATATGTATTCTTGACTAGATAATCTCCGGAAACAGTCAGATGCTGTATGGACATAGTGATTTTTACGTATACTGTAACTGTCAAATTAATACAAAAACTAAAATGTAGAATAATTTATTGTCATTAATGTATTTGGATCTATCGGTTAATGTAGTCTGGTCTTAAATTAATTAGGAAGAGCTTGTTTCCAGGTGTTGAATACATTGAATTATTATCAGATTAGAAAATAGTATTATAAAAAACCTGTACAGTATATTTGTAAGTGTACTGGCTTGGCTGGTGATGTGATGTTATGTTGTTATTACTTTACATGTCAGGAATTTTGATCTGTAACATGGCTGGCTGACACAGAGTACTAGTATATATTTTTGTATAAGAACGCACTGCATCGTAACTTGGCCATAAATTATTGACAGATTATACTTTAGTTCTTTCAAGTGTTAGATATAATGGTGTTTTAGTGTATATATTAATAATGATATTTGTTCGGTAAAATCATCATACAAATTTGCAATTGGTTTGGCATGTATATAGACAATGCAAGGCATACAGTTCAGCATGTGTATAGACAGTGCAGGTATACAGCATACATAGACGGTGGAGGTATACAGTTTCCAATGTACATAGACAGCACAGGTAGACAACAGTAAGGCAACTTGACCAAAGAAAGTCGACAGAGCCATCAGATGCTTATTTATACGGGAACGTGCATTGATACTGTTCCTAGCTAGACGGTAACACGTACGGTACCCCTCCGCGAGCTGTGGCATCAGACATGTGGTAAGTTTAGATGCTTTATACATTCTATATTATTACTGCATGTTATTTCTCTTAAAAATCTTAATGTTTTTTTGTCATTATAAGATTTTTTTACCCTTTAACTCTTTGCTTCTTGGATAAACTCCCCCTCTAGACTATCATACCTGTGTGTGTACCATATGTGTGTGTAGTGTTACTGTCCATCGTCAATTGACCACCTTATGTGTTACTGTCATTTACTGTGTCTTAGGTGTACCTTGTGTATATAATAACCTCCCCCCCTCTTGTTAATAACGTCACATAGAGGTGTTGTGACTCTCCCTTATGCATTATTCAATTGTCCAAGAATTACAGGAATTAAATTGATAAACTAGATGAATTACAGTAGCATGATAGCAGTAATTATTTGTGGTGACCTGTATTACTAGGTTCTGTAATTGCCTCTTTAACGATGCTTGACGAGCTTCTAAGTAGGGTGAACTATATGACTTGTGGAGTGCTTCTGGTAATTGAAGGTTCAGATTTAAACACTTGAAGTATATTTGAGTTGTATTTTTTTGCTTCAGCTTATAATTGAGTAGAAACATTTTTTTAAGAACATAGATAGATAATAATAGTAAGATGCATTGGCACTTTTTAAATTACATGTATATGATACCCCCCTTCCAGTATATATTAGTTAGCATTAAAATAATTTATAGAAATATAAAATAATCCTATATTAAATCATTCCTAAAACTGAACTTCTAAAATGGTTAAAATGTTTTCCTATAAACAAAAGTGTCCATGTTGTAACTTAGACCCTTCTTACCCTAACTAAACAGATGAATGTGCTAGGTTGTTTGGAGGTGTTTGTGTCCTAGCTGGTGTACTGTGCCCCAGCTGGTGTACTGTGCCCCAGCTGGTATACTGTGCCCTAGCTGGTGTACTGTGTCCTAGCTGGTGTACTGTGTCCTAGCTGGTGTACTGTGTCCCAGCTGGTATACTGTGCCCTAGCTGGTGTACTGTGTCCTAGCTGGTGTACTGTGTCCTAGCTGGTGTACTGTGTCCCAGCTGGTATACTGTGCCCTAGCTGGTATACTGTGCCCCAGCTGGTATACTGTGCCGTAACTAAGTACTTGACAATGGTGCTGTAAAGTAGTGACTCTGTAACACCATAGTACCAGTACTCAGTTGGTAGTGAGGGGCAACACTTGAGAGCTTGTGGTGTTATCAGAATGGTGTAGTCATCCTGTGTAATGATGACTACAGACTCCTGATGATAACTACTGCCAGGCCCTGATGTCAGTGTACAACAGCTGGTGTACTTTAGTTCATGAATTGTGGATGCTGTTATGGTCACTCATGCCTTTACTTGATCTGTGGCTGTTCAGGTTAATAGCGGTACAGTAATTGATGTTTTTAGTTGTTTGACCAAGCTTAGTTGACAAAGCCCAGCGGTGATTGTTTCCCAGGGAGTCACTCATCCAAAAATTTTGTTACTTTTCCATTGATAGGTTGAGCAGTGTATATTGATGAGACAGATTCGTTATATATTTCTTTTGATATTAAAGTTTGGAAGATGTTATCTAAGATGGCCGCTATAACTTACAAAAGACGTGTTCTTGAACTACTGATTCGATTTTCTTGAAATGTGGAAATGTTGTGTGGAAGTACCTCTCTCAGCCTTGTGACCAGTATGGCTCTTGTCATACTGGATAACACCCTTCTCATTTCTCCTGTCCAACCTGGGCTGGGAATCAAACCCAGGACACATAATGAGAGGCATGCACATTACCTCTGTATCACCAACCTCAGTGATATGACAACAGTAATCATCTCTGTCTTTGTGTGTGTAAGGTCAGGTGTCTTGTGAATGTGATAACAGAGACATATAGAAGTTAATTTCATTAATAATTGGTGTATGGATGTAACTCAAAGAGAGCTCAGGCATATGTGATGGTCAATATATTTTGGGTGAAGATGACAGCTGGATATTGAAAGTATTGGTAGAGGTTTTGTGTAGAGGTGGACAGAAATGGTTCAAGCATGTGGAGAAGACCAATTAGATCAAGAGATACATTAGTTTGGAGGTGTGGAGAGTCAGGGGGAGAGGTTGTGAGACATGACCTCTGAGATAAGAACCTGACGAGTAAGGTTGTGGGAGACATGAAGTTATATACACAACATACTGTAGAGTATGTGTATATTTTGCAGTGGAGTTAAGTGTTATGAATATCATAATAGTGGAGGAAGGGAATTATTATAGTGAGTTGTGGTGATGAGACCATATATGTAGGAGCCCCTGAGTGTGGTGATGAGTAAGACTATAACCATCCATAGTTGTGTATATTGTCTGCCTGTCACTGATGTGTGTCCTTGACTGTCCCTCGTGCCTCTCTACCAACCACCTTCTTCTGCCGCTGCTGCTGCCTCTCTTACCTGCCGGGCCGGCTCCCTCCTCTATCCACTCCCGGGCCGGGCTTGTCTGGCGTGGCTCCCTCTCGTGTGTTTCCCACTAGACTCTCTGCGGCCTTCCCCGCACGCCACTTCCTCTGAGCCTCGCCTGTACCGCAAGACTTTCCTCCTACGCAAGCGAGGCTCTAAACCCAACCTGCAGGCGAGCAGTGTTCCTGCTCTCCCCGGTAAGTGTATTAACTCTGAGAGATGTTTATTACTACTCTACTCTGTTGAAGATAATTACATTATGTACTTTATAGGTTTTTATAAATAGGAAATATTGTTGACGTTACTATGAGTTAACCTGTCACTAGATGGTCGCTGACTTAGTATTAATTTATGTATGGTATTAAATGTGACCTTCCGGGGGATTATTACCGTTTGTGACGAGTAAAGACGGTTTGGCATCATCGGTGTGGCATTGATGACCACTTATCCTTCTGCAGAATATTAATAAGTATAAGTGATACTTGATGCCATTATACGCTTTATTTATATGTCTGTCTCAGGTTGTTGTGGCTTTAGAGAAATAATCTAATGTTGTTGTCAAGATTTTATGGTTGTAAGTGTTGTAATGGTTGGTGTCCTGTGCTAGCTGATCACTCTTGAGTTTTCTAGTGTAAGATGATCAATATAATAGGTCCATCTCTTTTGGCTACCCTGTTTTATGTTGATTGGTACAGTGTATTATAAGATAATGACCACTCTGCTTGGAGCCATGCAGTATGAAGTTGTCTCTCACTGCTTGTGTGATAATCACTGCCATAGGTCACTCTGAACCAGGTATAAGATGCCCACATTGACCAAGACCACCAAACTCTAGTTGATTATTGGTACTTTTTCCACCATTTGCTGTAGTTGTTTAGGTTACATGCACTTGTCTACACACTGGCCCTGGTTATTCAGTGCTGTGTTCCATATCATACACGTCATAGGAGATACAGTACTCACCAGGTCACTCACACGTTTAACTCGCATTTCAGGTTGCATGATTCACGGTGTTCGTCTCTGGAGTAAGTAATGATTTTAAGGAGCATTTTTCAGGTATCATTTAGAAGCAAGGTTCCTGCCCTCTAGAACCTGAATTTATCCTTAGAAAGAAGATTATCCCCTTAAGAATATAAAGTACAAGTCTGTAGTATGGTACCAAGTTTATAATAACACTCTTGTCTCATAGTAAAGTATTCACAGTAACTAGTCAATATATTAGTTCCATCACAGGCTGTAGACAACATTTGAAACTCATTTATAGATGATCAGGAAGATACATATTTGATCATGAGCATGAATGATATACTGTACTGTACTTTATTTTGTATTTAGTTATACAGGAGTACCTGTATTATCATTTCACAACTTATCAGTGTACTGTACTCACCAATTAGGCAATTGGTCAGTTCTTTGTTATGACCTTCATTGTCCAGTGTTGTATGATCATAGTGGTTTTCTTGCAGTCATTAGACCACTGGTAGATGAGTCCTCCCTCATTGCTTTGATGGAAAGATAGTTAGCTGGTAGGTCTTACTTTGGGATGTCATCTGCTCATATACTTGTACTAGCTGGACTTGACACACAATTGCTTTACCTCACTCACCACAAGACTATTGTGTTATCCTGTGTGACATGATATAGGTCACTGCTGTATTGGTTATGCTCAAGACTTCCAACCCATGGAACACTAGTACTTTATAGGTAGTCCTGTGGTCAGGCAGAGTATGGGGCATTACTCTGCTGTGATGTACACTGTAGTACTTAAGTTCTTATACCAAAATTGGATGCCTTGTTTGTTATTTGTGCACAAGTATGGAAACTTACCTTATGGCTTTTCATTAACTTTTTCTGGTGAAGGCAGTTCATGTATGTTTCAAGGTAATGGCTCACTTTATTCAACAAGCTTTGTCAGAGTGGAGACCAATGAGCATAGCTTTCTTAATATCTTCCAACCTGACAGTGACCCTCGGGTATGTGATAATGGCCCTCCTTGACTTTCACGTGAAGAATATCCCTCAGGTCTAATAAAGTTTGATTGAGTTAATTTTAGTGAACACAAGGAGGCTTCCTTATTCTGGCTTCCCGAAATCCTATTTTATAGTCGAGCTGTGATTATGTATTTCAAATCCCTCTATTCTTCCTGTGGGCTGACCTAACAGGCTGGACCTGAGATGGTTGATCTTGACGGCTCCATAGTTGTGTTGCCAAACTGAAGAAGACTCCCAACCATCTTGTAGGGAAAACTGCCATAACAAAAGTTACTTTTAAAGGAATTTGGTGTGGTTGTGGAGGTTTATCTTTCAAAATTTACATAATATTTTTATCTCCCATCATAAGTTTATGGTTCTGTATTATCAACTATGTGGACATGATGACTATATTAGTCCACTGATCCCAGCTCAATAAGAAGATAGGATTTGAAGATCAACTTCTCGTATAACTATCAACCTATATCCTGTAGGCCTTCATCCCTGTATTTTTACTGTAGGAGAAACATATTTTGTTCTGAGAAAGGACTCTTTTTAAGTGCAAGAACTTTCAAATTAAGAATGTATTTATATCCATTTTTTGCTACCGGAATATAATACAGGTATAGGAAATTCTTCAAATCAAACAAATTCGCCTTTTGTCTTTCTTGCATATTAATCATCAGAAGTCTGTAAAGTTTTATGAAATCTGTTAATCATAATCAATAATCAGAAGCAAAAACTTTATATTGCAGTCCTCCAGAGGAGAGTAATTTATCAAAGATCAGAGTCCCTCTTTTTAACACGTGCTTCTTCTTTGGCTTTTTGTTACATGAATGAATCTGATATATCCAATAAGTTTATTTATTAATGACGTTTTTAAGTGAAGCACGTACACCCATTCTTCAAGGCCTGTACTGTACAACTATTAACACATTACAGGTGAGGATAGTAGTGTGTCGACACCAACAAGCCCCGGTGAGGGTGGGATGGTGAACGGCAGCCAAGAAAGTGTTCGTAGTGGTGTGCGACCCAGACTACAACGTCAGATGGCTCAGTCCAGGAAGACTTTCAGGTTCCGCAAAAGCAAACACGGACATGCTGAGGTTAGCTAAATTTTGTGTTAAATAATTTTTGAAATGTAATACATTGTAAAACTTGATGGGAAAAAGCACCAAAGATAAAATTCTTGGAGGTCTTCCAAATTTATTTTGTATTGTTAGAACATGTTCTAGTTGATGGCATTGTGTTTTATTCAAGTGTGAGTTTAGAGTTTACCAGTTGTTTCTGTGACTCTTGCTGCTTGGCAGCCTCCTGCTTTTGAACACTACTAATTACAGTAGGGAGGAAGAAGCAATGTTTAAATTATTTCTGGTTAGATTTATTCATAAGATACTGCCCAGCCACTAATCCTTAGCATCCCTTGAGTCTACAACCTACCAGGGTTAGTGTGCACTGTACCCAACCCACTCGGCTGTGGGCTTAACTGTATAATGGTTTTCGGGGATTTTAAGCTCGATTATATTATTTCAGATGCAAGAGCGACAACCTCAAGTTGCACACATTGATGTTGAGCCGACCCGCCTGCCACCTGTGACAGGAACACAGATAGTAAGTGGAGAGGTTCCTGCCCTCAGAGAACTCTCTGTGCCTCTCATACCCGAGGATGAATTTACACCTCAGGGCCACACCACCACCAAAAGAGAAAGATCAAAGTAAGGAAACTTGTATATTTTGTAAGTACTGTGCAGTACAGTGTATAAGTTGGTGTTTTATACAATTATTTCAGGTGAATATAAATGTTGAGTCAAATCTTAAATTTTACAAAATATTTTTAATTTTTGATCTAGGAAAATATGATTATGAGGCATAGCTTAAAATGTTTCTTCTGAATTTAAATACTGTAATATATAAATAAGTTTTAAGATATGCAAAAAAAATAAAAAGTCATGGGATCTTGTAAGTTAGGTATTATGCACAAACTGGGCCCGAGTTGTAGAAAATTGGCCACAGATTCACATGTAGCAGCATCACAGAATGTTGGACCAAGATGAGACAAGTGCATTGGGGGATGGAGGGTTCCACTAGGGATACAGTAGTTCTTTTAAATTGATGTTTTATTTTTTCTTATGGCATCTACTGAACTCCCATACTTATTAACATACATACTTCATCAAAAAATTACTAAGGTTCGCTGAGTAGCAAAGGTGTAATAATTACTATACAACTAATATCAATCAGGACTCAATGCTTGAGCAGTATAACAACTGGTATAATTTATTACAACTAGCCAACAGCAGCTCTTACTGCCTCAACTCGAGCCCTGTGCACTAATTCCACTGTGTAAAAGCACTTTAATTCTGATTAATTTATAGGCCCAGCATCATCCAGTCAGAACCAGAGAGTGTTAGTGAGATCAGCTACATGGAGACCTCCACTATGTCTGGATATCGTGAGAGCTTCGGTGGCTTTGATATGAGCCTTCAGGAGCTTGAACGCCTTGAGATGCAGGCGAGTAGTAGGATATTAGGCACTTAACCACTTGTAATTTTTAAATGAATATGGGATTTTATTTTAATTTTGATATTCAAACTTATAGGATTTTATTTATATCATAATTTTAACTTATGAGTTTCATTTTTGGCCAATGTGTTGGTATGTTGGCCTTCATAGCATGACAATGGGCTCTCACTTGATGTAGCTCTGCCCCTTTAAAAGTAGTTGTTTCTTGAATACATACCAGTAGATGTCTGACTTAAATTTTTAAAGGGTACACAGATGGAGTTAAGATCGGCGGTTCATTTCCAGTAATTTGTAAAAAAACCATGTCTCTTTTTCTTACCTGTGTGTGGGAACTCTAGAATCCTCAGGGTGTAATTGTTGTCAAGCGTCCTTTGGTGTTGAAAGTCCTTCATGTTTCAGGTGCGTACCGGGAGATATAAGGAGCCGTTGACAGGCCATGCTGGAGCCTCACCAAGAAAAACTTCAGTGGCTGAGACTAGATTCCATGACCCTGGGGCCATTAGTGACAAGACAGTGAGTGAAACTTCTTTAAATCCATTCAACGGTGTGTTTGTACAGTGAGAGAATGAAATATATTAACACCTGACTACCCAATACAGTGAATGGTGTCACTGGTGATCCCTTTCCAAGGTTCCACAGACCTGCTGACTATTTATGGGTTCCACACATGTATGTGTTGAATAGCTCAAGCATTCTGCAATGTATCTGCCAAAACCCCAGGAAGATACTTCATTCTCTTACTGTATATTTTACTGTACAGGCAATCTGTCAAATTAAGAAATTTGTAAACTATCTAGGAAAATGTTTAGTTTCATTAAATATGGCAAATACTGTATATGTTGTGGTATGGTTATGTTATTTTACTTTATGTAATGTGAGTGATTATTCAACCATAGTTTGTAAAAATTGAATTAATATTTACACCAAACCTAATACAATATATCCTAACCTGATTATGGGGCAGCTCAGTATTTATCCGATTAAAAAAATTGCATTATGTCACATTCATATAAATTCATTGATACAAATGATATTCACATATTTCATAATTTGCCAAGGCATTATGCAAATTAGCTAATTTGACAGATTGTGTACTGTAATACATACATCCTGTCCTTGGTTTCTGTTCTATAACTAGAAAACTCTACATGAATCTCACCTCCATTTTTCTTACAGGTTAATGTTAAAAAAAAAAAAAATTAAATAATATTGAGTTTAGTTATTGATCAGTTTTCACTTGAGTTAAGACCCCTTTATTGACTTGTGACAGCCTGCTGTACAATTATGTATTTGCTAACCATTTTGTAACCACAAAAACTTGTTTGCAAATTGACTTTAGTTTAAGTTCAATATTTGTAGTTACTGTACTCTATCACCAAATATTTAGCTTGTCTGTTTTCAAAGAATACCTACAGCTGTTGTCGCCACTGTGGTGTTAACAACATTGTTATTGTTCCTGCAGATTCCACTTTTGTGTAACTCTAAAATTTGCTTGACCATTTTTGATTCAGGATACAAAAAATACTAAAGGTTTGTTCAAGTGCCACATGTCACCATAAACTAGCAGGTCACTTAACAGTTGAGCGAGCCAGAAACCCCTTCATTACTTGCATCACGGCTCTCTATATCAAAATTTTAATCTGTATAATAAAGAATTTTACCATGCCTTCAAATTCTGTTGATATACAACTTTACAGGCTGAGGTAATTATTGCTGCCAGTCCAAAGATGGACACCACATGTGTTCCACCACCAGCTCCATGGGGGTCTGCACCTCCCACTGAGAAGACCATGCATCAGGTCCAAGAGTCTCATCAGCCCAGTATTGTAGCCCATCCTCCACAGTCTTCACGTCAGACAACTTACGTTCAACATTCTCAACTGCCACATGCTTCTAATGTTCCCCATTCTCAGCAGTCTCCCATTATTGTGCAACCACCATACTCTGGCCATGCAGTACACACACCTCACTCTGTCTCTGTCTCACAATCTTCACATTTAAGCCATGCTGGACAAACACATCACTGTGTTCATACATCACATGCACCTCATGGGTCCCATGCTCCTCACTCAACCCATGTACCACATACACCTCATTCTGTCCATTTCTCAGATCTTTCTTATTCTCGTACTGGGTCATCCCATCCCTCACACCTTCACAGTGTTTCTACACCATTGCATGGTCAAGTCCTACACACTGCTGTATCAGTTCCACAGTCCTCTCCCTCTATTCATCATGGGGCACGTACTACCCAGGCTACACACCCAAGTCTTCTTAGTCATTTTAAACACTCTGGTCATCCAGGTCGTCCAGTACATCATTCACATGCTACTCATTCTCCTCGGGAAGTAAGCCAAATATATTGCCACTCAGGGCATGTAATGTCAACACAACCATGTCCAAGTCATACATTGCCTTCTACTTCCCCAACACGAGCTACACACACTATGCACGCAACACAATTGATCCATCATGTTCATCATGACCCTCCTATTCAGCCAACCCATGCTGTTCACTCTGTTCCCTCACTCCAGACTAGTCCATCACGTTACCAAGGTCAATCAGAACATCATGTTATGCACACTTCTCACCCCATTTACTCTGTTGAAGGTACCCAGCATCTTCCTCGCGGCCAAACCACTCAAGGTACCCACCACGAACGTGCGAGTCACTCACATTATTCTGGACACCCCTCCCATGCAACCCAAGCTTCACAATGTGCTTCACCTGCTCAAGCTGCACAATCTGCCCGTATGGTTCAACACTCCCAGCCCACTGTCTGGAGGCACTCTTGGACTGAAGGAGAAGCCAAGGAGCAACGTGTGTGGATGAAACACGAGAGCGGTGAAGTGCCAGGAGTTGAACGTGAGGACAGGGGAGCACCGGGACAGTGTAGCCATGAAGGGGTGAGTGCTGGTATACTAAGACATGTTTGGGAAGCACAGTCAGAAGGTCGGTCAGAAGACAATCTGACAACAGGAGAACTAACTTCATTACTGAAACGTTTTGAACGTCGTACTCCTTCAGAACAATCCTTACTTGTTGCAGAGAGAGACGAAGATACTCTAATTTAAATAACAACTAACTTGTGTGTGTGTAGTGGAAATACACTTTCGATATTCAAATCATTTTACGAAGTATTACAGTAATTTAAACAAAAGTTAGTGTGTTTAAAATTGTGGAAATATAATTTAAGTATTGAGATTATTCAATGTATAGAAGTAATTACCAACATTTAAATTTGATGAAGTTGCTTTTAGTTCACGTGCTAATAAGGTATTATATTTCACAGAGCACGTATATAGGCCTATACAAACTATAAAGGCATATATGCCCATATAGTATACCCATAATATGTGTATACACCCATATAGCACGTACTGTATATGCCCATACATTGTATATATGTGCTATATGGACATGTGCACACTATATATACTGTGGGTCCCTAAATTATGAACACTAGCCAATACATTTTCTGTGGTTTGGCCAAAAATTTGATTTTGCTGAAAATCGCAGTATAGGTACAGTACTCCTGAGCAGGCTGATTCCGAATCTATGGTACACAATTCGATTGCTGGGCAATTAGTGGCCGTAATGATGCTTTGAATATTTTTCAATGCTAATTACTCACTAACTATGGGTTACCATGGTGTATTATAGGTGTTTTTGTGTTATTCTGGAAGTACTTAATTAGATAAAGCCGTTAAATTCCAATTCTGAGAGAAAAGTATTTTTCAGATTTCAGTTAAAATATTTACTTTGATACATTTCCAACTTAAGTCATAAGTATGTCCTTAGGAACGAAAGTCGTTCATATCCTGGGGACCCCTGTACAGTACAGTAAACGTATATATATATATATCAAGATTTATCTTATCCACGTTTTCAGTAATAACTTGCTTGTAACCAACGAGTTTTTCCTCTGTGGACGAACTTGTAATTATAATTTGTATTTGTATTAGTTGTACGTTAAAAAGTATATTTTCTGAGGCAGTGTCACTGCTAAGGGCTGTATGAGGCCACTAGGGGCTGTATGGCTGACAGGAGGTTGTATAAACTTAAGAACTGCAATGCTATTAGGGGCTGATTGGTGCTCCTAAGGCCTGTGTGATGCTCTTATGAGGCTCTGTAATGCTGCCAGGGGCTGGATGAGGCTACAAGGTCAATGGGGCCCAAGGGTTCTGAAGGGATAGAGGCGGTGTTCGCTGTGTATGTAACAGGCGCCTGAAGCCAGGCCGCCATCTTGGTCAGGGCAACAAGGCCACAGTTGCCGCAGCTACTTACGAACAAACATTGGTTATAGATAACTGCAGGATTTATACTATTGTTTTATTTATTATGCACATTATAGAGGGATCAGCCATGGAGGATGAAGTCGCAGAGAAAGGCGGGTGCCACCTCCATCCATTCAACCTCCTTGATGGGGCCTGTTTAAGACCACCATGGAGTCTGCCAGAGGCTCTCTCTGTCTGCTAGTTGTGTAGAGCTAGTAGGGGCTTAATGAGGTTACCAGGTGCTGTGTAAGGTCACCGGGAGCTAGGTGAGGCCTCCAGAGGTAGTCTGTCACTGCTAAGGCCAATGTCAGGCTTGTCTGGTTTGCTTACCTCTAGTAGTGCTCAGACATTCGACCAGGTTGGTAGTTTTGCATTGGTCCCAGGTTAGGTCGCTCATATGTCACCTGTGTACAGACCCTGGTCACAAAAGAGGGATCTTGCCTAGCTGTAACAGACAGCCTATGGTGGCGGTAATAATTTCTAACAATTTGTACAAAGTAAATTGAGATACTGTTTTTACTGTATTTTATTAAAAGCTAACAAGGAAACTGCTTTAGCAAACAAAGAAAAACAAAGATAAAACCGACTTATAAAGCTAAAATACGAAAAAAATGGCTAGCAAAAAATCTAATAAAGCTAAGAACAAAAAAAGTTAAGCTAAAAATGCAAAAAGTTTAGAAATAAAGAATAAAGCCAAAAAAAACGAAAAAGGCTAAAAACGAGAACTGAAATAAGCTTAATGGAAAAAGCTAAAAGCTAAAAAATGAAATAAGCTAAAATGCAGTCAAAAAAGCTATAATTAAAATATTTTTTTGCCTTTTCTTCGCATTTCAGACTTTAATTTTTTAGCTTTTTAGCTTTTTTCGTTTTTAGCTTTTTTCCGTTTTTAGCATTTTTCGTTATTAGCCAAGTTTTGTTTTTAGTTTAAAAAAAAAAAATTTGGCTAATGAAAAACCCTAAAAAAACGGAAAAAACTAAAAACGGAAAAAACTAAAAACGAAAAAAAGCTAAAAAGCTAACAAATTAAATAGGCTAAAATGCAAAAAGTCCATAAACATTAAAATATTTTTTTGCCTTTTCTTTGCATTTCAGCTTATTTAATTTTTTAGCTTTTTAGCTTTTTTTTAGCTTTTAGCTTTTTCGTTTTTAGCTTTTTCCGTTTTTAGCTTTTTTCGTTTTTAGCTTTTTCTCACTTTTTTCATTCTTAGCCAAAAAAATTCCGATTTTTTAAACTAAAAATCAAGAAATTTTTTGGCTAACGAAAAAAACGAGAAAAAGCTAAAAACGAAAAAAGCTAAAAACGGAAAAAGCTAAAAGCTAAAAAAAGCTAAAAAGCTAAAAAATGAAATAAGCTAAAATGCAAAGAAAAGGCAAAAAAAATATTTTAATGTTTATAGCATTCTTTTCCTTTTTTGAATTTTAGCTTATTTCATTTTTTAGCTTTTAGCTTTTTCCGTTAAGCTTATTTCAGTTCTCGTTTTTAGCCTTTTTCTTTTTTTTTTGCTTTATTCTTTATTTCTAAACTTTTTGCATTTTTTAGCTTAACATTTTTCATTCTTAGCTTTATTAGATTTTTTGCTAGCCATTTTTTTTCATATTTTAGCTTTATAAGTCGGTTTTATCTTTGTTTTTCTTTGTTTGCTAAAGCAGTTTCCTTGTTAGCTTTTAATAAAATACAGTAAAAACAGTATCTCAATTTACTTTGTACAAATTGTTAGAAATTATTACCGCCACCATAGGCTGTCTGTTACAGCTAGGCAAGATCCCTCTTTTGTGACCAGGGTCTGTACACAGGTGACATATGAGCGACCTAACCTGGGACCAATGCAAAACTACCAACCTGGTCGAATGTCTGAGCACTACTAGAGGTAAGCAAACCAGACAAGCCTGACATTGGCCTTAGCAGTGACAGACTACGTCTGGAGGCCTCACCTAGCTCCCGGTGACCTTACACAGCACCTGGTAACCTCATTAAGCCCCTACTAGCTCTACACAACTAGCAGACAGAGAGAGCCTCTGGCAGACTCCATGGTGGTCTTAAACAGGCCCCATCAAGGAGGTTGAATGGATGGAGGTGGCACCCGCCTTTCTCTGCGACTTCATCCTCCATGGCTGATCCCTCTATAATGTGCATAATAAATAAAACAATAGTATAAATCCTGCAGTTATCTATAACCAATGTTTGTTCGTAAGTAGCTGCGGCAACTGTGGCCTTGTTGCCCTGACCAAGATGGCGGCCTGGCTTCAGGCGCCTGTTACATACACAGCGAACACCGCCTCTATCCCTTCAGAACCCTTGGGCCCCATTGACGTAGTAGCCTGATCCAGCCCCTGGCAGCATTACAGAGCCTCATAAGAGCATCACACAGGCCTTAGGAGCACCAATCAGCCCTTAATAGCATTGCAGTTCTTAAGTTTATACAACCTCCTGTCAGCCATACAGCCCCTAGTGGCCTCACACAGCCCTTAGCAGTGACACTGCCTCAGAAAATATACTTTTTAACGTACAACTAATAAAAATAAAAATTATAATTACAAGTTCGTCCACAGAGGAAAAACTCGTTGGTTACAAGCAAGTTATTACTGAAAATTACGCAATTCTTAAACGAGAATCTCACATTCCAGTGCCGGGAAGAATTAAATATTTTGTTATGTAAATGGAGATGAAACTATTGTACAAAAAACCTTAAGTTCAACAATGTTATGACATCGTTGATATATATATATATATATATATATATATATATACCTAACACCTGACCATTGTGGACCTGGTCTCACCCTCCTCTGTATATATACACCTTGATTTGTATTTCTCTCTCTAGTCTGTACTCACCCCTGAAGAGGTGAATTACACGAAAGTGCTTGGGAACTTCGTGTTTTCTTCTTTCCTTGTGGTTATCAGCATATACCTAGATCACGCGCACCTACAGTGATTTACTTATATATATATATATATATATATATATATATATATATATATATATATATATATATATATATATATATATATATATATATATATATGTTGGTTATTCCATCAGTGGAAATGAGTTTGTAACTAGTGTTAAAAACATTTAAGTAGGAGCATTATGGTATAGAGTTTAACACACTACATGAACAACTGACAAGTCTCCACTGTTATGTTGTAATTTATCCAGAGCCAGGCCGAAATAGCCGAAATGCGAAGTGGCCAGTGTTCTCCAAACATGCCAAACCAAGCCTGGCTACAGTAGCATCTTCCTTCTGTGTGTGCGGTCATATATTGCTTAGTTATTACACTGTACATTAGTAATAGTTTAAAACTGTATTGTTAATTAAAATAAAACAATAAAATATGTTTCATATTTTTTTTTCCCTTTGTGCTACACAAGATTATCCAGAGATAAGATAACCGAGATTTATCAAAGACGCCAAACAGAGCAGTCATGAAGATGATTGGAGCTGAATAAGAAATTTTTACTTGGCAAAAGGATTTATTATAATTAGTGAGTGAGATGTGTTTATCACTGACAAGTGGTAACTAAGGACAGACAGACACTTTGGTGCAAGCCATGAGAGAGAAGGAAAGGAATCCTGTTCCAACAACTGCTGTACTGATATCAATACATTAAGTATAATTTACAAGTATGTACACGAGATGCTAAAATCAGTATTGTAGTCTTGAATTATTCAAGAATCCGCTTCTGTTCATAAATAATATAAAAATAGAATGCAAATCATCATTTGATTCCCGAGTCTTATATAAAGACCTTTTCCTTAAGCGAGTGTTCAGAATATGAAGTAAATAGCTAGATAGCCATATTAATATTGACATTCTCAAATGAAAATTGTGCATCAATCATCATTTTACTGACTATAAATGAAAGATCATACTGCACTAGTTTGCAAATGACATAATTCAAAGTTCAACTAATAATCACTACATTAAGCTAAGAAATAACCGGTGATTCATATCCTTTGACTTAAAGCTGATGGTCTTAAAGTCCACAGAGCATAGTCCTGGGGTCTTCCACAGATTGCTTGATCTTACGCAGGAATGTAACTGCCTCCCTGCCGTCGATGAGTCGGTGATCATATGTTAATGCTATATACATCATAGGCTTGATGACCACCTGTGAAAAAAAAATTATTATATATACACTTTATTTGAAACTAAACAAAAAGCTAACAACCTTTCAATAACATCAAAGTTTTTCATATACAGTAATAAAGAGAGCTATTCATCATTTACAGCCATTTTAAAACTTCTTTAAAAATAACAACCACAGTTTCCAGGACCCCTGACATGTAATTGGGACTAAATATCAGAACAACTCAATTAGTTTAACCTCTTAAATTCCAATTCTGAGAAAAAAGTAAATTTTGGTAAAAAAATTACTAAGATGTAAGGCTTACATTTTAGGTGGTTTAGGCCAAAATTTAGATTTTGCTGAAAATCACAGTATAGGTATTCCTGAGGATGCTGATTCTGAATCTGATCCACGATTCAATTGCGGTGTAATTAGTGGTCGTAATGACGCTTTGAAAATTTTAATTACAAAGGGTCCCAGAGTTATGAACATCTGACTTAAAAACACAGGATGATATGAATGAGGTTCCATTAGGTCAATTATTTTAAGACTCCGACATGGGTAGAAGCGGTCCACAGTATTAACGTACGAAAACTAGTTTGCACAGCGGGTGGGGAATAATGCGTCACCCAGCCACGCGCCTTGAGGGAGTGTCAGTACGCCTTACTCTCACCTCAAGTAACGTGTGAAGTGCAAACTGTTGATTCTTGCTTATTAAGTTTATTTTCCTGCTCTCATCATGGCTCTCAAATGCAAACCTAATGTACCATCCTTCTATACTTACTGCATAGAACTGAATTCCTGCCAATACCCATCTTACAGAAAGCACATGGCCATTCTCCATCACAGGTCCTTCCCCCCACACCACCTGACATAATATAGCGACTGTACACTACCCACTTTGATGACTTATAAATACATTAAGTACAGTAAACCTAAAAATCATGATAAATCAGAAATCTATACATAAAAACATTAATACCCACCTGTCCATTCTTTGCTACTGGCCTGTCAAATATACCATGCATGCCCAAAATAGCGGATTGCGGTGGATTGATGATGGGAGTGCCAAACAGCGAGCCAAACACTCCTCCGTTGCTGATGGTGAAAGTTCCACCATCCATGTCTTCAACTGCCAGGGAACCAGTGCGGGCTTTTTCACCCAGTTCCATGATGCCCTTCTCAACGTCCAGATAGTTCATGTTCTCTACATTACGCAGAACGGGTACAACCAGGCCCTGGGGGAGTATGTAGTTGCATTACTAAACAGTATAGCTTACCCTGTAAACTCCATTGACTCAACGTTAATTCTAACAATCGTCAAACAAAACCTAAAGTTGAGCTACAAGACTTGTTACTTTACCCAGACTCCTTTTCCCTTACTGTTTTTGTCCCCCAGAATAATGGAAATTATGAGAAAATATAAAATTCCAAACTGAGTGTATCTATCATCAACCAAACAATAAAAACTTGTGACATAATAGCTTTGAACAGTGTTACAATAATAAAGTACAGGTAATGAAAGTAAATGTAATTTGCAGTTTACCTTAGGTGTGGCCACAGCAACAGATATATCCACATAATCCCGGTATACAATCTCACTGCCATCAATGACGGCATTAACTGTGGGTTGATGGGTGAGAGCATAAGCAGAGGCCTTCACAAAAGCGGACATGAAGCCCAACTTGATCCCGTTTTTCTTCAAGAACTGGTCACCAATACTCTTCCGCAACTCCATGATATTGCTGATAAAAATAAATAAAAAAACAATGTTTTTGTCTTCAATACACCAGGCTAAAGACACACACACAATGGTCATCATATAAATTCAGTAATCACAAGCATAATGTTTTAAAAATACAGGAGAACATTGTTAAATAAAGCTCAAAGACCAATTCAAATACCAGACACTGACTAAGGAACCCAGAAGATGAAGGTTTATTACATACAGTATTGTTATAACTTCTAAATTATTAAGAAGCACCTGAGGATACTATTATACTTTTACACCTGACGGAATGAAGTTTTACAATACCATGAACAAAGAGAAGAGTGAGCCTTACTTTAAAGCTTACCAAACAAAACTGTGGTACACCTATCACTTAAAACTGTACTACTCCATTTGTGTATAAGTAAAACATTCAAATTCTCTGCAAATCCTCAATATTCTGAATAGGAATAATTTATCTTGTTCATAATAGGTATATGTTCCGGGGGGGGGGTATTACTGTTCATTTGTTTTGTTCTTCGCTTCAAACAGTAAATGGTGATATACAGTATGTTCAAAACTCCCCACTCCTCTAAATATTTTTTACCCAGACACTCATAAATGTCAAATAATGCTCCAAAATTTAAACACTTAACAAAAATTATATATTTTTAGGTAAAGTATTGCATTATATATCCAACTCACCTCATGTCAAGTTCATTGAAGGTGGTCAACATGGCATTGGTGTCCTGTGCTTCCTTCAGTCTTTGAGCGATACGTTGTCGCATTCTTGATATTTTCACACGCTGTTCTGTTCGAGTTCCACTGATTTCTTTGCTATAGTCTGCTGGTGGTACCTGAAAGATGTTGACATCTATCATTATACTGTATAATAGTTGCTAAATTGATTTAAAACTATTATGTACAGTATCATCATCACACAGCCTTACATTTGCTTTCCAAATTCTGTACAGTACTGTACTGTACTGTATTTATCCAACATTTGCTGTTACAAACTGAATCATAATGATTTACTGGTGTGATGCCAGTACTGTATACTGTATAAGCATTAAAGGAATCAAATACTGTACAGTACACTGATGCTGCACATGCAAAAAATAAAAAGGTATGACACATAATCTGAGGAAAGCAACAGAAATAATGTAACAAAACAATGAGAGAATTTGTGACCCACTAACTTTAACTTCAGCTTGTTGGATGAATGATGAGTGCTTGATTGCTGCCACAGGGATAGAGGTCATTGGTGCAACAGGTGGTGGAGCAGCTGGTGGGGCAACCTTTGGTATTGGCACAGTAGCAGCTGCAGGAGGTGGACTAGCTGCAGGTGCTGCTGAAGTTGGAGCTGTGGCTGCTGCTGCAACTGGGGCCTCAGCAGCAGGAGCTTCCTCCTTTTTGTCAGCAACAGCTCCAGCCTCTATCTTACAAATTTGTTGGCCAGGGGTGACTGTTGCTCCATCTTCAACCATAAGTTCTTTGATGACACCTGCACAAGGAGCATTTACCGGCATGGAGGTCTGTAAAGCCAGAGATAAACTAATGTATAATCTCTCTCACATATTACCTAACTCTAACATCACCTCCAGATGACAAGTGTGGGATCCTCATGTGTAAAAGCAATTAGCTAGAGTAATTTGATTCACCATGTACAGGATTGTTACTGTAATACATTACTGTACCGTACATATAGGCAACAATTTATTGAACAACAAACCTTTAATTTCTTTATTATTTCCCACGGTAAACTTGAGATAGAGCGGTAGTCCTAAAATTCTACTAATGGCTGTTGCCATTTTACCAGTCCATTACTTTTTATTCTCAAATCCTGCTAAGACTTCGATGATTGACCAACTCCTTACCATAAACTGTGTGGACTACAAGTAACACCAAATTTGAACAAGCTCTACTGTATAAAGCAGTATAGAACAGTACAGTAAAGACAGTACAGTATAGAACAGTACAGTATAGAACAGTACTGAAAAGAACTACAGTATAGAACAGTACAGTACACACCTTATCAGTTTCAATTTCAGCCACAGCTTCATCCTCCTTAACACTGTCACCAACTTCTTTGATCCACCTGATGTCTCCCTCTGTAATGGACTCTGCAAAAGGTGGCACTTGTACTGCCTTCAGCTCAGCAACTAGCAGGGAAAATGAGACCTTTTAATCAATAAGATAAATTCAAATAATAACAGATATCAAGTAAAATTTTCTCATACAAGTAAGTAATATCAAGAGTTTAAAGTTAATAAGAAAATAAGGATACTCACACAATGCAGTTGATGTATGTAAATGCCGAACCTCTTTCATCTGTTGTTCATATTGATGATTTAATCTGTTGACATACAAAGTTTTATTGAGTCAGAATGAAAATTGGGAACCTTACTAAAATTCAATGATTTATATATAAATATTTCACAACATTCAAAATAGATTAACAAGGAAGAAGAGGATTTATAGACAAAAATACATCCATGACTTTTATTCAGTAAATGCTGGACTGATCCTCTAAACCATTTTTCTAACACAACCCAAACTCCCAAAGTCAAATGGTATCTCATAATAGTGCTAATTATGGTATTCAGATTCATCAGACAAACCTCTAATTATTCACCCAGGGTTGATATTCTTGCCCAAATTGGTATATGACTCTAAGGACTGGTGTTTGGAACAATTATAAGTCATATACTGTATTGTACACTATGAGATGGTAAATTAGACGAACACAACAACAAAATGCTATACTATACTCACAAAACAGTGGAGGAGGAGGAGGTGACCTGGGGGAGTTGCCAAGGCTTGGACACACCTGTAAAGTCGTAGTGGACCATCAAAGATTGACCCACATCACCCATTTTGGCAGCCCCCCAGAAGAGAGAAATAAATCCAAAAAAATTTTTAGTTAATTTTTCAACTTATCCATAAGAACAGAATAGTTTCTAGAGTTTGTATCATAAAAAATATCTGGACATGTCAGTAGTAGACCAGTTCACCCCAGTACAGTAATGCTGGTGAAAGAGCAGATGAGATGGAGGGTAGAGATGAGGGGCATAATATATTTGTATTATCTTTCTGAAACTAACTGAACTGGTACAATATATAAACAAAAAAATTCTTTATACAGTAAGTCTGCGCTTAACATCGTCCTGCTTAACGTTGTTTCGGTACTATGTCGCTAAACTTTAGAGACTAAACATTCATTTAACGCCCCGGTGATCCGATACTACGTAGTTTTGCGCTGTCACAGACAACATTTTATGGCGCATCACCCGCTCTCGTCTGGCCGCACTATGCTCTCTCAGCTTGACGCAGTGTCTCAGTAACTCGCCACCCTCCTCCTCCTCCCCTCCCGCCATCCGCCTCCTCCACCTCACTACCCACCATACACTTGCTCTACCACTTCCGCCCATCGGTGAGTACCAATACAAACTGTAGTTGTATATGTATGCATTATTTTCTTTAGACAAGACAATGACTTTCTGTATATGTAATGTATTTCATGGGGCAAAATGAGACTCAGGAACGTAACTCCCGTAGTTTATCTATTCCTTATGGGGAAAATTGACCAGCTTAACGTTGTTTCGCATAATGTCGCGTTTTTAGGAACGTAACCCCGACGTTAAGCGAGGACTTACTGTACAGAGGTTTCACTGTACATGTACTGTATCTATAGTGTACATATGAAACCAAAACTGTACATATGTTACTTACATCTGGTTGCTGACCGCAGGACCTGAAAAAAAAGAGAGGCTTTGTTAATTTCAAACACTTCACTAAATGAAGAAGGATTGATCGCCTGGAATCCTATTTTTAAGTGGAGTTCAAACCCAGGTAATAGTAACATTGTTTGCATTGCTTGGGGTGTATAAGTGTTTGCCTTGCTTGGATTGTGTGTTTGTCTTGTTTGGGGTGTGTATTTACCTTTGGAGTGTGTGCTTGCCTTGCTTGGGGTGTATAAGTCTGTATTTCATTCTCTCAGCCTTATAATACAGTGAGACTAATTAGTAAAGGATATATCTACAGTATTTTAGATAACTCAACATCCAAGTCCTCCCATCTTACTCCTATATTCATTTAACAAAATGTGGTATGAAGACAAATGAATTTTATGTTTTGTGCCTCTGTTTAGACAGTTCTTGAACACCTAAACCATCTACAGTATTTTCACCAGTGTAATATTGATGTCTTTTAATTCTAGAAACAATAAATCCATCGAAAAATAAAAATAAAAAATTGCAACTCCTGTGTTTGATATGCAGGCATCTCTAGATAAAAAAACAAGCTTTTCAATATCATGTTAGTAAAAAATAAAAGGTTTAAATACACCAAAACTATCAAATATTACCACAAAAAATTAAAAACCAAAACAGTATATAATTTTTAGTTCTGACAGCAATTTCTTTAAACATAACAGTGGAAAGTAAAATTTATTATATACCAAGGTGATGCCTGGCCACAGTTTGGCAATGGACCAATCAAGAGAGTTCAATCATAGCTTGTTTTCATTTGGTACAGTGTGTTGAGGCAAAGGCCAACTCAGTTTCATAAATATATCAAAACCCACAAGAACTAACCTAACCCAACCAACCTAACCTATTTAACCTAACCAGACCTAAACACCTAACCTGACCCAACCTACCCTAGCCTAAACTCGACATTCACTTAAACATTATTAAGCAATTTCTACGTAATTTCCCATCCCAGTACTAGAAGATCTCGCGTAACCCAACCAAAACATTCTGCCAACATTATGGATAACATAACAATCATCTTCCTTTATAAAATACAAGATAACTTAGTATTTTAAGCACATATAACAATAATTAATAACACATGAATACTGTAGTCTAGGTTTACCCAATAATTTCAATATCTCAACTAACACTATCATACTATTATACATGTGGTGAATTCTATATAAAGTCAATCATTCTCAATCATTGTCTATCATTCTCAAGCATTCTCTATCATCCTCTACCATTCTCAATCATTTTTTCTCATTCTCAATCATTCTCGAGCTTTATAATAGACCACGATTGATAGTGTTACCAGGAGCGAACTCGTAACAATGGTTTTAAATTAGACAAATTTAGATTAAGGCGTGAAATACCTAGGTAAACACTGGTTTGGAAACAGAGTAGTGGATGAATTGAACAAGTTACCAAATATCATCATTAACTCAAATACGCTGAATAGCTTCAAACATAGGTTGGATGCTCATATGAGCAATAGGGGTTGGGTGTAAAGGGGACTGCCCAGTATGGGTCAATAGACCCGCTGCAGTTTCCTCCATTCTTATGTTCTTATGGTAAAATGTATCGACCATGTGTGAACACCAAGAACCCTGAATAAACGACTATTTTAACATATGCCAAGCCATTGTCAGAGGTATTTAGTAGAGACAGATAGATATAGACATAATAATTAAGATCTTCACGATAAAAATAATGGATATTTCCACCGGTTATTACATCATAGTGAGATTGAGCAAAGTTGCTAAGTGAGGTGGACTCAATATTTGACCTTTAATACAAACTAATCATATTTCACAAGTCTTATGAAACCATATGGTGTGTAAGTAACATAATGGAGTGGTATATTGTGTGAGAGGTAAGGATTATATAGCAATAACTTGATTTTGGTTGGTCTATTTTGGTCAGATCAGCTGTTCCTTATGACGTCACGTGCATTCCGTCCACCAGTCAAATCAAGTCTTTTAATGAATATAATGAGTTTACAAGCTTATGAGCCAATTCTATGTGGCCATTGAGTACTGTTAATTATATTCTAACCTGTAGTTGAGCCTGGGTCGGCAATCTCGCCCAATATTTGCCAATATTTCTAAATCCTAACATGGCTGTCGTCTCCTCAGCCGGGACTCCCGTGAGGTAGCTGTTCTAGGCTACAACACCTCCATGACTTTCTTTAATAAACCTCTATGTTACCTTAAATATTAACAGTTCTATAATACACCTAATTATATTTATATTATTACCGGAATGCCATATTAAGAATGATTAATAATTAAGATAAGATTGAATATCGGAAAAAAATAATATAAAAGGTGTTAGCCTTAGGTGTGGCGCCTTATTTAAAATTAAGTTATAAGTTCAGAAATATTATCCTTGGAGATAAAACACAAATCTTAAGCAGATAAAAGTAGATTATTTGTATGATAAAGATAATAAGGAATGGTCCAACATGAGGCAGTAAAATGTTTTCATAGGTGCTGGCAGGTCACCTGCACTGCATATACCTCCATCATTGATCCACCTGTAATTGGATCACCTGAGACTGTTGCAGAATCCTTTTGCTTCTCTTTTCTCTACCGAGCGTCCTTTGGCATCATAAACATTATTAATAAAATGCTTCAATATACCTTAACAGTATCATATACATGGATATTTTATTTTCCTTTGATGTTTTCATTAATATTCTTATTTCTGATGAATTTATTTTGTAATTATGTAGTGTGGTTTGTATTTTTCTTTAGTATATCTCTGTGTTTATCAACAGCAAAAATCCGCCTCACCATCTCTTCCCCCTTTTTGCTTCATATGTGTCCTTTATATTCCTGTAGCAGAAGTAAACTAACATATAGGGTCACAAAGGTTGCTTTACCAGGTATGTCACTCACAGCTGTGTCCTGGGTTCTATCCCCAGCCTAGGACAGATGTGAGAAGGGTGTCATCCAGTGTGATCCTACCTAAGTATGGCAGGTTGTCTCCAGGTACAGTACTGTACTCTGGTTACCTCCTGTACTGTACTGTACTCTGGTTGCCTCCTGTACTGTACCAGAAGTGTACAATGAGTTGTAACAAAGAACAGACTGACCACCTGAATGGCCAGTGAGCTGATAGATGGCACCACAATATTTTTTCCTTGTGGTTACAATTACTGTATGTCTGAACACCCTCAAGACGTGAAGGGTCATCACTACTGTCACTTCATCAATGTGTGATTTGAGGATTTAGTAGGTTGGCCAAATACTTAGGCTCACCAAGCATAAGTGCCTCATATGTCATTAGGAAGAGCTTGAACTCTATCCTTACTTTATTGGAAGCCAATGTAATTTGGTCAAGAATGGGGCAGTGGGAGTCCTCGGTGGGAAAGCAAAAATAAGCCTGGCAACCCTTCAACACTGTCTCATCTTTCTTTACGAGATAATTACTGTAGGTAGACAGACCCATAGAGAGTTACAATAGTCAACCTGTGACACAATAAGTGAAGGTAATAATGTCACAAGGCACTTCAACGACTGTACACTTTCATATATCTTCACTACTGTACAGTACACATTATACTCCACATATTTTGAGAACATAAAATACAGTTAATATAGAATAATACTCTACTGTGCTGTAACGTACTGTACTCACTTTCTGGAACATAGACAGAGAGGAATTCATCAAGAGGAAGCCTAAGTATTGATGTCTCTTGGGTCCAGCATCAGCATCTTGAAGGTTGACCATGACCATTTCTCTGGGCGACTCACTACCTGCAGCTCACATAATAAACAAAGGGGGGGGGGGTCCAATCAATCCTATAAGCATACACTTATAGAGGAAAAATAAAATCCACATTATCTCGGTTTTGTATAAAAACAGGTATAATGTACACAAAATATACAATATACAGTTGATGTCTCTATCATACCAAGTACAAAGTTGACTTACCAGCCAAAATCTCATAAGAGGCCATGATGAACAGGATTGTATATACGCATCAGGCAGAATTAATGTAAGTGTTTGGTAGACTCAACAAATTTATGTAAGGTCTAAATATACTGCATTAATACAGATTGGTTGGTTGTTGACACACCTTGAGCAGTGATGAAGCATTAGTGAAACATGGTGGTCTGCAGTCTCACCTCTGATGTCATTCTTTGAAGGATATCTAAATTAGTAGTAATAATTCTGGTACTTAAGTTTCTTGAGCAAGGCTACAACATTGTCTGGGATAATATGATATGACATTGGTTAATCTAGTCCCTGGCATGTCAAGTCCACATCAATACCACATTACCCAGCGCCAAATTTGCCAAAATCTTAATTATCTGAGGCGTGACATTCAAGTTTTTCAATTTTCTTATTCTAATTGTATGAAATACTTTTATTCTCCTGCATAACACCAATTAATTATTATTAGTATAGCCAATGAACTAATATTTAAGGTAAGAAAGACACTTTACTATACAGCCAACTATGGGAGTTTCCATTACCAAGATGGCATATTTGTGGGAGGAACATTATGCCTTTCCTATAGCAATTAAAATATGTTGTCTGTACAGTACTTAATGAGACTCTGCCAATATGTTTCTTAACCCAATTTTGTTTATATCTCTTTCCCTGGATGATGGAGGAGAAAGCAGCAGAGAAAGTGGGTTGATACCTTCCTGATGAGAGAATGCACATATGGGCTTTCTTCATCTTAAAATTCTTTCTAATGCTTTGTTGGCATTATCTTTTTGGTAAGATACAAATACATGTACAGTAATAAAACAATACTGTACAGTATTCCTTATTCCTAATCATTAACAGCAGATCTGAACTACAGGACATTTTTTTACCTATCTGATAAACATAAAATAAAAACTATTACAATGCCCGCACTGTACAGCTAAACATTACACTCCATCTATGTGTGAGAGAAACTATAACCACATAAGGCTTTATCATAGTAAGCACTACAGTACAGTACATTACCACTTTTAGTACACGTTCCATGGCAGATCGTTTGTGGTTCATAAGAAACATGCTAAACATCACTAATTCAGAACTACTATTACTTAACTCTTTATCCTTCAGAATTTTTATGTGAATTTAGATGATGTCTAAATTATCAATACCACTGATACTATGTAAGAAATAATTTGTGATCAACAATAAACTGATAAACACTACAAAAATTTTACAGTAACTTGTATATAAATAAGTCAATACAGAATTGTTCCTGAAATTCCATCCTATAGTCAAGCTCACAGTCATGTGGTTTGTGTAAGAGAGAGACAGCCCAGCAGGTGGCAGACACAGGAGATCTTCAGCAATAGTGACTGAATAGTATCCTTGTATTACATCGACTCTCCGGACAATCCAAACATTATTTCTACCAACACATTATGACCATCGCCCTTATAGAGGAAGGACTAGAAGCAAAGTTTCTCATCAGAGGGAGGAGGCTGCTGACATGACCAAAAGCAAATATCTCTGACTTACTCTTGTTGTTAATTTATCTGAACATAAACACACTAATGAAAACATTAACTGCTTCTCAAAATCAAGATGGAAAACTTCATGATGAAAAACTTAATGTAGAGCAAATTTATAGATAGCAAATTCCATAAAACAAGCCGACGTCTTACTTTGACACAAGCAACATTAACAAAATCACTGTACGTATAAGGAAAGTGACCCGTACCCTATAAGATGCATTCCCAGGAGTAAGATGACCCTTATTCCTTCCCTTGTACAGTACATTAACACTACACAGAGGAAGCACCTCACTTATATGGGTTAGAACAACACAAACACCTTAAGGGGTTTACCTATGGTCAAGAACACAAGCTCATATTATCCTAACAGAAGGTACTATATGTGGGTCTCATGCTCACATTAAACCTTAACTGACAACTGAAGAAGAATCTTCCTGGTGTCGTGTTTCAGTTCACACCAGGTACAATCTGCACAGCACTAGCCCCCAATACCTAGTAAACTAACTACTGTTATAGGTGGATATAGGTTATGTCTGTTAAGTCTGATTACCCACTTGACGCAGACTAGCAAAAGGCAGCCCCACACACTGGCATTAAGTTTAAGAAGGGAGAGCAAATAAAAAACTGCAAAAAATCTTGGGAGAAAACAAATAAAATAATTTTCACTCTTACCTTCACTGCAACACTGGAAACAGTGTGGCCCAGCCTATTAAATTCCCATCTGCTGAACAATAAGGCATATAGCACCTAGTTCTAATAAGTGGAGACGACTGCTGGCTGACATAAGGACTGGGAGTGAAGACTTAGCTTAGATCCAAGATGGCTGACCTATAACAGCTGAAAAGTGAAATGTACATACACTCTCATCTGACATCCAGGCTCAACACTCTCCCACCTATAATGGGAACCTTTTGCTAGTTCTCTCTTTTAGGAGCAACAGTTGTGACAAGGATGTTGGTACAATATACAATAGTCTTTCAAGTGTTTCAAGGGATTGCCTAATGAGGAGTCACAACCCAGCCACTATTGCTGATGGTCACTGCAGTAAAGACCTGCTAGGTGTAGTATACATTCTACTTGCTCTGTGGTGAATGGCACTGAGCTATAAAAATCATCGTTCTCTGAAATATTACAATAGTAAGCTCTAGCCTTGGATAATACACAGTTGGAGAGATTAATAATTACAATGGCAGCATTTAGTACAGAAACACCACCAAGCAATGTTCACCAACTAAAACACAATAGTACAGTAACTATAATAAATTAAAACAAGAATCACTTAAGTCCAAAAATTGCACTTTGTGTATGTTATTACTGCATTGTACAGCCACAGGATTAAAATGCAACAGGGAATTCCAAAATAACACCGGGCCAATTGTTATTATGAAAACTATTAAGTACTGTACCGGTACTTTATGACATGACACAGTACTGTGAGTGAAACTATGCAAACAATAAAATGCTTCAACAAAGAATAAATAATTCTAAGTTCAGTTAAAAACAGAAGGATCTAATAGTTTCTCACTGAACACTTTGACCTGTACAGTATATTATGTCTTAAACACAGCAGTATAGTACAGTACAAGAATAAATATGAAAACAAAACATAAATGTTGGAGAGACCCAACTGGTGAAACCTGCCTCAATAATGCCCACTGTGCACTGAAAGCTCTTACAGTAGCTGTGTTGTACTGAGGTTATGATAATTGTGCAATACTGTAATTATCTGCTTCAAATTAAAACCATAAACTATACCTTATACAGAGTGTTTATATATAATCTTATACACATTATCACAGCACTTTGTGCCTCACTTGTGCCTCTGTATAAATTATCTCCATTTACTTCCAAATATAAGAATGGTGTACTGTATTTGTCACCATTCAAAACATTATTATATACAAAGCATTATATGAAACTACTGTAATTTGTGACAAATCATCTGACCTTTTTATGATACACATTAAAGATAACATAATAAATTACAGTAGTTTTATCAACATCTCTTACAAACGTTCTTTGTCTCCAACCAATATGTCCTCACTCTAACAAAACCAACATTACACCTACTACTAATATCCTTCATTACTTGTATTGTTAACATGAGCTTTGCAAATAAAAAACTGTAAACCTGTACCACATGTGACTACAATAGCTGATAACATCCTGTACAGTACAAACTTATTTGTCATGTGTATTATGAGCATTTAGAGGAGTCATTCTACTGTCCTTGTATTCTGTCTGGTGCCTATGGTTTAATGTAAGTCAAACACATCTTAATAAAAGTTGGACCTGCCTGTGGTTAAGTGAGAGTGGGGTTCCACAGACAGAGTGGTTACAGTACACTGGAAAACAGGTAACATCACCATGCATAGTCTTAGCTAACCTGGACACCTCATGAACAATGATACACCCCGGACAAACCTCACCACTTGCCTCACACAACAATAACATCACAATAAAATCATCTCCAACACACAACATTAATTATACTCTTGATTATCTGTGTTCTTGAGGCCTTATTACCTCTACAACATGAGACAAGTCTATGATACTGAACCATCCTTAGACATTTTGTTTAGTGAGATCCAAATTATAATTCAATATGGATTAAAAATGAAAGAAGAATATGAAGATTTAAGTCACTGAAGAGCTGTATAGATGAAAGAAAATAAAGATGGTAAGAGTGATGCAGATAACAGGTAAAGGAGTGGTTAAATAGATGAAGTACATAACAGGTGAAATGTTCCAGTAACACAAATGAACCAAACACCTCAACTTAGTCCAGGTATTGATATGAGACTGTAACTCAATATAGAGGACAGGGGTTCACTTTGTACACTGTCTGTAAGTTAATGATATGAGCAAGTGTGTGAGGGGAACACAATAGAGGTATGTATGTCTAGTTCTTGTCTCAACCATTTATAGCTGTTCTTTGTATATTTTGTATAACCCTTTTGTTACAAGTTTCTCTATTCCTTGATCTATCCAACACATATTTAGTTAACGTTCAAGAAGATTCATTGATATATAGATACCCATTTTCATCCTAAGTTTCAGGCAAGGACATAACCTCAAGCATTATGTTACTTACAAAGGCACTGCAATGCTCCTAAAGTTTACCTCCTGACGTGACTCACCATAACAAGCTCCTGTACTGACAACCACCACATCAACCTCTGTCTATATCACCAACAATATAAAATCTAATCGGTCATAAACTTCCCACGCTTAATTTAACAGATTTGTGTCTTTATAACAAAATTAACAATAACACACTTATCCCCATCTAGGGTTGGAACCTCCATCAGGCAGAGTACGATTCCCCATCACACTCAATCCACCGCTAGATGCTCCAAAAGACACACTTAGTAATATGTACAGACACCTGGACCTATATCTAGAGCATTTTGTGAGATGTGGCAACTCTGTGTTTGTTTACATCATGTTAAAACTCCCAGAATGGCCCTAAGGAACCTCACAATAGTAGCCAGATTATGTACTATGACCATTCCACAGAGTTGCCACATCTCACAAATGCTTCAGCCACTGTACTCTACCTGGTATAAGACTAGGCGACCGTACCTTCAAAAGCAGTTGGTGATAGACTGGGTGTAACTGAGATTAATACGCTCCTTGAATGGGTTAGTATGTGTTAATTTAATATACATGGGCAGTGTAGATGTGTTAAATTAATATATATGGGCAGTGTAGTATACTGTATATCCATTTGTGTTACAGAATATCCGTAAAATAAAAGGCTGTGGTACCACCCAAGTATTAATATTTCATATCTAAAATATACAGAATAATTATGATCTTCCTTTAATCTTTCTCTCTAAACAAACATTATCCTTTCCTGGTCAACAAATTATTAAAGAAATTAACAGAAAAACAATACCATTACTAGACTTTAAAAATACATAAGTTCAAAATGTTATAACTAAAAATTTTAAAATATTTCAAAAGTTTGGTTTATGTTGATAAATTTTGACCAGACAAAAAAGATTATAAATAAAAAAATAAAACCATAAATCAAATATAGAATATTAATAATATAAATAAGCAGTAATGCCTCACTAAGTCAAGCATAAGGTTCAAAATTCATCTAATAATATGAACTTCGTTGACTTGTGTGTCCTCTTACACACCCACGAGACTGGCACATGGATATACAGTTTGGTTTGGCGCACACACACACACACCTTATAATAATTAACTAATATGTAATAATTTCAATATCCAATAACACGAATAAACTTTATATTTCCATTTCCCATATTCCATAAAAGATAAAGTATTCTATATATTAATATTTCCACATAAAATTAACAGATAAACTTAAATGATACAAATTTCTAAACTTAATAATAGATTCTTAAAAAAAAAACTTCTCAATTCTTATATACATTACAAACATCATTCCAGCTCTAACAAGACAACTTAAGTGGTTCATTATCTAATCAATAGTTAAATGACCCTTTTAAAATGAGAGCATTGGTGGGATATTAAATATAGCTAAGAACACTACTGACCTCACATGGCAAAATGGTGCAGCTGACATTTTGGTGTTTTTTTTTGAGTTGTGAAAAAAAAATCCCATTGGTTCGTGTGTAAATTTAACGACTTAATCTCTCCCATATAATACAAAATTCTGGGAATGTGAAAACTATAAGAGAGAGGTTGAGGGGAGGGGTGCGAGAGGGCTGAGGGGGAGTGAGAGGGCTGAGGGGAGTGAGAGGGGGTTGGGGGGGTGGAGAGGGGTTGGGGGTGGAGGGGGGTTGGGGGGGTGAGAGGGCTGAGGGGGAGTGAGGGGGGGGATTTTTGCTTCCACACTCAAAGCATCAAAACCTCAAGTCATGCCACATTGTTCAAGTTAGGCACAGAATAACAGCTGCAGATTTAACATGGTACATACAGCTTATACAGACTAGCCCTGGTACAATGACTAAAACTAGCAGTAAGCATTATCACGGCCGCTACTAGTTTGGCTGGCCGCTAGGTAACTTAGGTATTAATAGTTATAATAGCTTCGTCAATCATAAGAGAGTAACCCTTAAAGATAAACATATAAAAAGAAAATTAAATAATGCATATCATTATATACCACAATATGCACGAAACAAGTCAATGCCTGAAGATTTCAAGTCAAGATATACATACATACATACATATATACATACATACATACATACACTTCCTATTATGCTTCAGAACAAGTTATTTTCACCTCGACAGTGTGACAAAATTCAATCAGGCTACAGCTTGAAATTCTGACTTCATATGAGACATTATTGCAGTCAAAATATCATTCACCCAATAATTAATACCTTGAGTGGCTATTCTTTCTCTTTTAAAAATCATGTAGAAATAAATAATAACTCTGTAATATCTACACATTTCCGGAGCCAACATGACACTTCATACGAATTAATCTCTATAATATCAATGTACATTATTTTGTAGAGCTAACATGACACTCCCACAAATTACAGCAAAGTAAGTTTTATGTACTGTAGTATTTCTTATGGTTCAATCTCTGTAATATCAATATACTGTACTGTATTCTGTAGAGCCAACACAACACTTCATGAATTTAGAGAAAAGTTTGACGTAATATTTCCTGTAGTTGAAAATACTACATAAATTTTAACATTGGGATCATCTAACAGAAAAAGTCTGGGAGGATGACAATATGGTTAATTAGTCTGGGTAGTACTGTGTCTGTCTGTCTGTCAATAAGTAGATACAGACATTCCTCAATTTCTGTAAGGGATCCATTCCAGACATTCCTTGATTCATGTGTAATATGTAAGGGTTTTATTCCAAGGATGCCTTCATTTACAAAAGGTGTTCCGTTCTAGGCATTCCTTGACGTACAAAAAGGGTTCCGCTCCAGAAAATCAGCCATTAATTGATACTGAGGAATGTCTGTAAAGTATTCTTATATAAACGTTAATTCTTACACTAGATTTCAGGAATTTCAGTATCAAAAGACAAATACATAAGACACACACAAGAATAAAATCCTCCAGTTGGCCAAGTATATCGAAAGTCTTAAGAGAATCAGGTTTAAGAGATCCCCTCTCTGTACCTCCTACCATTACCATCAGAACAAAATGTGAACCGAGTGTCACTTGATATTGCTTAAAGGGAATTCACCCATGACAATGAGCTATTTCCACAAGTAGGTTACATCTATTGAGGTATACACAACACATACATACATACATACAGTCATATTATTACACGCACACACACACGTACATACTTTGAAAAATGTGAAAAAAATAATTCAAAATCATTAAACAGTACTATCACATAATAAAGTTAACATGTGATTGATTATACAGTAAACCCTTGTTCTTATGTGCAGTGGTCATCCCTAGAGAGTCTGATGAAAACTGTGAATCCGTTAAATAATAGAAAAATAGGGTTAGTCGAGGGACCACGAAGACCATCCATTACAGCAATTTTACACCCCAGTTACTGTATTATAATATTACAATACAAAATTTACTGTACTACAAGAACCATCAGACGTTATATTGCCCCTATTACACATGTATATATTAAATCAGGTCAACAGTCACTCACGAACCATAAAACAAAATATCATGAGGGTTAAGGCCAAGACAAGTGCACTGTACAGGCATGTGGGGGGAAGTGAGGCGCTGAGCAAGTTCTGATTGAGTTGACGGGTGATGTGAGGCAAGGTAAGGTACTGCACACTCCACATAGGAAGGCTGGAGTGTAGTACTGTATAGTGAAGTGTGTAGTTGCCATGTAGTGAAGATGGAGAGAAAGGGAGGGGAATGTGTGAGAAAGATAATGGAGTGTGTGTGTGTGAATGTAAGGGGGAGGAAAAATGTGTGAGTGATAGTGTAGTGTGTGATTGTGAGAGGGAGTAGGAGGGAGTGAAGTGTGTGAAGGATAGACATGAGTGGCTTTTATGACACACCTCCACCACGGGCCAATCAGTGACCTGATCACCCCACACTACACATATACACTGTCTAGCAATTCACTGTACACGGACGCTTGCTCAGCTACCATGGCTGCCCTGCCAAGGACCCAAAAACCATGACCATTCAGAAACAAACACACAAGAAAATAAAATTCTCTAATCATTCAGTGTTTAAGTAAATCTTGTCTGTGGAGATTGCACATCAACGAGGGTTTACTGTAGGTAGACACACAGGAAAATGGATGGAAGGCCCCTGCCTAAAGTTTGAACTGTATATCAACCATCAAACCAAAGATGATAAACTTCTTTATATATGTGTTCTTAAGTTAAAAATACTTCTTTAACTGCCTACAACTTAACAAAATATGTCTTTCAAAATGAAAGCTTTCCTGTATATGTTATAGAAGAAAAACTTTTAGCTACCTGAAGCTGGTAATACAAAATGGGGTACAAAATCTCTGTACAGCATCTACAAGTTGTCCCGTCCAATGGTGCATGAGGCACCCTAGGTCGTGCTCATCATTATGTCAGTATAAAGTTGATGACTCTCCATTCTTATTTATAAACTTATCAAATTATACAATGTTAGTTCTGTGTAGCAAAGAACCAAAGATGACATTCTAAGCTGACAATATAAATAAAAGCTTTACATCAACAGGTTTGTACCAAAGTTTGTGTGCTAAAACAGAAAGAACTAAATTAATGCAAAGTAATGCAATTTTCCTCAAATAGTTTTGATTTTATGCTGGTTTACCACACAAGTATTTAACTAAACAGGAAACCATCTTGAACTGCATTCAAAACATTTCAAACACAACACCAGTATCAAGGTCAACACGTGAACTCTAAGATACAGCGCCACCATCAGTACTAAAACTCTTACATTTAATACTGACACAAACACTACTCTTGACTGGCTTCAATGTACTGTACTGGACCCACATAAGAGGTGGAGAAGAACTCTGTCCTGAGTACAAAGTTTAACATTCCTGAACGTTGTGTCCAAGGACTGATATGGTACACAGTAACAAAAATAAAATGGAGGGCACTGTGGTGGAGATGATTTGCAAATGTTTATAACAACTTGTAGAAATTTAAAATACATTCTAGATGTAAATTGCAGCTTCATCATACCATGTGATTGAGTTTTTCATTCTGGATCTGGTAGTAACATGCCTAAAAGTGGAAATAAAGATGCATATAAGAATATATTTATCACTCCTTAACTCCCTATACAAAATAAAAGCTTTTTTAATTAATATTCTTAGAGGTAATTCTAGGGAGCAGTCAGTGATAATTGTGATGTAAGTGGAAAATTTAAGACTAACTGACTGATTGATTGTGGTAATTACATCCCTGGCAACACAACAGCTTATGTCATATGCCGCTGAATTCACCAATAGGGATAAAAAGACTCACTCTCAGGGTAGTGAACATGATGCCCAGTTCTCCATGCTGCATGTGAGTATCCAACAAGTCATCCACTAATTGGATCTCTGCCCCCAGGTGCTGTATGCGGGATCTCACAACCACATACTGGAACACTGGGAAGAGGTCGTCCATACTCCATAAATAGTTGTTCCCCAGTTTGTTCATTACAGCCTGTGAATACACACGGTTACAGTACTCAAAATAATGTATAACACTCTCCTAGTAAGGCCTTTTATTAAGCAGGTGAGTGTCAAGTGTCATTACCTGTACTATATACTACCAAGTGATCCCTATACTTCTCACGAGACTTGATCACAAGGGCTAAGGAAGAGAGACAGTACACCTTCTCTCTAATATATCTCCTGTTGTGATAGACCAAGTTGTTTACCTTGCTCACTTGCTGGAAAGTACGGTGAATCAGTCCCAATTTATCCCGCGGACTGAAGGACGTCGACAGCATCTGAAGCGTCTCGATAGCTTCAGTGAAATGTTGGTCTTTTAGTGTACCCAATGTCCGACTACATTCCATGATGCTGGCTCCTTCAGGCAACCAAAACTTACTGTAACAAACCAGATTGATGCTAGGAAATTGTATTAATCTAAAATATAAGAGTAAATCCCAATTTATCAGGATCACAACTGCCCAGACAGAAACTCCTTGACACATAACTAAACATTACATTCACTTAATCTGTTCTACCATCTTATCTCCAGTCATTCCTCCATCTTCTACAACTCATATTATTTATTATCCATAATATTGACAAACTTTCAATAATTTATCTTTTGCATTCTATGAGTACTGTACTGTAGTGCTATATTATCTAATTATTTATTGATTCAATTCATAATACTGTACTGTATATCTAAAACAACAAAACTCTAAATCAAAATTCAAAACAAACTACTCCAAAACATTCATATTTATCAAGGATTGTTTTCCTACAGACATGAATAGAAACAGATCTGGCAACAGCACACATCTCTACTCACATTTCAATTAAAAAAAATATTATTCTAAGTTTCATTGTAAATGTTTTATCCAATGAGAAGTAATCCAATGTTTTCTTATAAGAGTAAACTATTTTTTTCACTGTACATATTACTCACACATCTACACCCAAGAAAGTCATAAGAGCGGTGTCTGGCTGCTTGTTCCACTTGAGCAGTCTCCTCCAGTACTCCTCATCCTTCTGCTGATGGTGCAACACATAGAGGGTGGACAGCGGGGAATAAACATGGGGTAGAAGCCAAGGGTGAATGACAAATGCCGGCGTCACCACTCTGAAACAATAAGGACAATTAATGATGCAGGGTCATATTCTTATCAGAGGACCTTAAATGATTATATTTTAGGACGTGCAGTAAATAGAAACCTAAAAATCAGTAGGAATAAAATCTGATTATTTCTAAGACAAAGGATCTAACATACTGTACATACAACAACATACCATTACAAGACCCACTATGAAACTCTTACCACCAGCTGACTCAAACTAATGGAAGCTAGAATGATAAATCCTCCAAAAGTCTGATAACTCACATTTCTTCTTGCTCTTCCATGTCTGGCTCCAGTAAGATGTTCTCCTCTTCCCTCGGCAGATCAGGAAATAACACCCGGGCCAACTGGTACAGCCTCGAGGTGAAGGAATGTACCTGGTGACCAATACTTGATTACTTACTACACACCACAACACCTCAGCATACAACTATACTCATTAACTCTCTATAATATTATAAAGTACTGTATACAAATGAAATAGTATACATATATCTATAGCATTATTACCAAAAGCAAGATAACTATAACCTAAACTTATTACAGCAATTAATTCAGCCATTAGTGATAAATAATAGAATGACATTACCGTGGTTATAAAAAACTTAATTGTAACATTTTGAACCAAGATTTCCCTGAAATGTAATTATATAAAGTCTTAGAAAAATCCCTGTGTACCTGAAGTAATTAATAATAAAGCTGTTCCTTGTTATACCTACACTGTTATATACCTTTATATACATACAGTAAATATTGGGAATGGTGTCCACTTCCAACATTTACTGGGACCATTTACAATATTTACTCCAAGCAGAAAAAGTAAATTGCTGTATTTTTATTTCTTACATATACACAGAGACTTTTTGAACACCATGTACATTCAAAAACAAACAGTTCTTTTAAATATAAGTAACTGACCTCCTGTACAGCGTAAGGTAAGAGCCGCGGGTGAGCCACAACACCCCCGTAGGTGGCTCTGAAGGCATCCACCAGAGACTGAAGCAAGTGCCCTAATGGATGTAGTCTGCTTCCAAATGCCTGCAGGGATAAAATTACCTATGAGATATCAAGTGTTGAGTAGGTGGTACAAGTAGATGAGACTGTGGTGTGGGGAGTGTATAGATAGGGGAAGCCTGACAGAGAAGCACCAGTAAGGAACTTGTGTCTTAAATCCTCTTTTCAATACTCACATAACTGTCTTCTTACACCATTCAGTTATTAATACTTCCATTGTCAACATCTTAATTCAACAGATCATAATTTGTTCTGATTCAACTATCTCTTTGCCAAAATTTAACTCTAGATGTTTTTTTAATTTTTCCACTAATTATACAAATCCTACACCGTGATTTTTTCTCCACTAAAGATTAACACTGTTGTGAAACACTTGAGACTACTGGAGCTAAAATACTTCACATCTGTTCATCCTGAAGACTAAATAAAACCCCTAACTCCATACACTCTCCCTTTACCTTACAATAACTCAGACAACCACAGATTTCATATGAAAGAACCTAATACAATATTCCATTACCTTGCCTAAATAAGAGTGAATTTCCATGAAGTCATGGTATGTGAGTTCTCCTTTTGTCTCAGGTATGCGGTCAATGCCGTCCAAGATGTCCAGCGGCCCCCCGTGACGCAGAGCTGCCTGTTTCTCCGTCTCCAATCTGGTGGCCAGTGTCTCCCACACCTGTAAATACGGCAACTCAATATTAACACATGATATTAATCATGATATTAATAACATACTGTAAACAAAACACTTAAATTCAGATAACAGTATAGAAAAATTCTATAAAATGGGGGATGAGATTGATCTTGAACTCCAATCTTCTAGCACTGAGTGTATCCCTTGTAATACTATACTGTACTATCATCTCACTAGGGGCTCGGTGTCCTCAGAGAACCGATCTATTTTGGGTATATCATCTTTCCCACCCATCACATCATCTCCCTCAAATGACAGGGATCGGGTGTAACAGTCACCCTCTGCAGAAATCAACCTATGAAGTTTATGTATGTTACTGAGCAGAAACAAAGTTAGTAAAGGAGAGACTAATGAAAAGTAATACTCCTTATCCTATTGAAGTATTTATTGAGTGGGTAAAAAACTTAAAGGACACCTCACTCATACTCACTTTGGTTGTGGACACCTCTACCCCACTAGATATGCCCAGCTGTTCCTGGCATTGACGGACAATTGCCGTCCACTTCTGGTCAGCACTCACACTCAGCTTTCCAAATGACCTAAACAATGAAATGGGCCGTAAGAATTGTCTATTAAGAGAAAATTTTATTGATTTATTAAGTCAAAACCAGTACACATTATTTAGCTGTAAGCCACAATATCACGTGTATTTAGTGAAGGTGGGACAACCCTTCAGTGAACTAGCATTCAAACTAAGTACATGTGTGTGTGTGTGTGTGCGTTCATTCTCTTAAATAAAATAAAAACTGAGACATACAAACAGTACAACATCACATAACTTACGCAGGAACATTCTCATCATCGGACGCACCACCGACACCTTTCTGCAGCATACCGTTGATCTTGATGCCATCCTCCCAGTTACCAGTGAACGTTCCCTCGATGGTGTCACCACTAGGATAATGAAGACTTCCTTTACCGGCAAAAGTTCCACCAACACCAAGTTCTCCCTCATAGTAAGTTCTGTCTTCAAACATCATGAGACCAAATCCCTAAATAAAAGGAAAAATAGTCATCATGTTATCTTAATTTGGGTTACAACTAAAGAAAGAAAGAAAAGGAATTTGATGTAGTTTCACGTTTTTTTCCATCCTGTGATGAAAGAAGCGTTATAAGATATAAACCAATGTTATCAATCACACATATGACCCACAAGTAGAGGCCAGACATTACCAAGTGTGTCCTCACCTGTACTCATCACAGAGACCACACTCATTACACGACCAAATAACAAACTTACCGTCAGTTTGTTTTGGTAGAAGTTTCCCTCGTAATAAACGCCGTTCATAGTAACAACCATCCCTGGGCCGTGACGGTTGCTGTTCTGCCACATGCCGAGGTATTTCTCACCTGCAAGAACCATCGCAATGTTGACAGGTAAATCACAGTACAGTAGATTACAGAATCTCATAAAAATCAGGAATTAATGCCATTATATTACAATAGGATATACTGGAAATCAATATCCCATAACAAGTCTTGAACCCATGACCAGGTAATATTCTGAATCTACGACCAGGTAATACTCTCAACCCGTGACCATGTAATACTCTGAACCCACAACCAGGTAATACTCTGAACCCATGAGTACAAGACCTGTATCCTTGATAATACTAACCCACATCTTGTCATCTTAGGTTCAAGCCACCATAACAGACAACACTTACGTTCATATACACAAACAATACAATTTTTTCCTACTTAAATTTAAATTCATCTTTTACAGGACTTAGTTATGTTATTCAATGATATATAAAAATAGTTAGAAAGAGAATCTACCTTTAACTATTTCGTCCAGCACACCGTACCCATGTTTGACGCCGTTACTCCACTCCCCCGTGTATATTGAAGCTGCCTGGGAGCTGAAGCGTCCCTTTTTGAGTTCTCCGTGACCGTGTGGCTGGCTCTCATGAAGGAGTCCAATGTATACATCCTTATTGGCATACCTGGGGAAGGGGGACATAAATTTATTAATACTATAGTTATACCTCTATTTAATGGACTATATGGAGAGGAAGTCTGTTATATCGAGGGTCCATTTGATGTGAAATAAAAACACAACTCCCTCAATCAATCAATCATGGAATATTTAAATAAAATGACAACTCCAATACCCTCAAGTTAAATTATTTCTGTTTGTGACATCTCCGACAGCTCACCTGATTATGCCTTTCCCCTCAAGTTTCCCGTTCTTCCACGTGCCTTCATATATGGTCACCCCACCAGTCGAGGGCACTTCTAGTCTGCCAGGTCCGTGATAGACACTCTGGCGGAACTGTCCCTCGTACCGTCGACCATCAGGCCACGTCATAGTGCCCTCACCATGCAGTTTACCACAAAACCACTGACCTGCAAAGATTATAATAAATACACTATCTTACTCTTGGTATTTATGGCTTGCCTACAGACTCTATCTAATATATCTTCTGTTCCTAAACTTGAGCCTCAGTGTGTACATGTCAGAGAGGAGGAACACACTACCTTCTCTCCCATGATAATAACTGAGATATGAGCTGAAGATGACATTTTAGTACAGTATTGTGTTTTGTTTCTTTCTTATGGGTTTATGGAGGATCTTCAGCAAATTTATAAGGTCATGGTACTAAGAGATATACCAAAAATAATGAAAGTACTTGAAGGTTAAGAAACTGAAGTACTGTATAGACAAACAGTAAAATAAAAGTATACTAATTGACTAAGAGACAGTGTAACTTACCAGAATATGTAGCATCCTTATATTGAGCATTTTTAGTAAAGGTGTAAGCAGCATTTCTAACAAGAGGAGGAGCCCTTGGGATGACCACCAAGCCAGCCTCTCCTGTACCATGAACAGATCTCTTGATGCCCTCCTGAAGGGCATATATCCACTGACCCTTGTCTGAACTGGTCGGGCTAGACAGTGTCAATGTGTCCTCAGGTAACGTGATATGAATGCCATTCTGAAATAAATGAATGATTGTATTAATTCAGTTTGATGGGAAAATATAAAACTTATGTTCTCTATATCCCTGTACACTACAAGACAGTCTTTCTGCCATCAAACTACAGTCACATATTTAGCCATCATCAAATAACTCGGCTACTCACCTCCACATACTCTATAATCAATGACCCAGAGTGTTTGATATAAATACTTAAAAAATAAAAAAAAATTCTCAAATTATTCAAAAATACAATCATTTACACCAACCTGAGCATTCAAATATGAAACATTCAGCTGTGATTGGCCATCGGATCATGCACAACATTCTACTGACAACACCAGAAATATAAAAGAAATAAGCCTGAGTGTTGTAGCCGAGGTCTTGACAGAAAAGTAACCAAACTGATGCCTTACAATACAGTGCTATACATTACATTGCATTTCCTACCTGTATACTTGAACTGTTTGGCACTGCCTCCACCCACATGGTGCTAAGATTATATGTCGTGAAATTTGAGTACTGCAAGTGCACCAAGACGTCAGTGAGCAGGACGAAAGAATGTGAGGAGAAGCGTCCAGCGTTGTGTACGTTGATGGGGTTGGCCCGAGACTCTCTGAGGAGCCTTCTTGAAGGGTTAGCCAGAGCCTCCACCATCTTGGGACTACATGTTTCCCAATATGCTTTAGTCGCCTCAGCTTCTATCTAAAAATTTACAAAACAAATATATTAATAACTGTAATAAATAAATAATAAACAAAAATAAATAAATAAACAATAAAGACTGTAGTACATTAAGTAGGATTAAGGACTTGTGTACGGGATCCCATCTGAGCTGAATAAAATTGTTTGCCGTTAGTTAAATAAAATATTATAAGTGGCATTCCTGTAGTGAAGGGCTTAAGGCATAGCAGTGCTGTTGAGAAATGAAATGTGGAGTTGTATGACAGACTTTAAGGTACAGTAATTAGTTAAAGAATATTAGGAATCAAATTAATACCCGAGAGAGAAAAAAATACATGTTATAAACACTCAAATATTTCTAGATCCATCAATAAACAGACAAATTCCAAAGCTCCATGATCCTTGACCTTATATATAATAAAACTGAAGAAATCTCCAAAAATACATCAAATTCATACCTGACTTTTTTGTGCTGTATTGGACAACTGCCTCCAGTGGGCGTGAGCGATCTTGATCTTGTCTAGCGTAAAAGGTGAGTAGTAAGTCTCAGTGTCGGTCTTCATGGAGTGGAGGAACTCAACATACTCATGAATGTGTTGTAGCGGCCGCAGGATCAGGTAAGCAAAGAGGTCGCTATTGGTCTTCCGCTTGTCTTCGGGGATCAGAGACGCTAATATGGTCTGGCATTTCTCCAACACCACATTGGCGTCCTTGCTGGAGATGGTGAGGCCGCTGATAGCAATGGCATCACACACCAGGTTCATGTATTTCTGGTATATTGACTTGTGTTCCTCTACCTGTCAACAACAATTGGTTATAAGGAGGAAAATTTTTGTTTTTTGTCCCTTGAAGCTAAAAAATTGTGATAAGCATAATTTTATATTTTCACTCTCCTTTATGCTACAACACACAACCTCTCCTTCCCAACTAAAATTTACAACACACACACACACACTAAATGAGGATAATATTATACAGTACTCCTAAGAATTAATATAAAAACAAACCTATGTAAGACTGAACAAAGGTAAAATTATTTTCCTAAGACTTCCCAAGACTAAGATAAATCAAGAAAGACTAATGTAAGACTGAAGGAATGATTACACTGTACTCCGAAGACAAGATACAATAAACAGAATAACAAAATACAGGTGTTACTAGTAATTAAGATGAGGAATTTCTCACCTGGCGGATAATTGGGATGACGGCGGTGACATCAGCGGCTTGGTCGTCTAGCATGTCACTGAGGCTGCTGGCTACTGCGTGTGTTATGTTCAGGTAGGCTTCTAAGAGTTCTTGTTTGGTCTGTTGTACTTGATTGCTGTCTACTGTTGATACAGAGATAAATAATATGCCACTGTGTAATCATCTAGGGTTCTCAAATAAATAAAAAACTCTGCATTATTATCAGTATTACTATGACCCAGTACAGTATTATTATCAGTGTTATCATTATTATCAACAGCCACGCACTACCTACCTGAAGAAGCACTACCCCCACCACCACTAGAGGCGCTGGTGTCCTTCTGAGCAGTGGTGGTGCCCTTGCTACTGTTACTGGCTGAACAGGTCGTGAGGAAAGGCTTCACCACAAGCTGGTTCACAGACTTCAGGAGACTCAGGTACTTGGTCTCATTCTTCAGGAATTTTATCACCTGTAAGAGGAAATATATCTTTATATATCCGTCCATTTCATAAAACCTTGGATAGTCTTTGTTATTGCCATTACATAAGTTCATCAAATATCAATCATTCTCTGTCTACTCTAATGTCTTTCTCTACCTATCCATCTATATATATATGAAATAGGTTTAAATCTTTTTACATTCCCCTAAATATAATACTACATTAAAATAGCTTAAAAAACTCTCCATATGTGTATACCTGTGGATGCATCTCATCAGCGGTGCAGACCACACTGTCACACTGACACAAGACTGATCTGCAGCGCGTAGTAGCATCACCAACTGGTATTTGCTGTACTGTTGCCTTCTCTTCCTCTCTGATCAATGAAAATTAATACCATATAAGACATAATGAACTTGAGGACCACATCCCTATAATGAACCCAAGAGACAACACAAAGTAATTATATATTTTGTAAGTAGATCATTGTCCTTATTACTTAAATATGTCCTTGATATTCCATTAACCTTATATTTTAATTTATTAGCTCGCTTTATCTACTAACTCAAAGTCTTAAGGAAAAAATATGAACATGAATGAACACTGACTCCTGTTGTCTCGGTAGGGTTGTCAAAATTCTTCATCCATTGTGTCATAATGTCTAGCACAAAATCAGAAATATATTTTTTGGAGTGTGTGTACAAGAAAACAAAAGCATAAGTCATTGATGTAAACGAAAGTGAGTCATCAATGTAAACAAACTTTCACCTTAATTTGCCAACATAGAATGTGAGGCCATCGATGGTGACAATGATGAGGTAGTTATCCCCTGAGGCCAGATCCCGAACCAGACCTCCATCGGGGAGATCTAGCCGTCTGGGAGAGATGATGGCCGCCGACGCATTTCCAAGTTTACTCGGAGACTTGTTCGGGGATTTGTTAGGTACGGGAGGAGTTCCAGGAGGTGCAGGAGGCCCACCTTGGCCCCCAGAGTTATCCCCCCATACAAACACCTGAGGAACACCTTTTAATCAGTCCACTGGTTCATGTTATGATGATACTGCAGTTGCCGCTCACAAATGGCACTATCAAATGTTATGTAATCAAACCAACACATCGTAAATTCAAGTTATCAATAATATATCATTAACAGGAACCTAAAAATCAGTACAAATAAAACCTGATCATTGTGAAGAATATATATGATCAGACTTTATTAGATCTGATTTATAAGTTTCTGTTTATTCCACATCTTAAAATATATTCAATCTCGAATAAACAACTGACGCTGTCCCATCAATGAAGGAAATATTAATAATAAAATAGAATATAAGGAAAAGTCTCGTTAATAAACACTGTCAAAATTCACAGACAAGATGGATGTTAACTCTTGCAGCACTCTGAGGAAGATGATACAAAACTCTCAGTAATTAGCGATATTATCCAATATATATGGAAAAGGAGGGATAACAAAGGCATACCAGAGAATTTTTTGACAAAATGATAAAATTCAAAGAGGAGCCTCGAAATATATCCAAATATTCATCCCAAAAGTGATTCCTGGAATATATCTTCCACCTAACCACTTCAAGTCTTTACCTAAATCAACAACAACATAGATTCTCCAGTGAGGTGAGGTAAAGGGAAGTGATGTGAGGTAAAGGGAGGTGAGGTAAAGTGATGGTAGATGAGATGATAGGGAGGTGAGGTAAAGGGAGGTGAGGTAAGGTGATGGTAGATGAGATGATAGGGAGGTGAGGTAAAGGGAAATACTGTAAAGTGAAGTGAACAAAGGTGATGGGAGGTGAGGTGAAGGGAAATGAGAGGAAGAATCATCAACAGATGCACAGTAATCCCTACACATGAAGTACTACCTTGAAGACCACCAAATAAAATAACAATCCAGGAAATAGACCAAAATCTGTAAGCCTCACTCAGATAAATTCAAAGAAACACATGTGGTATAGTAATTAGTTCAGACTGTACACATATTCATTTATCACCGAGGAATACGATATAGACTATAATATAAGTCAGTGCTAAATAATACCTCATAAAACTGTACAGAAGATAAGGAAAATACTTATATACACTATTATTTAAGTAAAAAAGCAATTAAATAAGAATAAGAGGCCATAATATATGAATCTTTTGTCTTTCATTGTGGATATTTCATAACCACATCATAGTAGTAATAACTTTGCTACCCAGTGACAAAATCTTCTCTCTCTCTCTCCCCACCAGTTACATCTTGCAACACTGGGAATAAATGCTTAATATATCACAGAAAATTACTTGATGACAACAAGATGAAAAAATACGAACTGAACCCCGACTAAAAATGGCTTTAACTTGGAATTTCTTGAGCTAACTATAATTCACAAGTCCCAAGCAAAACCCTGTCCAAAACTCACTTTCACATCAATACTGAAATATCCCATAAAGCGACTGAATCTACAATAAGAGAATAAACCAAAATTGACAAGGAGCGGCCAGACAGGGACATAGAGATGAACTGGCAGCATCACTTATATAATTCCTCATCTTTTGGTCAGGGATAAAAAGTTGGGCATCTCAAGGCTTAAGATTATATGGAAACAGATATTAATATAACATGCAGAGCCGGGTAAAGATGTGTTTTAGTAAGACAGACACAAGACCGTGAAATCTTGTGAATTTATAAAGCATTAGAATACGTACTGTAAATATAACTAATGGATACTCCTCTAATAAAGATGATATATTTACCTATGAATCACAATAAAACTTCTCAAAGCATTTATCTCACCCTAAGTCCACAAAGCAGATGACTACACAGCACTGGACCAGAGAGATAAAATTCTACATCGTCAGAAGCGCTTGCAACAGTGAGTGAGGAAGGTGGTCATTCTAACCTTCAAATTAGTAGTAATAATCAATCACAAAAGACTGACTTAAACAATGCTAAATTTCCAGCCAGTTGTAGAAGCTGATGTGGCATGCAGTTATCGTTTAGTTTCACTTACAACAAAATACTGAATACTGTACTAGCCTCAGAACAATACAACTGCATACTCAGAATAACAAACATCACTCACACAGTCCCGAGTCAGTGTCAAATATGATTTTTTTAACCTATTTACATCATAACTGAAATATAGTACTTTAAAGAGTCCATTATTTTAGTTTATACATTTAAAGAGAAAACCTACCATAGCAAGACATAACTGTATAATGTATTCAAAATCCTATTACAGTATTTATTACCAATCAATCACAGTACCAACGCCATATCTGAGGGTTGGCGGCCACGGTCCTCCACTATAGATAATTATCATAAGCCCCACCAAACATTGAATGTAATGTCACTCAGTTTAAAGAAGGTGTTACTGAAAAACTGGAATGGGTAAACTTAAGCATCCCTGACCCTATAAGCGACCGTGACCCTATGAGAATCCCTTGTTTGCCCGGGAGCTCGTCAGCACTCTATAGCATCGAGACTTACGGAACTGATTCTTCGCTGGCTGAAAACGAGGAAATTAATGTAACTCCGACCAAATCAAAGCTAAATCCCCCAATCAGGTTTTATAATGTTCCAGTTGTGTAGTCGGCCAGATATTAAACATATTTCCGTATTCTTATCAATAAACAATACTGTACATCACTAAATTCCCGTAAAAACTTTTAATTCTAATTCTGTCTCAAACTAGATATATTTTTTAATATAGTTTTCTTGGGGGCTTACAATGAGCAGTACAATAACAACACAAACTACTGTACCATATTGTTAAAAATAAGCATCTAAAACTAATTTTATATCGTTCATGAACTACCGTATATCACTTGTCATTACTACTACTATGACTAGCTATTTTAATCACTATTACTATTAGTATTTCAAACTAATTATGCATAGTGAAACCTCTATTTAATGGAATATATGGAGAGGAAATCCCATTATATTGAGGGCCCATTATATATAAAACCTCCATCTAATGAACTAAATAAATATTAAAGTCTGTTATATATCAAGGGTTTGTTAGACGTGAAACCCCCTTCTAATGAACTATGGCAAGAGAGAGACAAGTCCACTATATAGAGGTTTTACCTTACATCATTCCTTTATAACTAACTATCAATAACAAAACCCGAGTGGCGATAACTACAGGTAACTACGTAGAAACGCGAATTAAAATCTTCTCAACGGCAGAATTTGACACTTGACTGAGGACTGTTTGAGTAAAGCATCGCCATGATAGTTATTACTCCACAATCTAGCAGACCAACAGCACTACACAGAAACCTTCCAATATGACGACTTTTGGGACTTTGGCTCCGATGTTGTATGATCAACTTCCTCACTAGTATCTTTTGCTTCCCATATATAAACCTAGAAAATAAAGCAAATTAGGTTAGGGTGGGGGAAATAAAGCCTCGACTCGGTTACCTTAAGAGAATAAACACTGAAATATCAAGAGAATTAATCGATCACCGTCGTCAGGGACATCCACGCTTTCAACCATGTCTGTGTGTGTGTGTGTGAGTGTTAGTATCGGTCCTTTACCACAAACATCAAGACTTCTGGAGTATTCCCTTAAGAGTATTGAACCCTTTCAAACCTCATCTTCCTGAATCAAAAAGCCAACATGTAGAATCTATAATTAAATTGGTAATCTAACATGGCATTAATATACAACTAAAAAAACATAAAAAATAAATATATAAACAGTAAATCTATAACAGGTATTTATAAACTCAACAATTTAACTTACAATATCACCTCTAAAACTAACATATAAAAAAAAAAAAGGTAAAGTAAATCTGTACTTATAAACTTAACAACTTAATTCAGAGTAATACCTAAAAAGTAGTTAAGTACATTAGGTTAACTTACAAACTGGAACTGACCTGTCCGTCAATAGTAAGAGCGGCCGTGTGGTGGGAGCCGCACACTACCTTGGTCACCCCCATGTGGTTCAAGGATAGCACGCTGGTTGGTGTTGATCTGTGGCTAAGGTCTCCAAGCCCAAGTTGTCCCTTATTAGCAGAGCCCCAAGCCCATACCTGCCAGTAGGTCAATTGAAAAGTAGACAATAGTAACAAAAAAAGTAGAGATTAAATTTTTACTTCTTTTATGTTTTATGAAGACACGTCAGGTGAACAGGAAGACATAAAAGATGGCTGTAATATGGCTGGACAAGGTAATAATAATAATAATGATAATAATAATAATAATAATAATAATAATAATAATAAAAATAACAATAATAATAAAAATAGGTTCTGGCCACCATATCTTTCTAAAGAGAGGATTATGTACAAGAGTTATCATTCCTAAAAGATAAATAAGGCAACAAGGTTTAGACAAGTCACATTTAAGTAAACACCTTAAGAGTAGTACATCATTTACCTCAGTGTTCAATATATGTTGTCCTCCATCAATGATAAGTGTAGCATTTTTGGCCACTTGTTCGGGACCTTTCTCAAGAGTCAGTATGCCATCTCTGCCAACTTTGGGAAAGCTCAGACCCCCGGATGCTGTTCTCATGTGAGTCTTTTTACGGCATAATTCGTCCGAGAGTCGACGTGGAAGACTGTTGCACTCGTAGGAATCACTTTTACTCATTTTAGGCATCGGGGCTTTGTCATAGAACGTGTCTAAACTGAACGGGTCGGAGTCTGGGGTAAGGTCGTGCAGCTCACCGTCGGCACACTCACTGCTACTGAAATGCCGCGACAACTGCCCCACTTTATCACTCACGGTTCGGACGCCGGTCGCTACGAGACTTGCCGCACTGTTTGCTGCACTTGCTACATTTTCCTTAATAAGCTCTGTAGCACTGTCTATGTGGTATTTGTTATTCAATTTTTCATTATCTATAATACATTCACCCTGTTCTAGACTTGTTGTTGTCATCCAAGATAGTTGTCTAGATATAAACTGTCGGGCAGCGTCTGCATTAATGAATAAGCTATTACTACCCCCTGAGCTTGATTTCCTTCCCCCTGCCTCTCCTCCCATGTCTGTCTCATCATCATTACATTCAACAACTTCAAACTCACTGCCCTCACTCTGTTTATGTACTCGAGCCATATCTTTTAATTCAATTCCTGTCCGTAATTCAACCGGGGTATTTAGCGTCGTTCCATCGCAGGAAACTTCTCCCGACGTCGGATCTAACTCATCCGCGACGTAATCCGATGATTCGCCGTCCTCGTGAAAAACACTATTCCTGGAGGACCGGCCATCCATGTTCACACTACTCGGAGCGGGTGACAACAGATCACATCTTCTGTCGGTGTTGAAATATTCCTTCCTTACTGCCAACCCCAAAGGACACTTATCATAGTCATCTCCGTCCTCGAAGAGCACGCGGTCTCCTGTCTCTCGACGACACTGCTCGCACGATCTGACGTAAGAGTCAAAGTCGGGGAGGTTGTCTGACTCTGGTGTGTTGTCGTGGAGTACAGGAGGCAGAGCTTCCACCAGAGCAACAGTGAAGTACGCTCCAGCCTCCACCTGCATTATCCTCCTTCCCTTAAAGAAGTCAACACGTGCTGGGTTTGTGATCTCATTCTCGGTCTTGTTTGTGAAGAGTCCTGACAAAATAGAGAAATAATAACCCATTAGTAGTAAAGAATCATAACAGTACTATAAAATTTTATCATATTTATATTTCCTTGATACATGACATAAAAAAGGGAGACATAAACTAACACAGGAATTTAATGTTTGAGTTTTTATGAGTCCAGACCCAAAAACCTTCGTCAATCCGGATCTTGGGTTCCTTAAAGACACCCAACAACATACCTAACGCTGGTCCACGTCCCTGTACCCATATCTCATCTTTAGCACTCAGGAACAATATGTGGTCACAACCGGCCGCCACCGCCCGCACCCGAACTTTACGTCCTTTCTCTTCCTGGCCATGGGTACACGTCTTCTTTGGCTCCAGGACGGGTAAGGTTCGGACGTCTCCTCCCTCTAGGTCCCGAGTGAAGACCTCCCCGGCGTCCGTGACAAACACCACCTGTCCTCTGTACACCGTTGCATCGCGAACACATCTGCTGCCAAGCTCAACCTGAAATAAGGAAACTTTATAATTTTTCAGTTTCAGATGTAATTTTTTTTTCAGTTTCATAAGTAAATTTAAGGTTTCATTAGCAAATTTATTAAGTTTCAGAAGCAAATTATTTCAGTAAAACTTTAAAATGCAGCAGTAAAAAAAGACCATAGTTAGGTAAATTATAGTTCTCTACACAGTAAACTAATAAATAGAGGATAATATTAAAATACAAGAAAACAATAATCAAATAAAAACATTCAACAGGCGTAGCCATTCATATGTGAGAGTAAATGCAGGAGTAAGTGTGAGCTGTGGGGCAGGAAGAGGAAGTGAGGCAGTGTAAGTGATATCTCCATGGTTAATCTGCACCCTTATGGATGAACCAACAAAGGAAAATGAATATGGACTCTATACCAGGATACAGTAAGTGCTTTTTCTGCCGAGTGGAACACAAGTGCAAAAAGGTGGTACATAATTCTGCTTGTTTTTGTGTGAGTAGGAATTTGAAGGAAAATTTTAATAAGCGTAATATTCTTTTGAGAGAGGAAATACGGTAGTTTGAATTAATAGATCTTACACAAACTATATAGAAAAAAAAATCTATCAATCAGTTCAATTATAATGAAGAATGAGATACCGTATTGGAGATAGTTAAATACTTTGACTAAATTATATCATGGGTTCAACATACCTGCTTCAAACTGCCTCTCTCTTGTCCAGTGTATTGACCAATGTATAACCTGCCGCCGGCCGTAACAAAGACCGTCGTTTCTTTTGACGCAGCGACCCTAATCACCGTCTCGGTGGGCACGATGAGCATGTTCCTGGGGTCTCCTCCCCTCCACCCATACGTTGCTACCATCATACACTGTAAACAATAATGATTAATAACTAAAAGAAAATATAAATCTGACGATTGACATGAAATTAATGTGTTCAAAGATTAACTGATATTAGAATAATTTATCTATACATGTGAGAAAATCTGACAGGAAAAATAATCACATTTAACAATATGATTTTTATATGATTCAGTGTTGTAACCGACCATAAATATGAGTTATAATACCACTACTCAATTACTGAAACTATTATCACTTCTTTACCCCCACCCACACACCACAGTACACCTACACAAGTTAATACAATAGTTAATACAATACAGTAGTCACATCAAATACAAATTGAGTTTTGATAAGTAAAAATAAATATTATATCTCACTAAATAATAACTGCACACACACATGTAATATAACAAACTTGTCTGTAGAAACTCTTCACTGAGCAGAACACACACAATGTTTAACCAAATAACCACAACACTACAGTTTATAAACACACACGACCTGCATATCTTATCACTGATACCACTAAGCATCCAAAGAACAAAATGATAAGATGATAACTATTAAAAGGATGGCCAGTAAAAGGACGTCGTGTAAATAAAACCAGATTTGTAGTTCACGGGGTACAGTAAAACCTCCATTTAACGCACTATATGGGGAGGAAAGTCCGTTATATTGAGGGTTCGTTAGATGTGAAACTTCCATCTAACGGATTATAAAGAGTGATGTCCGTTATATGGAGGTTTTACTGTATATGACAAAGCTAATATGGGTGTCACATTGGCCTAGGGTGACTCAGCCCTGTAAAACACACTGCTTATCACAAGAGACATTTCACATTCTTTACAACATTTCACATGGCTAATCTTTTAACCACTGGAAAAAAATGTTCAACTGTAATAAATATCAAGTGATTATTTAGTGTTTTATAAAGTTACATCTCAGAAATATTATCAAAGAGGAAAAAACATTGAAATAATTACTGTATTTGTACTGTAATATATAAATACGATGTACTAGTGATAAAATAAGCTGGGGTGGAGATTTTTCAGGTAATCGATGAACCGACCTAACCTATTTATCATAACAGGGAAGTATATAATTTATGGTTAGGTTAGGATAGGTATGTTTGGTTAAGTTAGGATAGATATGTTTGGTTAGGTTAGGTAGGTCTGGTTAGGTTAGGTTATTAACTGAAACATAAACATGGTGTTCTCAGATGACAGAGTATATTCGCTTAAAAAGGAACTTAACCGTTTTCAGACACATCCCTTGCCGGATCTGGTCGATATTAACAGAATTTTGTGACTCCATTCCCTAAAGGGTTAAGAAAGTTTGAATTCCTCCACCTGGTTTTAAATACTCTTGATATGATAGCTGATTTAGAGGATTATATAAAAAAACTGAAACATGGAACTACCCAATTTAACTATACAGCATTACCCAATCAACTGTTAATATAGTAAAGGTTTATTTGTACTGTATATGAACACGTCAGTTATATATATTGTTTTTAATTTCTAGTTCATGTTTTCCTTGTTACTCCACCAATTTACAATAGCTACAATACAGGTCTATGAAACACAACCCTGGCAGTATAGATTATAAAACATTATAATGAAATAGAAAGTTGATTTCCTCCTTAACCTTCACCAAAAGTATATCTTAACTACTTGTCAAACAGCACCTGATCTAGATACACGAGACAGGAAGACGAGAGAAAATTATATTATTCTCGCTGTTAAAACATACACAACCACACGAGTACAGCAATTATGTTAGGATACGATGATATCCACCACATATAAACCACATATATATTATAACCCACCACATAGCTATTCCCAACACATATTACCCTGGTGAATACACGTCCCCTACCAAGGTTGTTCATGAATTACACCACATAAACACATATCTCCTCGCCATATAACCCAGTAAATAATATTCCCCTTGGTATCTCCTCATTATAAAGATATTAAGGATAATTCCCAGATGAAAGGATATAGAGAAGTGTTGGTAACCTTAGTGTGAGAGTCATGGGGAGAGGACAGCGTCACCTTCCTACGTCGTCTGTACTCTCTCTACCTCGTCCCTCCCACTGTTGCCCCAGTCTATATTCAGGAGTAAATATTATCAAAATCCTATCACATAATAAATAACATAAAATAACGCCCTATATGAATCTAAATATCTGTATTTAATTATTATCCAGTAATTTATTATTTTTTTTAGTTTTATTAATGCTTTTATGATGATTTTTTTAGTTGGTAATATATATATTATTTGCCATGAACACTGAAATTTATTATTATCCCTAATGATTTATTTTATTATATTTCTAAATTTTATTTTATATATGTACGTTTACTTTATTTGTTTTGTTATGTTAGGAATATATTTAAACCTTATATTATCCTGGTAATTAGACGGAGCCTCATCATCTTGTGGTCTGGCTCACCTGACTTGAAAACATAAAATAAATAGAAAATATTACAACATCTCTTCCATTACATTAACTTTCTTTATATAAATTAAACTTAAAAATAACTCACGGTAATTATAACCAACAGGAAATTAATATTTGTTATAATTAGAAGTTTGATTGAGTTAAGAACCAAGGTAGAGGTTATTGTTAGGAGCAGTTCCACCTGGGACAACGATGGGGAACTGTTGACTCTATAACTGTTTTTTTGGTAAATGGTATTAATTTCTTGATGTTTTCACCTTAAGATACATTCATTAAGAGTAAAACGAACTAGAGGTTAATATAAGATCACATTTAGGATGAATCATTAGGTAGATATTAGAGTTTATATGAGGGTAGGTCTTGTTTGTTGACAGTCGTGGTGGCCCAACCCTTTTCCTTACTAATATGGGAGGTGGACCAGCTGGCTTATATACACCTTTATGGTCGTTTATCAGTGTCTATCTTATGCTCTACACCATCTGTTCCCTCTATAGTGTGTGTTTAGGTAGTTAAACTCTGTGTCATGGGGGATTTGTGAGGTTAAAGAGAGGAGGAATATCAGGGAGGTTATGGAGACGATTGTGGTTTGAGGGATTCAATTTTACACGTTAGAATTATTTATATTGGTTAATGTGGTGGTAGGGATTCATACTCGTGGTATTATATGGTTGTATCTCTACTGGTGTGTTTGTTTGGTTAGGATTGACTTTTTTGTAGCCAAACTGAGTCATGGAACAAATTTACCTAGAATGTATGTGGTAATTTTATAGTCATTCGTTTCCTGTGTCTCAATACCCAAATTTAATGTTTTTGTTTTGGTTATGTTATATTAATTAACTTTTATTTATTATTGTTTTTATTTCTAAAGTGGATGGTTTGCCTTAACGAGCCTTCATATAATCACGGATGACGTAGTTACTTGTAAAGCGATCTAGTTATGTTATCCATGAACCCCCCCCCCTGTCAAATGATAGCCGTTCATAATTCTGTATATAAGGTCGGGGACTAGTGGAGTCATACCTGAAAAATGAAAAAGATCGTACGTGTGTAAAAGTTGTGAATGGTATTGACGTAAAAATGTGAATGAATGTATAATTAAGTGACATAAACTGAGTAGCTTAGTGAATAGTTATAGAACGTTAAAATAATATGGATCTAATGATTTATTTTTCAGCATAAATTGAGAAATGGATTTTTTTTATTTAGCCCTTAAGTAGGATTGGTGCAACTAGCATTTAATTTAGTTGGGAATGTGGAGAGGTCTGAGATGTTGAAGATTAGAGATAGATACAGTATACATTATTATTGTATTGGTTAAGTTCATATACAGGATTTATATTATTATTGGTCTTGTATAGTGAAACCTCTATATAACAAACATTTATCGTCATATCCGTTAGATGGAGGTTTAAAATCTAACAGAACCTCGATATAATGGACTTTCATCTGTATATAGTCCGTTAGATGGAGGTTTTACTGTAGTTTTAATTTTTTCTAAAGACTTTTGCTTGTTACACTTTTATGACTGAATAATTTTTATTATGCACTACAGTTTACAAGATATTGTTTCTTTGATATAAACTTAAATTATTTACTGTGCATATTGCCCAAAAGTCTATTGAATTATGTTGTATTATGCTCTGCTTTCATTAGTTTTATCAATTGACATTTTTTCAAGTAGGTCTTTGCCATATTTCTATTATTGGTTATCATGTGATGTTTTGTGGGTAGTTGCCGTCCACAGTTTGTTTAGTTCTGTACAGTATAAACCAACATAGCATGACTGTCACTTATTGTGGGAAGTGGCTCTATAGTTAAATTATTACAGAACGTTAATTTAAAACTCGTGATAAACTATTGCCATCTGTGATGTGTATTTGTGGCGTTGTGTAATAATGAATATATTTTTTTTAACTATGCTTGCCAGGTGTGAGAGAGAGAGAAGGGAAGATGTCATCTGGCCGTCCCATTAAGTGTGTGGTAGTGGGTGACGGGACCGTGGGCAAGACCTGTATGCTCATCTCCTATACCACAGACTCCTTCCCTAAAGAATACGTCCCCACGGTGTAAGTCGCACGTCGTCGCTAAATATTATTATTCCCCTCGGCGTAAGTGGTAGCTCCGTGACTCGGTACGGTGGTGTCGTCTAGTGTCGGACTGGTGGTGTAGTGTCGTGGTCACTGTCTCTTATCACTGTTTAGTTAATGGTCAAGACACAGTACACTGAGACTGGTGTATGTTTTAAGAAATGCCTGGACATGTTTTTTTTTTCTGTTGTGATGTGATAATATGAATAACCTTTCAAAATGTGAGTTGTTTTTGGTAAGTATGGAACATCCCTTTGATAAATTAACATACAGCTTCCCTTACAGTCTAGATGTTACAGTATGAGAACTTGATAAAGGTGGGAAAGTAAGAGTACTAGATTACAGTAGAGTATACAGTAAGGTTAATACTTGTAGTCGCTGCTAATCACACAAAAATAGACTGTATTTATGAGTTGCAATTGATTTCACAATAAACGCGAGATTTGTTTTAATATGTAACTGCCAGCTGTTTAGGTTAGGTTTGACTGTGAATGATCGACAAGTCAACGACACTCCCTCGGCTGTGGTTCTTCAGGTGGCACTAAATACATGTCAGCACGGTACTGTACTTTATTATCTTTTTCAGAGTCGACAAACTCCTTCCCATTTATATTTACTTCTTCCACTGGGTCAGCCATGTTACTGTGTCATCGGAATTAGGCTAATACTCTCTTCAACCTTGAGATGAAGTGAATTGTTCTGAGTGGGTGATAATCTTTAGCCAATGTATGAGTCTTTGAAGTCTCGACGTGGTACAACAGGATTCTTGGTGATCATTTTGAGTACAACAGGAGTCTCGGTGTTCATATTGAAAGTGATTGGACCTCTCCGTAAAGATACCTTTTGGAGCGAGTACACACGTGATTGTTTCCATTCTCGTCTTGTTCCTAACTTGTATATTAATAGCTTCTGTAAATGACTTTGCTAACTGTATTTAGTCAGTCAGTCCTCAACATATTTTCCCCATATTTAGTGATGTCATTTGACCACATTTACTTTATCTTTATTATTTTTATAACCTTCAATACTGTTATATATTGTACAGCCTCTTCTTATTGGCTGCTGGGGCTATAGTCTTTAATAATCCCATACATAATCTTGCTGCTCCATGAACCCTGAGATTCGGTCTCGTGAATCCGAACCATCAGTGTCTGCTGCTTCGGGTTCACGAACCTGAATCTCCGGTGGGTTCATGGAGCATAGGAGAGGCCCTCAACAAGGCTTTTGACCCTGACTGAATATGGGATTTTTTAAGACTAACCTCAGCAATCAATAAGGAATTGGCTTTATGATCTATAACAAAGCATAATGTAATGATTATTTCTCTATATAAAACCTAATTGCAATGTACATCACAGAACAATAATGCTTTACATGGGAAGCAGTGAGAGCCATAGAGACCCACAGACAGCCACCAACTACCATTATCTCCTTGGTATTTACAACCTGGATTTACCCGTATCTATGGTAACCTAAAATATAAACATAAACGAGTCAACTGAACTTACCAACCGTGTTATGTTGTGGTGGGTGGAGGGTATTGGTGCAGGTTTACAGGGTACTAAGTAGTACAGTACGTATATAATATTTATTGATAACTTAAATAAGAGGATAATATGCATGAGAGGTTGGGAGTCTTTCTACTTTAAAAGGTTATTCTTGTCTTTTTTTTTAAACTATATTGATGCACTACTTTGTACTGACGACCGATAAACATCTTTTTTAAATATTAATTCTACCTTTTCATCTATAAGGTTTAAGGTGCTGTACTGCAGGCTTATGATTATAATCCATTGACTTATGAAATTACTGATTGTTTTTATCTATACATTGGAGGCCATGAAATAAGTCTTAATTGAAGGTGCATCCAAACTAGAGCCAGAGAGTCACACAGCTCAACTCACATGAGCAGTATTGTTATTATTAGGATAGAGTTCAGTACTTCCCTTCTTTTCATCATACATATCATCCCCAACCACAATACAATTCTAAAATGTGAAATACTGTACAGAGGCTACTGTACTGTACTGTATTTACAGCATAAACATTGTTGAATACTGTGCTCACGCATTCTCTTGTCTGCCAATGCACGGTGGATATTTGTTTACAAACATCATGCAGAAATTAGACGCTGGGTCTTAATAAACCAATTTCCACACTTGTGTGGGTTAGCCAAGTTTAGCTGATGGCAGTTCTCCAAGCTGCATGATCTCTTGTAACCTCTCATGACTGCCACCAGACACAGTGAGAATTGGGCATTATATACTGAAGTATTTACAAGTACTGTACCTTGTTAGCTGGGAACGATCTGGTCCCAGACGGCTGCTCTCACAACTGAACCATCAGTCATTATTACCTATACAATACCATAGCCATTTATTTACTCCAGTGAGATTAGTTGTGACTGCCTCCTGGGGAATAGGATTGTTAATATTTTTAAAACCAGCTGTCTCTGTAATATTTTGCATATAGAATGGCAATAATTGATGGGCATAATGCATTTCATGACCATTTATTATGTAAGTACAGTAGGTACCTTTAGTGAAGCCCTGAGGATGGTGCTTGAGTTCCTCTCCCAAAGCTTCATCTCCTCGGTTGACTACAACATGTAGCTAAGTGTGGGGTATTGTTGTCATGTGGCCTGGCTCTTGGTTCCCAAATAATTATACAGTATTAATTTCTCTAATAATTATCTGTAACTAATACTATAAATTTATTATATAATAGTTGTATAAATACAGTTGATATTATTTTAATAGAGCATGTTAATGATTTAATATATTCTTTTTGTACAAGTAAGGATGGTAGAGTAATGCTTCACTCTTCTGTGTTATATAATTCTACACCTTGCTATATATAAAGAACTCATATTACAGTGGATTGTGTGACTCATACTTCATCAAACAGCTCGTGGGGTGACAGCCTTTAGTGGCCAGAGCTCCTAACTCATGTGACTGTTACTGTATTATTATTTCCAAAATCCAGAAATAGTTTCTCTCCAAACTCAACCAAAGCCTCAGAGAGGCAGTACACCAAGAACTTTTTAACCAATCCTCTTGTGCTGTACAGTATTAGAGGTACATACCCTGTGACCCTTGCATACAGTATATCAGGGATTTACTTGAAAAGTTTTCACATGTTATTGTGTTCATGTTTGTCCCCTGAAACTTCAGTATGCTTTTGCAAGAGGCATTAATCTTGTATCTTTTTTACAGATTTGACAATTACTCAGCACCAATGGTGGTGGATAGCATTCCAGTTAGTCTGGGACTTTGGGACACAGCGGGGCAAGAAGATTATGATAGATTGCGACCTTTATCATATCCACAGGTCAGTGTATCAGCGTTGACCAAATATAATTAACCCTCTCTGTACAGTACCTGATACCAAAACTTTCCCTGGTATGTGCAATGCATAAACTCTTAAATGGCAACCATCATCAACACAAATTTGGTGTTCCTTATTTTCCATTTTTATACTTACGTGCTGAGGGGGGGGGGGGCTTATTTTTACATTGTGGGAAGAGACAATGTTAAAATGCTGACTTGTATCTTTGTATTCCAGACAGATGTATTCTTGATCTGCTTTAGTGTGGTGAGTCCGTCCTCCTGTGAGAACGTCACCTCTAAGTGGTATCCAGAAATTAAACACCACTGTCCAGATGCACCTATAATTCTTGTTGGTAAGTCTGCATCTATATATCTCTCTCTTTCTTTCACTCATGTGTGTGTGTGTGTCTCTCTTTATCTCTTTTGGTTCATGTGTATCTCTCTCTCACTCTCTTGTAGATACTAGGGTTGATTATTTTGTCACCAAATTAAACTATTTAAGGTTAATTTATTAGATAGCAGATCCCTTGGAGATATAATTCTTAATAAACACAAACACTCATAGTCAACTTTCAACGACTTCTTCAGGCACAAAAATGGACCTGAGAGAAGACAAAGAGACCCTAGCACTCCTATCTGACCAGGGACAATCTCCAGTTAAGAGAGAAGCAGGTCAAAAGCTAGCAAATAAGATCAGAGCTGTGAAATACATGGAATGTTCGGCGTTAACACAACGAGGACTTAAGCAGGTATGTTTTGGGGCCCATTAAAGTGGCCATTTGTCTGTAGTATTGTTTTGTTTATGAAAATCTATACAAACGAGGTCATTGGGGTAAGGAGGCAAATCAACCTAACTCGTGTTTTGAGATACGAGACATTTTGTTTTGTGCACCTTAGGTTGTGTGTGTCTGTAAACACACTTATCAATGTAAGTGAAACTGGTCTTAAATAATAGGAAATTTAGTCTTCTTTTTGGTTTGTTAAGTTAGTTCTACATTGGTTGATATGCCCCTCTTACCCAAAGCACCTCAATTGTAATATATATTTTTAATTTAGTTTTGAATATTTGTGATAAATATTAATTGACATTACTGGAGAGTTAGGAGTAGGTTTAGTTGATAGAGTTATTGTCTTGCAGGTATTCGACGAAGCTGTGAGGGCTGTACTCCGACCAGAGCCCATGAAGAGAAGACAGCGCAAGTGTTCAGTCCTCTAAGGTTGATAAACTGGCTAGTCTTGTCTCTGTCTCTTCTGCTGTCTCCCCATTTCTGCCTCAGATCCCCAGTCAAGCGAGTATTAAGTCAGGTTTCTTCCCCTTATTCAACTGAAAGCAATATTTGTAACCAGATAAGATTATTTTCACGATTGGTGTGTTCCGTAAACCTGGGTTATGAGTTTTGCAGATGCTGTTATGTTTGGCCTTGTATATCCCAGCCATGTTAGGCCAAGAATATGGTTAAAATTTTATTACATGCAGTATGATATAAGCAGTATATAAGTCACACACAGCGGCGCTTGAGATGGTGTTGCTAGTTGGAAATCAATGTAGAAGTTAAATACTATAGAATAATCAACTATTTAAAAGTATGTGAAACTTGTGAAAAAATCTAAAAGCGTGTGTGCGTGCGTACATGGGTGCATTTATGCATGAGTGTTTGCTTGTGCTTGTTCATGTATGTGTGGGTGTGTGTGTGTGTATGTGCCTGTCTGCATTTGTGAATACTCCCACATGAGCAGCAGCAGCTTCTTATCTTTGGGTACCAACAAGAGCTTACTTACTCTTATTTATTGTTATCCACAACATACTAGAATGCACAATGCCATCTACATTGTTAAGGAATTGTTTCATATTTCATTACTCATTGAAACAGGAGCAGAACTGTGGGTTAATTTATTTTATCAGTAATGTGTATGTTTATAGATTGCCTGAAGAAGCCTTTACAATACGTTACTACAGTATATACGTACGGTACCTTAAATATCCAAGACCAGTTGATTAACACTAACGACCTTCCTAAGTTGGACTTGGTCAGCTTACTACTACTACTGTACAGTACTCCTGAGGGACATAAAGTAACACTGCTAACAGCTGCTCTTCAGTATACCTGTGATAAGAGGGGAGTTTATACTGATGTGTCACCAAATTGAAGGTTTTCATTGGCTTATCAGATCAATAATTGGTTTGTACTGCAAACCCTCTTTGATATTAATGGTGTAAATAATTGAAGGTTCTATGATTATTGAATCACTTGGATAATTGAGGTATTTGCATAATAATTACAATCCACCAAATAAACTTTTAACCCCTTGAGTATGTTGACAGATCTAACACACTTTGTTTATGACCTGCACATGTTTGTCTCTTCTCAAGGGGTTCACAAGTCCAGCCTCCCTGAGTCAAGTTCCCCACTTTTATGCAGCTCAACTTCAACTGACACCACAAGAGCCATGTGTCACAATTTTGGGTGTCAGAAATTTAAAACCAACCCTTTACTTTATAGATTAGGTGCAGCTTTTCCAATTTGTATTTGTTTTAAGGAATGATACAATTTTCTGTTTTACTCTAGGCTAATTTTTGTACTTTTATTATGGAAAATTATACCAAAATACTTAGAGAACCTTAAAATTGCGCTTTATGCCAGGTTTCAAAAGGGCTCCTTGTCATGTTTCAAAAGGTGTGTTGCCTTGATTCAAAAGAAGTATCTATGTTACTTCTAAACAGTTAATCTTTTTTATTTTCTTGTTTGTGATTGTAGTCATTGATTTAGTTATCTTTTATGTCCTTTTTCTTTAGTGTAGGAAAAACCTTACTTTGATTTTTATAGGATTAATATAAATCTCGGTCATTTACTTCTCCTGAGTTACCGACTACCAAGGAATTACCACTAAGCTGTCCTTCTCACCACCAAGCTGTAATAACCACAGGAGGTCCCTTTTGTCAGATAATTGTTTACATATATACAATATGAGTAACAGCCAGGGCACTGAGCTCACTTGTGTCATTGTTCAATCCATGGTGCTCTCATGTCATTTAATTATTACAGCTATATGATTTGTAAGACCTGTATATGTTTTGATTCCGTAGTGATCATTATTTTTGAGGTCAAACTTCTCATTTTCCTCCTCTGGGTTCTTACGTACCTTCCACTACTCACCCCCTCAAGCCTTGTGTCTATATTTTTCTTGGTGTCAAAATTTCATTACCTCTGTTGTCCCGTATACCAGATTACAACACATTTTCAGCCTCTTATCTGCTTTAATCTTATTGAGAAATTACTGTTTGTAAATTCTCTCAAACCTGAAAGTTCCACCCAAGAAAAAAAAATCAATTACCAGCCGAGCTCTATTAAAATTCAGTCCACATCACAGATATGGATAGAAGATAAATAAAGGCTTAGTTTGGTTAAAGTAAATGGTCTGGTATATAGTGAGTCACGTGTGTATTGCTGCGTCCCCACACCCCGCCCCCAGTATTTGAAGGTTTAAACTCGTATCCTGTGTAAATCATAGACGTGGTTCACAATGTCTTCTGGGTTATGTTCCTTTAACTAGTCGCTGACCAAATTGACTGACTCAACTGATGTCTGGGCCATTACAAATTGTTCCTAGAGCTTTTACCTGAAGATGGGAGAAATTGTGAACTTATCAATAGCGAGTCTGAAAATATTATCGTCAGAACTCATTTCTTTAGAGTTGATGAAGTTTTTATTATTATTATTATTTACATTATATAGGCCATGGTCCCTTTCATCCCCAGCCTCTTTAAATACTCTTTAAGTCTTTCGAACTAAAATTTTGAAAGCAGAATCCCAGATAATCTCTTGGTATAATTCCATATTAATCTATATGTCCTGTTTACATTGAGCCTTGGTTGAGCAAAACACTACTTAGCCCTAAGAATGATTTGTGTAACTTTGCCAATGTTTAACGATATCAGAGAAAAATCTGTATTATATAAACTTGTATGATGAAGAGTATATAGATAGCTTTAATTAAATGTTTTTTTTTGTCTTTCCAAGAATATTTTGGGGGTATACTGATAAAGGACGAAATGCTTTATGGATGAGCCAAGACGTCTTTTCAAAAATTGGATGAAGACAAAGAATTTATTGGGTTATTGCACACCATTCTTAACCATCAATCACACATCATTCATTCTCATTTATACAATTCATATTTAACTTTGCACTTCCAACACAGATGACTAATATACATGGGGTTTTCAGGTCTCTTATAGTTATAAATATACATTAATTTTGCAGTATTTACATCTGTGTATACAATCTCAGAAGACATATAAAATATATTCACGTTATCGTAGTTGCTGAATATTTTCTGTCGGGTTCAAATATTGGGATTTTTTTTTTTGTAACATATTTTACCGCCAAACCTGAATTAATTTGTCAACTGTTTTACGGCCATTATCCCTTAAGTGATTGAGGTGCGGTAATACGTGATTATAAACTTGAAGATGCTGCACCAAAGTTTGTCTGATATATCATTGTGTATCTAAGGTAAAGGTTGCTGTCTGAAGATCACATCTTTTCTCTGTTGGCATCCAGGAATGTCAAGAGGCTCAACTGTATATATTTTATACATGTAATTTTCCTATAAGACTTATTATAACAGTTAACTAATGCACGTTACTTAACAACAACAGAAGGAAGAAGAAATGTATTGATATAACAAGGTGGGAGTATTGAGGATTGGTTTCCAGTTAGAAAAATAACAACTGCCTGGTGGAGTGTAAGATTTAATTCATGATTATTTACTACAATATAGTGGAGGTGGGTGTTTGATGTAATTATTTAATATCAGCCTAAACCAGTTTCCACCTTGATCTCGAGTCTTAAACAAATAATACCTGTTGTAACGACTGTATATTTTATAATTGATTTATATTTAATGATGTGGTTTGATATGAAGATTATTAACTGTATACTGTAGTTGAAAATTATGAGACGGGTTGTGTGTAGTATTGGACGTTTGTGGTTGAAATACAGTCCTCCAACTTTATTATTCTGTTGACTGGAAATTTGTATTCCTCAATGTGTGTGATATTTCAGACAGAAAACCAATCATTGCTCTGAAAACATCACTTTGGGTTAAATCAGAGATGAAAGAAAAATGTAACCATGAAATATATGTTAACCATTTGAGCCAGAAACATTAAATGGATGTGGAGATATTGACCTGACTCACTCATTAATGTGAGCATATACTGTACACAGAAACACACATGAGTATACACAACAAGGCTGTAAAAAAGTGCTGAACGTTTATCGCTTTTATGTGATGCATCTCCGTACGTAACGTTTTACGAGAGATGTGTGAATAATAACTATCATTCGGTGGTCTTGATTTTCCCGCACGTTTCTTGTAAACATTGGCATGATCACTCAGTTTGGGTTTTACAGCTTATATCACCTTGAATAATCCTTCCCCACACTCGACCTCCAGTTCAAGACCTTATTAATGTGATCGTCATCAGTGTAACAAATAGATTTACTACGAGTTCCATATAAGAAAAAAATCGATTAGTGAACGATAAAGAAATAACAGAATGGTGAGCACGAGACAACATTGTGTACGTAGAATGGATTAAAAACATTACACTAATAAAGACTTCTCACTTGACTTACTGTCGTTTGTTATAGGGGAATATTATCAGGGGAAAACATAATTTCTCTGGGGTATAAAGTATAGGTAAATGGTCAAGGTCGGGTAGAGTTATCTGGTCATTGGTAGTCTCGATCGGTCATATCAAAACACTTTTAATTCATTTACCGATGCTTCTCACGTGGAAGGTTGCTAGTTACCCAAAGGAGAGATGATTATATCGCCGTAGCTTTAACACGTTCAAACTACCGACGAGACGTAGTACTGAAATGTGAAATAGGAAGTCCATGTTTATGTTAGTTTGGGCTTTGATGATCCTTTACTTGTGCACTCTTGACCATGAAGTAATTATTGGTTATTATTATGTTGTAGAATTATTGAGGTTTTGATTGGTTATAAGAAGAAAGTTACTTTACTACTGTCATAGAAGGAATATATAGGGTAAATTATCTTGCAGTGAAACCTCTATATAACGGACATTTATTGGCATATAATCCGTTAAGTGGAGGGTTTCGCGTCAAATGGACCCTCGATATAATGGACTTTCATCTCAATATAGTTCATCAGATGGAGGTTTCACATATAACGAACCCTAGATATAGCGGAATTTCCTCTCCATATAGACCATTAAAGAGAGGTCTCACTGTGGTATAATCACCTGTTGTCAAGGTTCAGAAGGCCTCAGTCAGTCGGTAAAGGGTTTATGTTCTTGGGTTTTTATGTTTGAGTTCCTGCACAAATTCTAAACTTTTTATTTCTACTGAGTGTTTTTTTTTTACACATACCTTAATTTTTTTTGTGTGTGTTTCCCCATAAGAATGATTTGATGAATAATGATAGGACCATGATATGATTATATGTAATGATAGGACCATACCATATGTCACTGCCTTTGCTTAGATGAGAACCAAAAAATCATTGCGCTTTTCCTGCATACACCTGTTGAAGGTAACGATAAAGTCTCCCTCTTAAATGGTGATGTAGATAAAGAAAAGAGACAACTTTATTACATTGGGTCTTCTGATACTCAGCTGGCGACTATGAATTCTTCACCGGACTTATTTTCCTAGAGTATATTTTCACATTTAAGCAAACCTTTTATGTGCTTTTAGGTCATATTGCAGCTTCTCTTACTTTAAATTAGCCAGATAACATGTGTGTCTTTCAGCAGAACATGCTTCAAAATATACAAACTCACACAAATACATATAAATATATATATATACTATATATATTTATTAATATATATAGGAATTATAGGCATCTTTTGCCATGTTACTGAGACTTCCACATTATTATGTTGAAAGCTTAATGTTAGTCTGGTAGAGTTAAGGACTTTAAGATGTGCCTCTAGAAACTTTTGTAATGTAAATCAACAGAAAACAAACAGTGTGTGGTCTAGATTTTTGTGATTACAACACATTACCACATTTTAACAAAATTTAAGCTTTATTTGTTTCTTTATATCTGTAGTGTATGTAGGTTCATTAGACCAATACATAGAGTGTTAAACCTTCCTGTAGACTACATTATGCAGCTCTGATGACTACAGGACTCTGGTTTATAGACTGATATTTTGTTGCAGAGAATAAATGTGCATATAGAAGTGTAATATTTCACTGACTGTGGCACACTCAGTGATTTGGGCTTGTGTGTTGTTGTTATGTGGTAGTCCATCCAGAGTGTGGTACTGTCAACCAAATATTCCAATCATTCCTGAAGGTGGATGGCTACAGGTGCCACTCAGATACGCACCGTAGTTTGTATAGGTAACAAGTCATCCATGACAAAGAGCTTGATGACATTATACAAGTACTGTATTGCCGAGTACTTACCCCCGTGGGATATTATCAGGTTTACCATGAATGATCACTACAAGGACACTGAATCACTGATGGCGCTGCATAATTCTAGGAGCAACTTCTTCATAACTTAAAAAAAAATGAATGTATCAATTGCTTCTCATATTTTTAATTTTAAAGTGATATGTGTATGCTAATTTTTTGCCGATTCTTTGTGTCTTCATATTAAAGGATGGTTAGTATGTTTGAAACAATTAGGAGAAATATAGTTAGCTTGTTAATTCTTATGCTGTGTCCTTTGATAATTTTATAAACTTAGATATATGGGACTTCATGTCACGTCTCGAGGAATGATGAGGTTAATGTTATTGTTGTAAAGTCAAATACAGTTTCTCATCATGTTCTGAAGGACAAATGATCCTCTTTTGTTTTGTTTTTTGAGTTTTTTGGTTATTTAAGCATCTAGTCACTAGCTGAAGACAGTGTCCAAATGTGAGGAATGGTGATTTTTTTTTATTATTTACAGATACAAAATACAATACCTGGTAGTTTGATAAAAATACTACAGAGAAAAAGAGAAAGTTAAATAGAACTACTTTCATTTCCTACTTTGATTTAATGTACTTTTTATACGAATGCAAAATATATTTTGATGAAAATACAGAGATAAAGTTGAATAGAAGGAATTAATTCATATCCTAGTTTTGAGTTATGAATTATTTTTTGTAATTTGTGAATAATATTAGTAAGTGCCACAGAGAAATTATCATTGAAGTTTGTTATTTCTTCTCATGATAATCACTCAATTATTACAGTCAGATGACTTTTAGGAGATGACGCAAGTTAGTCATTAATAAGAGATCAGAATAAGGCGCTGTTGTCAAAATCTCCGGTCACAAAAAAGATCTTGTTTTTTACGAATTTTGGTTATATTTTTGCATACTTTTTTATTATTGCTATTGTACTAAATTGTTAAAGTATTTTCTCTACATACCTTACTATTATTATTATTTTTTTTTTTTTTTAATATTTTTTTTTTTATCAGAGTAAAATTGATTGAAAATAAACCTATGTAGGATTCAACCACCAACAAACTGCTCCTTATTTCTGAAACTGGTTAAGATAATCAGTCCAGTAGCAGGTAATAATGTAGTAAATATCCAGATTAGTAAAAGTGAAGTGAAATTTATTAAGACAAACAAACAATGTAATACAGGTGTGTGAACAATAAAAGGACAACTCTTGTGTTAGGTTTGTGAGCAATGAACCGGTACAGTGGAGTGGTCCTCGACAGCTGCTCTCTCTCTTGAACCATAAATAATGCACATTTTACATTGTACTTAAAAGTGTATACAGTATATATAAATTACCTGTATACAGGAATTTCCTAAAACTGAGCATCAAATATCTTTCGAGTCAACCTTTTGTCTCTTTATTCATCTTATATTATGTACATTTTTAGGTGGCTACTATGCAGACAATGATTTACCTAGTATATTATATTAAAAATTTGACTTTGCTAGACTAATGCTGTATGTTGGTTACCACAGAATACCTCTCTAGTTAATATATCAAGAATTAAAAGTAGAAAATCCAGTTTGTAGAATGAAATGATCAAGAGATTTGCTTTGGATACTTGAGATGGTCAATGGGTTAAATGTCGAAGGAAGACTTTATGATTGGCCGCGTCTCGAGTCCTAGAGAGAATAAAACAAGAAAGATACAGGTACGGTGGATAGATTTGGAGACAATATCAAATATATATATGTAGGTAAATATTCATATGGTTAGTAAAACTGATGAGGGTAATTCTGTTTGGTGCAGCTAATAACACATCCATACAGATCAAATTTATTACTTTTATTTGCTAAGTATACACCGGCTTCCCTTTTATGTGAACTTTTTATATAATGTGTCTTATGTAGAGCTGAAAATCTGCCCTCGATGATATGAAGCATAAAAATTATATACAGTCATCTATAAAACTCCTGTCACCTCTCGTGAACCATGAACCCCGAGATTCAGACTCGTGAATCCAAAGGTTTGGGTTCACAAGTCCGAGTCTCTGGGTTCGTGGTTCAGGAGAGGCGACGGGACTTGGTGGGTGACTGTACCTGCATGACATCTGCCGTTTCCCTCCTATCATGTGCTTTGTTATGAGTGACTTTATAATTTTTCATAGGACATTACAGTGCAGTACTCAGAAGTGTTGTATACATGATTAGGAGATGTTTTTACTAGCCATAAGTACAAGGTTTGTTATACAGTACAGTATCAGTAGAAACTGATTTGTTGGCTCATCTCAAGAATCTTCACCCCAGTTTATTTTACCCAAAGATTAATCACCCTGATTCTAACCTAACCTGACTTAACCTAAATTAACTTATCCTATACAGTACACTCCTAACCTTACCCCCCATCCCATTAGTGTCAGGGCGGTTAATGTAAAGGTGAAATAAGCTGAGGTGGAGATTCTTGAGGTGATCCACTTTGTTTACATTTTGATTGTAGAGATGAACGGTCTGCAGCTCAAAACATGAGAGTAAACTTGTCCATTACCACAAGCCACTGCAGCTACAATGTAATCTGTCATTAAAAATGTGCTAAAACAAAATAGTTATCTAAGCTACAAAATGTTTGTTACTTTTTCAGATTTTGTAATAATTTGTGTCCTGCAGTCAAGCTTAGTGTTTTACTCCTGTTAAATGGTAAGCTTCCATCTTCTTTGGAAAGAGATATGCTGTGTGAGCATAATTATCACTTGTGTTCCCCTGTACGTACGTGATTTTTTCCCCGATAATTCTGAAGCTTCCCGAGTAATAACGATGAACCTTAACCAGATACAGTACAGTATAAATTCTGTTGTGTTTCTTAAGTAGGATCAAGGAAGATGTAAGTAATCATAACAGGAAGTGCTGGGTTGTTTTTTACACCAGCAGTGACATGCTTCTGTTACACTCTGTGTACTCCCTAATATTTAGGGCTGTTTGTAAATTTAAAATGGATAAATCAATTGAATTTTAGTTTTCATAATGAAAATAAACTTTATTTTTGAGTAAAGTTGTGTATTAATATGTTGATTAAGGTTATTGCATCTTCCTTGTTTTTGTAAGTGTCTTTGTGATGCACAAATTATAAGATAAATTTCCTTCTGTGTTTTTTGTCTCAACATTTTGTATCACAAACTACCCATGGACAGCTAACATGACTTTCAATAAACAATATATGACACACTCTTGTCTTTTAAACCTTTTATTACCTGTACTGTACTGGGCAGTGTTAGTGCCTTAACCAAGTCAGCAAGATTCAACTCCCAGCTGAATCCTGTAGCCAGACAGTACAGTACAGTATTGTTGTCTATGTCATCTACAGAACTACTCTGTATAATACCTCAGACTGTGGCCAAATTGTATTTTGACCAGGTGGTTGCCATCATACAAACCTGTAGAGGGATATGTAAAGGATATTGTAATAGCAATAGTTGATCAGAATTGAAAGGAAGATTGTGTGATCTCAGGGAATCTGTATACAGTATGTTTATGTAACCTCAATGTATAAATTAACTGTACAATGATATAAATTCTTTGTTAGATCATTACAGAAAAGATGTAATACTTTATGTAAGTGTTCCTGTACTGTATATACAAAAATATGGGTGATAAACCACTAAATGTAGTTAGCTTTGGTGAAGTAACTTTCTATAAACAGTTTGGTTCCTGTAGCTTATGTTATACTGTATGAAGACAAAATATGTCAGCTGTTGATGTACTGTATGTATGCTCTGTTAACTGCAACGAAAAAGGAAAACACAAATTTCCCAAGCACCTTTAGCCTCTGGTCGCCCTCAAAGATGTGAAATACCCGAAAGCACTTGGGAATTTTTGTATTTTCTTTCTCTGTGGCTATCAACATATACATGGATCATACACACACCTACAATAATTTATTTGCATGTATGTATGGTTGTATGAGTTTAAACAATCATGCACTCAAATGATGCGAGTACAGTAGTTCAGTGCTGAGACTAATGACAATGGGGTCATCAAAAGTTATGCATAGTTAGTACTGTGTCTAATTCCTTTGTTTATTTTATACTTACAGTTGTGCTAGTGACAAGGGAAGTATTTTAGTCAGGAATATAAGAGTTACTGCCAAGTGTACCAAGAAATACTGCATGCAGATCAGTGGCTTCACCAAGTATAGAGAATGCAGACACTTCTCACTGCCTTCCAATGAGGTTTGACCCTTTTGTAAGACAGAAAGTAGCTGTAGTAGCCATCATCAGTAGTAGTTAGCTGTAGGGACGGTATACCTGCACTCTCTAGGTACATTGTTTGTATACCTGCACTCTCTAGGTACATTGTTTGTATACCTGCACTCTCTAGGTACATTGGTTGTATACCTGCACTCTCTAGGTACATTGTTTGTATACCTGCACTCTCTAGGTACATTGTTTGTATACCTGCACTCTCTAGGTACATTGGTTGTATACCTGCACTCTCTAGGTACATTGGTTGTATACCTGCACTCTCTAGGTACATTAATGTTTATCCTTTCTTCGTTTATATTTGTGAATTCTTTCCCATTGTATACCTTGCATTCCCCATTATCAATCCTCTTACAGAACATATTTTTATCACTATCTTTCCAGCCACTTCCTATTTCCCTATACAGTCATTCCTATAATCTCTTTCAAATCCCTATTAACTCTTGTCTTTAAATCTGAAGCAATTTTTCCCTCTCTCATAGTGGGATTTTCAGAGGTGAGTCAAAACAAACTTCATTTCTATCATAATTTATTTACCTCTTCTTTCAAACTTAAAAATATATTCACCTTAACACCGAACAATATATTTGGTAGTTAGTATGATTAACTAACAACCAAAAGTATGATATAAGTATGAAGGTTGAGTTTATTCAGGGTGATCAGGTTGTCTTGTAGGTGCCTGAGACTTGGAGTGGTCGTGGGAGGGAGGAGGTTGTGTGCTGGTCATTGGGTGAAGAGTGAAGGTCTCCAGGGTGGTCATCTTCCCTTCCTCTACGATGGTATATACGCCAGTCTGGAAAAGAAGAAATCGGTGAATGGCGAGAGAATACTGTATACCGTTATATAATCTCATGTACACTTACAGACACACACATGGACAGTTACACACATCCACAGTATACACACAAAAACAAGGGAAATCTTGAGATCTTTTACTTCAGGAAACATTTTTAATAACTTTACCTTCCAATATTAAATCCAGTTTATAAATTTCAAAGAATACGTTGAAAAAATAGACATGAATGATGCACGACAAGAGTATAATGCGAAAAGAAATTACTGTACTGTACTAACAAAAGTATGATGTATGTTGAGTATGTCAGTACTGTGCTTACCTTTTCGGGAAGAATGAGAGCTGTGTCGGGGAGAAGAGAGGCACTTGGGAGGATAATGTTAGATTCAACAGGGTCCGAAACCCCTCCAGTGGAATCATGATGACTTCCCTCGACCGTCATGGGAACGCTCGCACCGATAGTTCCCGTTGGACCTGACGACCGTAGGGTATTTGAAGTTGCGTTTATGTTCACCGATGAGCTCGACGATATTGACGTTTCTAACTGATCAAGCTGAAAGGAATTTTATATACGAGTAATGGGATCCCTGGGTAGCATTTTTTAAGGTCAGCATTAAGGACACGCATAAGACACCTGCGATACCTCTATACTGTACTAATTTCCTCCACAGTTTTAAAGTTACATCAAATAATACCAATACACCATATAAACCACCACAACTATTTGGTATTCATGGTAACTAATGCAACATGTAACACAGTAGGTTGAAACTCATACCTGTGTGTACTGGGAGGGATTATCGCTGTGGTGTGTTGAGACGGTCGATACGGGACCGAGTACTCCAGCGGTAAGGACGACTTGTTCGGGTGAAAATGGCGTGCATACCATCTGTGTCCTGTTTGCTTGAGACATCAGAAGAGGCGTTGATGACGAGAGATGGGGAGGAAGAGAGAGAAGTGACGACGGTACGGAAGACGAAGGGATGGACGATATAGAAGACGTCTGATGCTGCGACGACGTTATTATGTGAGGGTGAATGACGTAATCTTGATGGCCAGTCCGACTCTCCGAGGATGGAACTGGGTGGGTATTGAGAACTGTCGGCGAGCTGGACAGAACTAGATTATTAGACGAGGACGTGTTACCCAGTGATACGTTGGTGGAGTTGGAATGTGTGTGGCAGAGAGCCATATTGTTTGAGGTAGACTGTGTGTTGGAGAGAACAAGATTACTGGATGAGGGAGTACCTGAAAATACCACAACGCCAGAAGAGGCAGGAGTGCTGGATATACCCGTTGACGAGATGGGCACGCCGGACAGGATGATACTATTCGTGGAAGACACAATATTAGACAGAACGCTCGCGGAAGATATGGATATATTAGATAGCGAGATGGTATCAGAGTGCATGGAGCCACCGCCAGAGGCCGTTGTACTGTGTGAGGACGAGTGTACGGCCAGGGTGATGTTCTCCGAGGTGGGGACACTAGGCACGACGATATTACTGGAAGGAGAAGCATCGGATATGAGGATACTGGACGAAGATACTGGAACGTTTGAAAGGATTATGCTATTAGATGACTCGGGGATACTAGAAATAGCTATACTGTTGACAGGAGAATTAGTAGATGGAAGACCAAGCATATGATTTATTCCTTGTGGAGTATTTTGTTGAGGGACGCCGGATGGTGTTATTATGTCGTCCTTTGAGTCGAATGATGATGATGCAGACTGATTTGTGTTGTGGGTGCGGAGATGAGCGGCCATGTTGTCTTTGCGGGAGAAGCAGCGACTACACTTGGGACAGGAGTAATCCTTCACTCCCGTATGAACCTGAAAAAATACACAATATATAATGAGAACCACATACAAAAGTGGTTAATAATTACGATAATATTAAATAAAGTAATAACGTCAAGAAGATGTAATTACTCGTCAACTTCCAATTATATAGAATTAACCCAGGGATAGGAACTTGACCCTGGCTCTAGAATGTATCCGTACCTGTGTCAATGTTGATTAAGTAATTTAGATATTTTTTATTACTCTACATAACCTTCTCCCATCCATCTCTATCCATACAACAAAATCTACCCAGCTAAAACCATTGAGTGAATAAAAACTTACCTTTGAGTGCCTGGCCAGATCCTTCGGTGCCAGGAATGTTTTATTACAGCACTTGCATGCATATTTAGGATTCCTGGGTGTATGTACAATTTTAATGTGACTTCTTAAGATTGATTCCGTTTTGAAGTCATGTTCACAGTGCCTGTTGGGAAGAAACAAAGAAAATATGCATAAACAAATCTTAATTCAGAATCTAAAATTTTTCAGTCACCAAATACAGTGTATGAGGGTACAGTAATGCCAACATAAAGCAAAAAAGATTCATACAACTCAAATGTTAAAAAATATAAACGAATTCTACAAACATGCCATTTACATCAAACAAAACCTCCTCTGTCAAATTTTCGTTTTTCCACCAATATATCACCACATGAGCATCACTGTTAGTCCTGAATAGCATCTAAACAATACTCCTTCACTTACAGTTGGGTCTTACCATCATGAAAGATCCACACTGTAATTTAGTTTCACTCTGTCTTTTAGCATTTTCTCGATCTTGCTTTAAATTCTCATAAATGATTGATAATTAACACATTTCTCATTAGTCAAGTGTCTTAGTTTAACCTCCCCTTGGCAAAACCCTGTACAGTATATCAGATAGATTAAGGTTCAAGTCACTCACATGCACTTGACCCTCTCCTTGGTAGTGTGGACATGAGCCAGGTGTTGGTCTAGATATGCCTTGGCCTTGAAGAGAGAACCACACTGGGGACACATGTGCTCACAGTCATCCCGGTGAACTGTCCTGATGTGTTTATCTCGGTTGTACTCGTGCTTAAAGGCCTTACCTGTAGGATCATAAATTGTACTTAATTACCAAGGAATAAAACTGATCAATTAGCAATGACTAAAACTTTGATCAATTAGCAGTGAATGAAACTGTTCAATTAGCAGTGAATAAAACTTTGATCAATTAACTAAAACTTTGATCAATTAGCAGTTACTAAAATTGACAAAATTCAAAAGTACTTACCACAAATGTCACATAAGTACTTTCTCTCATTAGTGTGTACTGCCTGGTGGAGCTGGAGTTCTGAAGGGGTCAGGAAATGGCGAGGACAGACTGTACACTTAAATTTCATATCTGTATAAAAAAAAATATTACATCTTAAAATATTATAAATTTAAATATAAAATAACATGACTATAATCATTTCTTACAATACAGCTAAGACTCAACACATCTTAGACTCAACACACCTTAGACTCAACACACCTTAGACTCAACACACCTGAGACTCAACACACCTTAGACTCAACACACCTGAGACTCAACACATCTTATACTCAACACACCTTAGACTCAACACCTTAGACTCCCCCCAAACAAGACTCACATGTATCCTCGTGGTGAACTGCCTTGTGTTTACGGTAACTCTGCTTCCACTTAAAGGATCGATTACACTGGAGGCATATAAACTTGGCAGCCTCGTGTTTTGTCGTCATATGAAGCTGCAGGTAGTATGGGGTCTTGCAGTCCTTTTCACATATTTTACAGTCATTTCCACTCCCTGGTAAATAAAAAATACAATTACTTCAAATATGAGGTAAAAATAATATATCTAAAGGGTGATTACTTATTAACATTACATTATTAATTATTTGGTTCTAAAAATCTTTATAAAGGTAAGATCAAATTTGAGTTATAATATCTATCAATATCTGGTAAGTTATCTCCTGTTATATGCTTCTGTAACTTGTATAAAATGTGTTCTAATTAATCCTATCTCAATGTTATATTAATCAGGTTATGTATATTTTATAATGATAAGAAAAGCTGATAACTGAGATTCTAGACAAAGGTTGAATGGATGAATCTGACAAATTTTCTGTACTCTGACAAGCTTCTGTACTCTGACAAAGCTTCTGTACTCTGACAAAGCTTCTGTACTCTAACATAAACAGACATGTTAGCACTTAACTTACCTCCTTCCTTATGAACAGACTTATGGACCCTCAGAGATTCATCGTGCCGAAATTCTTTACCGCAAACATTGCAGGAATATATCTTATTTTGGTGAGTCCTGAGGTGACGTTTCATAGTGCGCTGCGTCTTGAAGACCTTCCCGCACTGGGGGCACGGCTCGTTGATGGGGCAGTGAGTCTGAATGTGTGCGTCTAATCCGCTCTTCTCGACGAAACATTTGGTGCAAAAAGTACACTGAAAAAAAAAAGTGAGTAAATTTACTTAGTTTCTTTTATAATTGTATATCTTATTATATCTATCTATCTATCTATCTATCTTTTATGTTTTTGTTTATCTATCTATTTAACTGTTTAGTTTTCCTCATTACCTACCTACCTACCTCTCACTTTACCTCTTCTACCACTACTCAAGCCAATGCAAATAACATCTAATCTATCATCTAACCTTCCTTTTAATCCCAGGTACAACACAGATCATTCTTTATCATGCCAATGTAGTGTCATAAGGCATCTCCATTTACCTTAACTTCATTACTCACTCTCTTCACTTCTCACATCTCTTGACTCGGAAACTCACCCTGAATGACCTATTGCCGCGATGGTAGTTGAGATGTCTGAGGAAACGACTGCGACGGAGGAAGGTTTTGCCGCAGTAGGGACATCCGCGTTCGCCGTACGAGTGAAAGTCGTCATCTTTTCCCAGCCCGGCTTTTGAGTCTCTGAAATAGGAGGTAAGAGGACTGTTACAAGAGGGAGGGGTGTTTTAAGTAAGAGCTGAGGACTGAATCAAGAGGAAGAGGTATTTTAGCAAGTTTTTATAATGCTATCCTCTCACTAGCCATTCACTAAATCACCATAGACAAAGGACACTTCAATTTGGTATAGATTTATATACAGGTAACAATATTTTACCTTTCCTTACCTTACCTTACCTTACCTTACCTTATACCTTGCCTTTCCTTACCTTACCTTATTCAACATTCTCTTAACTTACCTCACCTAACATATCTCTCTCACTTTGTAATGCAAACCCAAACCTACACCAACTGACTCTATAACACAACACTGTATTAACATCATACTCCATCTATCTTCCTCTGTCTCTTACTTAAAATCAGGGTCATCGGGATCCACTCCATCTCCCTTTTTATATCGGACATCTTGCGGCTGTTCCTCCTCCTCCTCTTGTTCTGCTCCCTCTGGTTGTGGTTCGAACTCCACCTCCGTCTTCACAGCGATGGTTGTAGTCATGGAGTGTTTTGTCTTCATGTGCTGTTTGTAAACCTCGTAGCTGAGAAAGTCTTTCCTACGACCCGGAGTAAATTAGAATGAGTTTATTTTTTGGGGAGAGGTAATATTAACATTCTCGATAATTCATGTGTTAATGATAGTTTTTTAATAACATCATCATCGATAATTCATGGACTGATTATTTTTTTAGCCATAAGCATATCATCAGTAATTCACGAGTTAAATGAATTTTTTATGTAGTAATAAGAACATCAACAAAAATTCATAAGTGGTTTTAACACAGTGACAGGGAGCAAGAAGTAAGAAGGCTTTGTATAGTGTTTGGAGGGAACAGAGAGGAGATTGAGGTATAGGTTAGGTTAGATGGTAGCTCTCTTAATGCCCAACTTAGGATGATGATAATGGTGACAACAAAGCCAGAATTTACCACTACACTACCTGCATGCCAGACACCGAGCTTGTTGATTGCAATGAACCGTCGATATATGGAACTCATATTTGGTCTTGCTCCTTCCTTGCCAGCCACAAACATAACACGTAAACGTGTGTCCTTCCTCCATGTGGCGGTCGCGGCTCGCCTTGGTCCTGTGTAAAGTATGTGACATATTTATTCACCCTTAAACAGACAAAAGAAGTGATTTATATAATAGAGAAAGTGTTTAATAAAGGTTCCAAGTTCAGAAAATGACCCAGACATCACAACTATTGAAATAAAAAGGTAATTCTGGTCCACACACTAAATGTAATTACTGTACAAGGTGTCGTAAAAATATATACAGTATACAACACACATCAATAAATGAGAACAATGCTGCTGTTTTAAGTATTCACACAATCACCACAAAAATCTGTAAGTCAGTGTTTATGGGTTTTTTTAGAGACACGATATATATGTTTTAATTCAGCACACAACTCTTGACTAATGTCACTTTAAATAACTGTTGCTTTAATATGATAAAAAACAAACCTGAACATGGCATCACAGCTGTTACACTCCCAGAATGAACTATTTGTTTCTCCCTTTATAACTTTCCGTCTCTTTCTGTTACTCGGCTCGTCCACGTACAGCTGTTGATTCTGGAGGTACGACACAAATGAGAAGTTATCTTACACTAATGTTAAAATCTACTGTATGTTATCAAGTTTACCGCCACCATAATAACTCTGTGTGTTCAGTGGTACCTGGGATAAGCTGTGTGTTTGAAAATTATATATTGTAGTGTACTGTCCTGTAATATGTGACAGTAAATGTATGTTTTAGATGCACTCGGTTTCGTTATCAGGGCATATTGTTGGAGGGGAAGATGATGTCAAGACTGGTCCAGTGGTCCAAGGCCCAGGGCCATCCACTTCCCATGATCAGGTAGTCATTATGTGTTCCTTTAGGGTCGCCTTAGACAGTCAGTTCCAAGAAACAGTAGAGCTAAAATTTAAAACATCATTCCATCAACCTTTAATTGGTAAGTCCAGTACACAGTTGTTTATTATTATTTTTGTTAATGTTTTAATGGAAATCACATCTTCCTTTCTTCCTTTGCTTCTTTACAGGTTTTCCTTGAGATAAATTAATACATAAAATAAAACCTTATTATTTTGCTTAATGATCCAACTGGTTTCACTACTATTATCATACAGTCACTATACCAAGTGTTCCTACAACAGTCATACAACTTCTGCGTGTAGCTACATCACTTGAAAATATATACAGTATACTGGAATAAGGATTTGTCTCATAGAGTTTGTGTGTGTGTGAGACTATACTGTTTAAGAGACACAAAAGCTCTGTTAAATTGATTCTGGTCCCTCAACTAATGAACAATAGCCCAGTACAGGTAAAGCAATGTATAATACAGTGTTGCCTCTTATAAAAATTATTTAGGTTTCATATAACTAATCCATTGAGAGTGTAGTGTAAATATCACAGTCAACATTTATCGAGTAATAAACCTACTTTATTGGGTATTTTTTTTGTTTTTCGTATCCGTGATGATCGCCGTAACTTCCCTTGATCTAACACTTGGTCCCCAGCTCCATTATCGTCATCCCAACCTCTAGTCATGAAGTTAGTTGACTCTAGGGTTATTGTGGGCAGGTTTTCATGATGCTTTTCATTTTCCACTATAGTTCCTGCCTCAGTCGCTTCTTCAATTTCCTCCGTAAACAACTTTTTAAAAGAATTTGTATTACCGGTAGTTTGAAGGTTTGACGGAAAATAATTTGGAATGTCACTTCGCACTTCACACCATTTTGTATAAGCAGCGGAGTAACTGGCCGAGTTTGCATCATTCAACTGCTTTTTGTGGTCCTCTAAAGTCCTCGGTAATGTGTCTTTATTGCTGATGGCTAATGGGTCAGATTCTGTGGTATCAACTGTGTATATTTGATGATCACTTACTTTGCTGATTTCTGATTTCCCCAAACTCGATGACATAACGTATTCTTTTGCATCTTTTTCTAACCAGGCATTTTTTATTTGAGCATTTGGAGCCTGGATAGTTATGACACTACAGTCTGAATATGGTGCACTTTCCCTTGAGTTTTCTTGTCTTGGATGTAAATATTCCTTATCAACTGATGGAGAACTCTGTACATTATTCCTTTCTTCTGCTTTAAAGTGAAAAGATTTTGATCTGTCACTTAACTCAGGTTGTTCCTCTAAGGGAAGAGATACATATTCTTCATTAAACACTTCACTGGTGGCTATGGCTAAGGCATCAGGTGGTGTTGTAACAGAGGAAGAGAACTGTAAAGAAGCCTGTGGAGGGGATATTGTCAGTACCTGTTCCTCCTGCAGTACATCACTTGACTGTAGTACTTCTTCAGCACTCAGCACCTCTTCTGCAATAATATATCCCCCTGTTGCACCGTTGAGAGCCTGCGGCAAGATGTAAGTTTTTCCGTCGCTCGTGAGCAGCGTCACAGCTCCTCCAGCTCCCAGTTCACTTTCTATTACACCATTTCTTCCATCTCTCCGCTCATCAACTTCACATCCTTTTCTCCTCGTTCCTCCTCGTCCTCTGCTTTCTGGATTGACTAACGAGGCAGATGTTATCTGAATTACCTGGCCATCAAAGAGCTGAACGTGTATTTGATCAGTAGATGATAAACTCTCAACACCAGCAGGTATTGTAGCCAAGACTGTATGTGTATTAACAGTTGTATCTACAGCATCCAAATGTTCACTTCTGAGGGAGAGTAATTCCCCTTTAGTCTCCAATTCTTCTGTTGTTTTATGATCATCTGAACCCTGAAGTGTAAGAGAACAAGGCTTCTCTTTGTCCTCCATAACTTGAGTGTGTGTTAGTCCACTCTGACTCCTCTCACTTCCTCATATCACCGGCAGCATTCTGTAATGAAAAAGCCGTATGAAAAACTTATTATATATAAGATTTCAGTTACCAGTGTAATATTGGAGAGAAAAGTATATCTCAAATATATTCAGTCTAAAAAGTAGTTGTGAAAAGTGAAAGCATGACTGACGTTAAGACTTAGTTATACAGTACCTTCGTGTTACCATAGCTATTAAAAACAGATATAAGAAACCACAGTTGCCATTCAAGGTTGGGTTAGGTTAGAATTAGGGTGGTTAATCTTCAGGTGAAATAAATTGGGTGTGGAAATTACAAGAACTATATTGCCTAACAGTTGAGGATTACTGGATTTCCACCTCATGATCACCATATTATCTTGTATGAGTTGAGTTATTACTTTAGTTTATGAGCTATCTATCAGGGAGTCAATTAGCCAGTTAATGAGAGTACTTCAGTGTATGTCTAAACTAAGTCCATCACCAAGTCATCTTTTTTGGTTGACATTGAGAATATGGATCAAATCTCTCGGTGGACCAAAATGTCTCTATGGCACATATATCTCTGGACCAAACGTCTCTATGGACCAAATGTCTCAGTGGACCAAAACGTCTCTATGGACCAAACTGGCCTCTAGCTTGCCACACCTTCAGTGATATGTACACTATGGTGGCTTTTACAATATATATGATGATTCATTTGTATATGAATAACACTAAATTATTCAACAAGTGAGTGTAGACACGTGAGGTCATTTATTGTCATGAGGGAGAGAGTGAAATAAACACTGCCCTCGGGTCAGGTCATCCCATCCGGGCTTTTGTTTACATCCAACATGGCGAGCACAGTCGTAACACACGGGCCGCGGTCACCCTTCATCACCACAAAACACGATATTTATGACCGTAATCATCATCATAGTCGGTTATATATGATAAATGAGGATATATTATAATTATGTATGTTTTTTGAGGTTCAATCAAGGTTATGGAGGTAACATACTTGTTAAAATTGTGGAGAACGTAACACTTCCTTACTGGCCTTGATGCTGTGCAAGAGTTCATTACAAGATACAAAAAAAAAACTCACTTTATGTGTGTATAGAATTATTTTAAAACAAACTATATTGAATTATTTAAAGTACTGGATGATTTTACTTCATTTAATTAGAAAGCTGTTTATTATAGTATTTCTGAATTTAGTGAAATTTAGCGCGGGCATTTCAAAATTGATGTTTGCGTCACCTCGCACCCTCATCACGGCCCAGAAGGAAATAAGCTTTTAACAGCTTCATTTGGCTATTATTCCTTAATAAAACTTACTATTGTGTGTATACCTGTACTGCCCATGTACATTCTGCGCCAACATGAATTTGTATGGCGACTTTACTGAAAGTATATCGAGCGAGTTTCTGACCACATTTGATCTCGTTTTTCACAAAGAATTCCCAACTAGATTAATAAATTTGACTCATCTACATATTCCAAAATACGATCACTGATGATTAACTAGTTGCATGTTGACTGATTAGCAGAAATAAACTTTGAACTATTTATTATTAATTTTTGTTGGCGGGTTAGTATAAATAAACTTTATGCTTAGTTTTATTATATTGTTCTATATAATTTAAATGGAGATACAAGGTAGTGAGTTACGTTAGGATAGGAGGAGGACTTCGATATCACTCATTATTATTATTATTATGATTGTTATTACTCTTAAAATCGTTCAGTTTCCTTTGACCTGTGGCGTAATTTCTTCCTCTAATCCGTAAAACGGATGTGAGATGTACTGCACCAATAGAACGTTTCAGTGAATGTTCGGAGTTATAAACGTTCTCTAATAGCGGGATGGTTCAGTCATATCCTCCCCTGGTGACGTCCCTGTGTACAAAGGCCGAATTATTATACCACTAACTTAATCTAACGTAACCTAACCTAATCTGACCTGACATAACCTAACCTGACCTAACTTAACATTACGTAAACAAATTGGAATTTAACTTCAACGAAATGAATCGACTTAGGATTTTAGAATAGAAACTATCTCCAATAGCCTGTTAAATAATTATATCACAACAAATAGCTTACTACTAACTAGTAAAATAGTGACGATATAACTGCATTTATTATTGAGAAACTTATAAAGATTATTAAATAAATACTACTCTTAGATGTTGGAGATCTTAGGCAGGAAGTGTGTCAACGTTCAGCTGCTGGGCGGATGTTGTGCTGTGATAGTCACTTACATGATACATCACACTACGCTAAGCCAGAGTTCTAAAAAGCGTCAAGTGTTCATTCCGAGAAGGTAATGTTAATATTTGGCTGGGGGTTACATGTACCTACTCTGGGGAGGTCGGTTATAGTCCAGATTCTCAGTTTCTTAAAATTGTACCAAACTATTAAAAAAATAAACAATGATATAAAACGAATGGTATAAAACTACACTCGGACTCAACATTAACTAGATACATTCACTGAACATTAGGTGAAGTTAAAATGCAGGATTTTTCTCCGTGTTTATATTTGAGGAGTCAGATTTATCCACGGTGGGGAGGTCGGGCAGGTGAGCTGTACTAAATGGGTGCTCACTGCCTCCCACAGCCTCGACCGTCCCCTGGGTGATGGTGACGGCTCCTGACATAAATCATTCCTTTGAGATTGAATCAGTTTATTTAGCCAGCTTACTGCAGGTACAAAGTGAGTAATAACAATATTATCATGGGTGCTGTAGAACTTTACCCCGGACGTAAGCTGTGAGATTGCATATAACGAAGTAACTAAAGCAATTACAGACAAAATGAACAATTGGTTGGAAAAAAAAACAACAATTAAGAAAAAACACGATAACCTGAGCAGGGTAAAAGACTTCGGCACCACCCAGGAGAAGAATAATTAACCCCGCACCTCCCGCTCTCCAGGGGACACCAGCCTATTTTTTACCCGCCGCAAATACCACCACACCACTTCCGTACTGAGAAAAATTTACTCACTAGGCTTTTCCTTTTAAATGGAGACGTAGGAATGTGTCTAAATTGTTCACTTATGGAACCATTTCAGGGATTTAAAACACGTATGATTCTGTGTGTGTGTAAATAAACGAAATAAATATTAGTGGTCTCAAAGGTCAGCGTTCAGTGATCTTTGAACTTGTAAGATGACCCAAGTTGTATCTGACAGATAACATTACTGACTTATACTTGTATCTGTAACACTGGCTAAATAATCCTTTAATTTCAGTCGACACAGCACTGATTTAAACTTCTGAACTGACTTCTTGAGGTCTTACGATAAAATAGTTCAAATAATTACCTTTCGATGTCTCTGAATAAAGATAGAGTCGCCTATGAGCACAGATAATAAGGCTGTATTATTATGATATAAAACCTGATTATGGCCACAATTAATTATAATTATATAAGTTAGAATTATTATAAAATATATTAAACAAGTGGCCCGGACTTAGCAGATATTTGTCGTTAATTTCCTCAGAGAATTACAATAGTCGTGTCTGCCAAGTCCAGCTGAATTAGTGTACATTTTCTTGCACGTGGATAAATATGCTCATAGTTTATATAATTATCATAAATTATTAGACAAATTTGGTTTAATTACTGAGAAATATGGCCCCGTTTGTTGAGTCGGGGGTTCAGGGGCTCGGTATTGGGTTCATACCTATCGACATTGGGTATACGGGTTCAGACTCCTCTCAACTTCAGGGGAGTCGGTGTTATGTTCGCGATAGTGTGTATGGCAGTGCTTACGGTGACGGGAGGAATTGAATTAACAGTGACAGAAGGAATTGACAGTGTTATGTGACAGTGACGGTGACAAGTGAAGATGATATGAGTAAATGGCATTGGCAGGAAGAGCTGGCATTGATAGGTGAAGGTGACCGGGAGAGGTAAAGGTGAAAATGACAGGTTGGGTCAGTCGGTCATGTCAGGACTACGGGGTGAAGTTGACGTCTTCGCTGTCAGCTGCATGGCGTCTTCGCTGTCAGCTTCTGCATGACGTCCCGTGTTTACAGGTAAATTACAGCTAATTACTGTTACTTTTACCTTTATTTACCCATGTCAAGATGTTGTTTACTCCTCTATCTGTCTACCCTTTCATCTATCTATGACAGTACTGACATCTGTAAAAGTGCTTGCTACCTCTGAGAGAGGTACCTCTTGTTACATAGTGAGGGTTTTAGCTGCAGCAGTAACAGACGCTGTGTGACGGTAGAGCTAAATGTCTTTATTACGTGGACTGCCTTGAGAGTGTTGACGAATAGCGTTGTGTGATGTATTACTTAACTGCCTGTTTGTCCCAATTAACCTACCCAGGTGTTCTAAGCCATAAGTTGATGTTTTGTTTGGTGATGACACTCATATACTACTGAAGACTGTAGTTGTTTAGGCAACTGACAAAACCTCGAATTGTGCGGCCGGGAGAGAATAGGTTTAGTACAGGAAGAAACCAGCGTACCCAGGAAAACCTGCCGTGGTTGGTAGTTACTGAATAACACCCTCACAGCCGACCCCAAGAACTGAACCTCTGTCCTGCATGGCAGTGAACAGTGACATTACCCAAATGAATCTGACCTCTATACATTTATAGCTGTTAATGAATATGATGTATTTCTTTGTGTATAAACCTCTGTCCTGCGTGGCAGTGAGAAGTGATACCACCCTCAGTGTCAAGACCTCACTGAATTACTCACAATAGGCAAACTGTACTACAAGCTTTGCCAATGAATTTGTTAAACTAAACTAAATGAATCCGGGACGCAGTTGTACTGTATAGGTATTGATATGGCGAGTGATGATAATTAGAAACAAAACTAATAATGGTAGATGATGGTGGTGATAATAATTCTTTAATAATACTAAATGGGGGTATAAAAAACAATAACTTTATGAATTTCATCAATATATGGCATAACAGCTGAACAAAGGAATTTATTAAATACTTAAAATAGTCTTGATTTTTGTATTAAAAATTCTACACATTATCAGTATTATTATTTAAGTGATTATAGTGACCGCAAGTTTTCCTCATTATAAACTAAACAATAATTATTTAAGTGATTATAGTGACCGCAAGCTTTCCTCATTATAATCTAAGTAAACTATTTCTAAGTACACAAGTTAGTAATAACATGAATGATAAATGTCGCTTCCTAAATATAAATAACATCATCTTTAAGTCGCGCGAAGAACAAACGCTCGGAAATAATGCAAAAAATAGCCTATGTTTTCACCACGTTCGAAGGAGGTGAATGGATTTTTTGTACTTTCACTTTAAGAATAAACTTCATCTTCACTTTATTATGTTGTCAAAAATAACAGAGATCGATGAACTAGATAATGCTGAACAAGTAAATATGGCCAAGATTTGATAGGACTCATTTTGTCTCGAGAAGTGTGCTTAAGTGCGTAAGTCACTTGGACCGGAACCAGGTGCGAACGAAGATGGGCTTGGCTCTCCTGGGCGGGCTTATAATATGGGCGACAGGTGGAGGTCTAGCTGAGTTTCAGTACAACTACCGAGCAGCCAACACACTCACACGAGCACCCGCAGCCACAGTCACGTTCCCATCTCCCGCCTCCCACTGACTGATTCAGCACCGCGCATGCGCACAGTGACAACTTTACAGTCTTTCAAAGAAAAATTATCTCCTGTTTTTATTATAATCAGTAACTGAGAATTATTTTTAATAAATCTTCAAATTACATAGTTTATTTTGTATTTCTTAAAGTAATTTCTGATACAAAATGAAGTTCGGAAAGAGTGAGAATATGTATCGGGAATTGCTGGAACGTAGTGGGATGCAGAACAGACAGTCTGACAAAATGGCTTCGAGGGATAGTACGACCGCGTTCTCCGACGACCAATTGGAAGAATTGTGTGAAACATTTAATACGGTAAGTAATTTACTTTAGCCAATACCAATTATGAATATTCCGGCGTTTCAAATATGTGTGTATGAGGACACTATTGCGTGTAATATCATTATTGTTAAACTCGCTAAGTAAATTCGAGCAAGGACCAATGGGCGAGGCTGGAACTTACCATTTGAATTCGAGCAGGTGTGATAAGCGTAGATAACACAGCCGGTCGTGACGCTGATGAAATAAACCACAGCTCGCCAGAAAATGCACTGTCACAATGAATATGACCCACACAAACTAACACTTCAAATAATCCCACAATGGCAGGAGGAGTATTCACAAAAAATGCCGCATCTCTCTAGCCTGACATCTGAAAATTTCGTTCAGGACACATTGTCATCATTGGTAATCGGTGTTAAACTCTACCTGTACGGGATGTATGGAGAGTTTAAGTCATGGTTTAGCCTCTCCGCGTCGCCGTGTCTCTGTTTGAGGGTTTATGTTAGGTGTGGCAGTCTCGTAGGGTGGTATTGGTGAAATCCAGGGACAGGCTTCTTTGAGTGTACTAGAGTAGGAGCCGGATTCAGCCATTTATTCCTTACCAGACGGATACCTTCTTCCCTCCCGGCTGTGTTGAGGTTCACTGTACTGATTTACATTCCATTAAACAGATTAATTTTTACACTAATAATTATATATGTGATGTAATGATGTAATTGTCTAATCTTTAATCAACAAATATTTTATCGACATTTCAGCTTTTCTATTCGCTATTTTCTTCTTCAGCGTTTTATAAAACACAGGGGGGATAGATTTTATAATGACACCAAGCCCTGAATGTTGATGTGTTGGTGAAGAATGGTATGTGTTCCATCCGGGTTGTGTTTTGATCATTGCTTGTACAGGTTTTGACGGCATGAGCTGACAAACGGGGAAATTGAGTGGCGTACAGTGTAGCTATTTCATTGTAACCTGTTAGGATTTATTTCATATATAGGTCTTGGGAATTAAATACAAGAGACAATATACATTTTAATTATATAAATCTTGATGTATATTGCTATCTAAATTTTGAATGGGTGAAATAACTGCCTGTAGTCTAAGTCGGGTGGTTTTCAGTGTCAATTTATACCTTTTCAATTATATTTATACCGTATCTCGGAGCTTCGACCAAGGTAGTGATGTGTAACGAAGAGCCCCACTTAAAACTCGGTGTTGGTGCTCAAAGCTTCGTGCCGTGAATAGATATACGGTACAACATTACTGAGGATTTTAAATGACACCTGAACGGGGTGAATTAAGTTACCAAAAAAATAGTATTAGAGATAGAAAAACTACCATAACCAGATTAGTTTTTCAAAGCACCAGACAATAGTAACTTGGAGAATGTGTATAAATTGTTGTTTTCGGCTATTATTATTATTATTATTATTATTATTATTATTATTATTATTATTATTATTATTATTATTATTATTATTATTATTATTATTGTTGTTATTGTCATTATTTTATTATCAGTGTTATTTGTATAATTATTAGTGTCATTATTTTTATTAGTAATATTATTTGTTATTATTTTATTAACTTAATTATTTCCATTCGTTCATCTGAGTATAGCGGAGTACAGACCTAGCCATCCTCTCTCTTATAAAATCTGAAGCCTTGTCTCATGGGATTTAAACTCGGATGCATGATACAGTTCACTGGCTGTATCTTTTGTCATTTATATACCGGTACAGTGTGGTGGTCCCTGTCTCCATGTAGAGTGTTCAGATAACTGTATCCTTTGTTACAGTCTAGTGCCCGATTTTGTAGTGTTGTGTGGTCCTAGTGTCTGTAATATTTGGTAGTGGTTACATTGGCATTCATATATAAATACATTGCAGTAATTTTTTTATCATATTTTCTACATTGTTGTCGATTCTTAAGCTGTTGAAATCTTCTGGTTAAGCTGTAAATTTTGTATCAGATTTCCTACATTGTTGTGGATTCTTAAGCTGTCGAAATCACCTAACCTGACCAAACTGTTGTGCTGTACGCGTCACATCAAGGCCGGGTCAGAATAGCACACTTGTCCAACACTAAGCTTGAACACTTTACCCTGTCGTGTTGTACAAACTAAAATGGTGATTATGGGATCCAGATAAATCCACTTTTTATTGTCCGGATTTAGCAACGCCAGTTTTATAGACAAGGGTGTTTATTTTTGTATCTATCTTATCTATATCTCTATATGTGTGTGTGTATCTATCTATCTATATATATCTATCTATCTATCTATCTATCTATCTATCTATCTATTTATGTACCTCGGGACAACACTCGCCTGGCTGATATATCCACACCTTCCTCACTACTTATATATCCATCAATCAATCAATCATCCATCAGCCAACCAATCAATCAATCAACCAATCAATCATCAATCAACCAATCTATCTCTATCTATCTATCTGTCTATCTACACTTAGGTATGTACTTACTCAGACGGACTCAAGGGAAAGTCATTTGCCCTTAGAAACTAGTTAAGTCACTAAACAAAGTCAAACAGGAGATTGTGTTGAGTGTATGTTTGTCCAGTCACTCATTAACTCCATAAGGTTTAATTAGTAATTCTTTTATCGGCCTTTGAGTTATACATGGGGATGGGGGGGGGGATCTTCAGGTGATATAAGCTACGGGTGATATATCTACAGGTGACCATTAATTTGTCTTACGATCGTTACATAAATCATGACGGCGTAAGATATCGTCTGGGCTTACAGGGGGTTAGGTCACTCATCTCTGGGAGGACTTTAATAAATGTCACCAGAGTCTGTGTTTATCTGGTCCTGTTGACGACACTTGAGATGATAGACACTTTTCAGATAGAAGTTGGTCAGTGTTGAGAGAGAGGGGGCGGTATGGTAGGAAGGAAGGGAGAGTTTGGTAGGAGGGTGTTGAGCGAGAGGGGGTGAGGGGAGGGGAGGGGGGTACTACCAAGCGTGAGTACTTATGCTTGTGAGCGTCTGTGTGCGTGTTTATTACTCCTTAGGTACGTGTGTGAGTGTGCACGCATGCATTTGTGTATGTATTTATGCATGTATGTTAAATGTATTCATGTATGAGAGAGAGAAAGGGTTTATACATGCCTTAATATCCATGCATGTATGTATTTATGCACATGTGCGTGTGTATTTATGCACATGAGAGTATGTTTATGTACATGAGCGTGTATAAGAGAGGGGTGAGAGGAAGTCGACAGGATATTAACCCTTTAAACACGCCAATCATCACTACAACTCTTGTCAGTAAAACACAAGTATCTCTGACTGGCCGATCCCTCTCACTACTAGGCATAAAGCTCTCGTGAGGGAGGATGAAAGTGATATAAAGATGCGAGTATTATTAGTAGACGGAGCATAATAATACAGTATGGTGGAGCATTATATGAGGTGAAGTATAGTATGGTGGAGCATTGTATGAGGTGAAGTATGGTGGAGCGTAGTGGAGCATTGCCTGAGGTGAAGTATAATATGGTGGAGCATAGTGTTACACTGCAGCATAATACAGTATAGTGGTGGGAGATATTCCTGTATTGGAGCATAATACAGTTGGAATAATACGCGGGAGCCGACGCGGTGTGTTGATGGTAGAGCGAGAGCCACACCCTAGCTGAGAGAGAGCCACACCCTAGCTGAGAGAGAGCCACACCCTAGCTGAGAGAGAGCCACACCCTAGCTAAGAGAGGCCATGCCCTGGCTGAGAGGCCACCCCTGGCTGAGAGAGGCCACCCTGGCTAAGAGGCCACCCTGGCTGAGAGGCCACCCTGGCTGAGAGGCCACTGGCTGGGGGAGAGGGGCCATGCCCTGGCTAAGGAGAGGCCGCACCCTGGCTGAGGGGAGAGGCCGCACCCTGGCCCAGAGGCCACACCCCTGGCTGAGAGAGGCCACCACACCCTGGCCAGAGAGCCATGCCCTGGCTGAGAGAGGGGCCACACCTAGCTGAGAGGGCCACACCCTGGCTGAGGGGGCCATGCCCTGGCTGGGGAAGGCCACACTGGCTGAGGGAGGGGCCCACACCCTGGACTGAGAGAGAGCCACACCCTAGCTGAGGAGAGGGAGCCACACCCTGGCTGAGAGAGAGGCCACCCTGGCTGAGAGAGCCACCCTGGCTGAGGAGAGGCCACACCCAGGCTAAAGAGGCCACACCCCTGGCAGAGAGAGCCACACTGGCAGAGGCCACACACCCCTGGCTGGGGCCTGGCTGAGAGGCCACACCCCTGGCTGAGGAGAGGCCACACTTGCAGCTGAGAGGCCACCCCAGGCTGGGGGGCCACACCCCTGGCTGTGAGAGGAGGCCTGGGGGGCCACCCCTGGCTGAGAGGGCCATGCCTAAGCTGGGGCCACCCTGGCTGGGACACACCTGGCACAGGGAGGGCCACCCTGGCTAAGGGGCCACACCCTGGCTGGGGAATGCCCCTGGCTGGGGAGGCCATACCCTATTTGAGAGGCCACCTAGCTGGGGGGCCGCACCTAGCTAGAGAGAGGCTGCACCCCAGCATGGCTAAGGAGAGGGCCACACCCTGGCTGGGGAGGAGCCCACCCTAAAGCTGAGAGAGGGAGCCATGCCCTGGCTGAGAGGCCACCCTGTGGGGGAGAGGGCCGCACCCCTAGCTGAGAGGCCACACCCCTGGGCAGGGGAGAGGCCATGCCCTGGCTGGGGAGGCCACCTGGCTGAGAGGAGGCCACACCCTGGCTGGGAGAGGTGCACACCCTGGCTGGGGAGGGCCACTGCCTGGTGGGGAGGCCAGCACCCTGGCTGGGGAGGGCCACACCCTGGCTGGAGGGGCCACACCCAGGCTGGAGGGGGCCACACCCTGGCTGGGAGGCCACCCTGGCTGGAGGGCCACCCTGGCTGGGGAGAGGGCCATGCCCTAATGGAGACACTGAGCAGGGAGGCGCCACCCTAGCTAAGAGGCCACACCCAGGCTGGAGAGAGGCCACACCCTGGCTGAGGAGGGCCACTGGCTGAGAGGCCACCCTGGCTGA